GGGAAAAGAGGAAAGGCCCAAAAGAAAGAATCCCTCCCTTTACCCCAAAATTATGGGGTTGGAATTAAAAATAAAATTTCAGCTTTTGAGGGAGGTTGGTAAAAAGAAAAAACCAAAGCATAAATTTTGGGATGAAAAAAAACAAGAAATCAGGCCTTTTGTATTTCACATTTTAAGAAAAATGAAAAAAATAGATTTTCTACCTTTTTTTGCATAGGTATTATTGTTTTCTATATTTTTGATTTCATTCAGGGGTGTGTTGATTCTTGGTTGGCCACTAAAGGATCATGTCCCTTGTGCAAAAAGTATGTCCGGTCCTTAGTTTAATAATTTTCATGAAGCGAAATCTACATAATTACTTTAAAATAATTTATTATAAGGATTAAAAAAATATTGATAAAGAAAATACAAAATAGAATCATTTGTTCAAATTCTCAGGGAAAAATTTCGTTTTTTGAGATACAAATTTTCTTTTTACTTTTACAGGAAGCTGTAATTCATCCTCTTCTTTTATCACTTCTGTGGCTATTCTCCCATTTTACATATTAATTACCTTCACGCGTTTATAAAATTCAACTTTTCTTTAAGTACTTGAGTCATCCAATTGGGAATTCTCAAGATTGTTTTATAATATTTGAGATTCTAGGTCTGTTTAACTTTAAGTTTAGTTCTTTACTTTCCTGTTGAATCTATTTTGTAATGATCTTTAGGATTCCTAATTTGGGAAGCTCAACTGCTCCTCTATCATTTTAATAAACATATGTGATTCCCTTCTTTATTTGTGGAGTCCTGGCAATATAATATGAGAATCACTGAGAGAATTTTATTGAGAAAAAATATTTTGCAATTAGACTTTAAGTTGATTGTGTTTGGATTCGGGCATCAAGTTTAATGGTTTATTAATTTGCTGTGATGAGTTTTATTAAATCTTCGGAAATCGGATTGTAACTTCTTATACTCGATCAGTCTGAGCCCCTTGTTGATAAATACCTTCTGGTTTGTCACTTTAAAAGTTTTCAGTTTAGCCATTTTTATGTTGTTCTAGATTATTAAGAAATGAAGCAGGCTTTTAAAACCTAAATATTTAAGATTTGGGTTAGGGACTATTTTCAACCTTAAAGTCTGGTTATGATGATATTTTATGATGTAAAGTTAGCATAATTATTAATTTTAAGTCAGAAAAAACTTGAAATTTATAATCATATCTCATTAAAATAGTATTTGGATGATAAGCTTATTTATAATTTCTATAAAGTTTTATCTTAATTTATACATTCAATTTAGAATTTTTATGATACATCCTTTACAAAATTCAGAATACAGGCATAATAAGTTACAGAATAATCGTAATATTAATTACAATTATTAATAGTTCAAATCAGATAATATATATTGGGAAATTTGGCAATTAAAGTTATTTATTAACCATTATAATAAAATTCAAGAATTTTGTTCAATAATTTCATTATTCACACCCTGTTTATTCGATCTCCTTGTTTTTTTATTCTTGATTTTATGTCTTCTTTTTTTGATACTTTTAGTGACTTTCCCTAATTTCTTCTTAACAGATAAAGGATTCGGTCCTTTTGCCGGTTTCTTGATTTTTATAGCTAGTTCCTAGGCTAACTTTCTTTCTCTCTCCATTCTCTTTTCTGCTTATTATTATTTGATTTCCTTTTTAATTGGCATAATTATCTATTACTCCTATTCATTAGGCAAGTATTTTATTTCTTTTAGACTCTTAATTCTCATCTTACAAGTCCTAGATGGTTCTGCCATTTCAAATAGATTGTTTTAAAAGAGATAACAAACAGGCACATGATCTATTTACAATAAATTGGATCTTAATTCATCATCTTATGTACAAACCCAAAAATAATTATTGTCTCCTCCAAACTCTGGTTTTGGTTTGACAATATCTAATAAGCATTCAGCTGGACTCACCCCCTCTATATGCTTACAATTAATCTTAGATAATCCTTGAGCATATTTGAAGACTCTTGGAAATAAATGCTATAAACTGGTTAATTCTCTGAGTACGCAGATAGTGGTGTGTTTCCAGATTTTAGCTTTTGTGTGTTTAAAAAGTTACTATGAAATATGCATGAAATAAAATACTTTATCAAGATCAACATTATGATCGAGCATTTACTTTATAAAATTTCCATCAAAGACTAATTGATAAGGTGGCTGAAATGAAAAATTTATTCTATAAAAGGATAAATTCTTTTTGAAGCCTTTAGTCTTTTTAGCTTTCATTAAAAATTAAAATAAATTATAATAAAATTAGATGGATCAGCAGCCTGAAAGAGTTTTTGAAATTAAAAAATGGAATGCAGTAGCATTGTGGAGTTGGGATATAAAAGTTGACAATTGTGCTATATGCAAAAATCATATAATGGAAAAATGTATTGAATGCGATGCATAAGAAGGATAAGGAGAATGTATTGTTGCTTGGGGAACATGTAATCATGTATCAAAGGTTTTTATTTAAGGCGTATCATTTTCATTGCATTGAGAGATGGTTAAAGAATAGATAAACATGTCCATTAGATAATCGAAATTGGGAATATTAAAAATATGGATGAGTGTTATAATATGTATAATTAATTATAGCAATAGTTATTGTTATATATATATTTCATTTCTAATTTAAAGACCTAAATAACTTCAAGCCAAGTTTTAAAAATAAACTATTAAAAAAAGAAAATTAATTTGAAGTATTAGAACTTGATTAATTATGATAATGAATAAATTTTAATAAATGAATTTGTATTTATGAACTAATATTAAATTGAATTAAAAATTTCTTATATTATTTCGATCCTTATGGAACATGCTAAAATATAGAAGCTTATAAACATAATCAATTGAAATAAGGTATATTCACTAAGTTCAACTTTGATAACTTAAATTATACAACAATAACTATCTGTTTCAAATGAATTAGAAAGTTAAAATAAAAGATGGACAAATTTATTATTTTAATTTTATTCTCTGATTTATGATTTAGAATTATATATTAATGAAAAATAATATGTTACAAATAAATAATCATAAAAAGGGTACTAATGGTTCTTAATAAATTTGCAATAGAATTTCATGTTTGCCTCTTATATCCTAATTTTTTATTAGGTACTTGATCGCAAATTATAATGAATCGTTACAATCTTAGTTCATTTGTTTTCCAACATATGAAAATTACAAAAAAACATCATTGTTCTTAATGTGAATAGACCCTCTTTTATTGCATCCTTAAAATATTTCGAATAAGATTCTATAAAAATGATATTTCAATGTCTTGATATTTGAGAGTTGCTACAAATCATAGACCACTGATATTTTTTTATATAAAAATAGTTATTAAACATGCTATATAAGAGATTCTCATTTATATTCAGAAATATTGAATTTGTTATTTTTTAGTCATTTATAATTTAATATTTATTTGTAGCAAATATTTCTTAAGAAGCTTAAGCTTTAACAATCATTACGACTAATCGATTTTTGAAGGTGTTAAAAAAAGAATTAATATAACTTAAATTGTGCCTGTTTATATTTAGTTGGACTGGACAAAATTTATTTTGAGTTATTTTTCAAAATATCTTCAGTAAATTAAACTAAAATAATTGGTTGTTAATAATAAAAGATTGAATAAGTGATTGGATATTGTATTTTTTTGTTACTGATCATAATAGTGTTTGATCCTTATTCATTGCGAGAGATTTTTTGATTCGATTTAAAAAAGAAATCTTCCAAACTTTGTGATTGATAAAATGATGTTCGGAGAAAATTCTTGAGTTCATTAGTGTTATTACATTAAAAATTTAGAGATTTTGATACCTTATGCTAAAATTCGAGTTTTTCATCATCGAAAGAAAATAATAAGAAAGGTTGATTCACTATTTTGGGCAATATTTTTTCTATTGTAATTAAATAAGATATGATACCCCACAAATTATCTTTTTGGCTCAAGAGAAAATTGCTACGACTCTGAAAATTTAATCTTCTCGAGCAATAACATAAAAATAAAATTAAAATGAAAGTGGCTCCGTATATATTATAAGAACGTTGCGTATCTATGAAAATTGTATTAATTAGTTTATAGGTGAAAGTAGTGACAATTAAAAAGTATGACTCCAAAACATCTAATACTAATATTATAAGTATATTGCAAATAGTAAAGCTATTAATAAATAAAGGTAAAGCCTAAAGAGAAATATTCTCCATCAGCACCTATTCGTAGGCCATCAAGGAGTAGTTGAAAAAAAGTAAGGCAATTTGAATACATGAACTTTTATATTTTACTAACACAAGTGACAAGATAATATAAATTTATGTAGCTACTATTGCAGGTATATCACTATAGAGTGAATAATAACAATTTAAAATAAGCTTTATTATGCTGATAACCAGCATCCCGAAATGGCCAAACTTAAATATAGGCATTCTAAAATGTTAATTTCTCTACGATTAGTATTGTAATTCTGATTAAACATCAAGGAACTTAAGACTATATTTCTTCATTTATGTTTAGATATGAAACAAATTAAATGAATTATTATTAATAAAGAGAGTCATAGTACTTTAATTTTTATTGAATTTAGACATGAATATAAAATGATAAAAGCCAATAAATCATGATTACATTATTTAGAGAAAGGAAATATTTTATTTCATCAATTAAGTTCTATTAGTTATATATTTAAAGGAATTATTCATTTTATTTCATTAAATTTGAATATTATTCCATAGATATTAATTAGAATTTATTAAGAAAACTGTTTTTTCTACATACATTCTCAATAACCAACTTGAGGGATTTAGAAATAAAATTAATTAAATATTTAGTAAGAAACTATATTTAATTAAATTGAACTAAGAATTATTTATTTATGAAATATCTAAATTATATGGAACAGTGAAAGAAAATAAAGTGCAAAATTTGGATTTATGCAAGATAGGAAAATATTGAAAGTTTGGCTTAAGAAATTTAACTATTCCGATAACCAGGATGATTAGGGATCTAATAAATTACTCCAGGGCTTTTGAATTTTCAAATAATTTGATTATAAAACAATAAATTATAGAAATTTACAAATAAACCACCAAATTTAAAAAACTGACAACTATTAAATTTAATCAAGCAGCTAGAGTTTTCTATCTGAATGTTGTTTTTCTTCTTTTAGATTGATCATTAAATAATTGTGGGTCTTAGATTTTTGTTATTTGATTTTATTCATCAATTACAATTAACGATGATTGAAATGTTACTTGTCTCTTGTTGCTATTTATTATTTTTTTTATTTTCCTACTAATGATTTCTATATCTGTATTCTATTACTCATCAGTTCTTAGGATTTCTGATTTTCTTAAGTCTTCTTTTGTATTTTTGGGGGATGAGAAATGATTTTTATGAATTGAAGAGTTTTACAGACTTGGCAAGTGGCATTCACTTTTTGTTATTTATTTATCATTTCCAATAGCAATTCTCCTTCTGGCTGTTTATGGATATAGGTAATCAACATAAATATCCGAGCATTCTTTTTCTTAAAAAAAGTTAGCTGGCACACTATCGAGATCATTCAAAAATTTTGAGGGTCTAAATTGTTTGTTTAGTGGTTTTTAAAGCTATAAATTTTAATTGGGATTTGTAATATCTGCATAGCTAATCTTTTTACTCATTTTTATAAATAATTATCAATTTATGAGTTTTATGAATAGACAAATTGAATGGGAATTTACATTCATATTAATAAAATTTTTAAAAAGAAGGAAAAATAGTAATAAAATACTATTAGATAGATACTCAAGCCAAGCGAAATAAAAATGGTAATTTAAGGTCAATAAAATGATATTTTGTGATTCTTCATTACAATAATTTTTAAACCAACTATTGTTTTTTCTCAGGATCTTAGTTCAATAAAATTCTTCTTCTCTCGACATAGTAGTGCACTTAAGCCCAAATGACCTTATAAAAGTCATAAAACTCTTGCATTTTTGTATCAAATTCTTGGTAATCTAAATGTTATTAAGTACTTGATACAATATTTTATATCTGCCAATTAAAGTTGAACGTCCATCATTTGATTTACTTTCGTTTCATAAAGTTGTAATTCTCTTGTCAATATCTAAATTTTTGGGTCGACCTTTTCCTCTAAAAATCTTTTATTTTCAGCAATAAAATTAGATTGCTCATCAATTACTTTATGTGTTCCTGAATATATCGTTTTCATCTTATGCAAACCATCTTGCAACTTGTTTAATTACGACATCACTTCCTTTTTATCATTCATTATCTATTTCTAAATTAAAGATGATGATAGATTTTCCTGATTCATATATATTAAATTAATAATAACAATAGATATTTTAATGCAATTTTATCAAAAAGATAATATGATAGGGATTAATTAAGAGGAGATCACTTAAATTACATTGAATTCTATTTTAGTTAATGGAATCAAATAATTATAAAATAATGAAATTCTTGCTATTTATTTATATTTCATCATATTTTCAAAGATTGATTGGTATAGATTAAAAGTTAGAATTCTGTCTAAATTTTAAACTATTTCCAAGTGTTTACTTTTTTCTTTTTTGATATTCTGAAGATATTAAACTGGCTGAATATTTAAGAGGTAAAGCAGAGAAATCAAAGTTAAATTGATTGGAACCTTTAAATGAATGAATTCTGGCACCCTCGCCAAACGAAGTTGAATCTTATGGACTTAGAGATTTGATAATTGTAGGAGTTCCTTTGTGTACTTGTCCTTATTAGGATTATCGATAACTTTGCATACAAATAGGAGATTAGAATTTAATGGCAGATTTAATCCGATTCAGCATTTGTTTTGTAGTTCTAAAAGGATATTGATTAATGTAGAGTTTTTTTTATTTATATTCTTCTTTGCTCAATCTTTATTAAATTGCCATTTCTTCTATTTTTTGTGGTGTCAATTTCATAAATGTAGTTACTTTACTTTGCATTTGATCATTTTAATTGTTAAATTTAGCTTTTTAATTTGATTTTCTTTTATCAACAATCGAAGGAGAAAACAAATTTTGAGTTGATTTAACAATTTTAGGAGATATTAAAATTGACTTCTATTTATAGTCTTCAGGTTGAGTAGTAGTTTATTAGTTTGCTGTTATGGTGGGTTATGTTTCTGCAATTATTTTATCATGTTTTGATTAGATTCTTTATTTTCCTTTGGAAGTCTTTTCAAAAGATTTTTCATTGGTTGTTAAACACTGTGTACTGATAGGTCTATAATTAGCACTTTTCACTCTCCTAATCTGAATCGTTTCTGGAGTGTTAACCAAAAATGGAGATGCTTTTTTGTCCTTAATCATGATATATATGATACCTCTAATTAAAAATAAGGACAATATCTTAGCATAATTTCCATATCATCATTGATTGTTATTTGGTCTCTAGATATAAAATTCATTTCCTTATCTTTCATAATTATTTATTTGAGATCTTTTGTTTTCTCTACATACTTCTGATAATCAAATTTTAGATCCTGTTATTCTACTTATTAGTTTTCTACCCCAGCTTCCAAAGGATATGCATATTTTTATTTCCATTTATTATAATAAACTCTTTTTTCATCTCTAACTCTTTGGATCGCATAAACGATATCTGGATAACGTTATTCAATTCTTTTATAATCAATTTTATTTAATTTATATAGCACACCCTCTTGACTTTAACAAATAGCTTTCCATATTCTCTTCTCTTGATCTAGAAACTCTTCCAATCCAATGGATTCATTTTTTCCTAATATGCATACTTCTGCTTCTCTTTCAAAATAGAATATCTCGTCACTTCCATCCTTTGTAAATTCTTTCTTGACATTCGAAACCATCTTAAATTCTCCTTCAATAATAAAATATAGACAATCTCCTTTATCCCCTTGCTTATAAATGACATCTCCATAATTATAGACTTTTCTCTCCATGATCATAAATAAAGCCTTAATAGCATTTTTTGATAAATCTTTCAACATTACATTGCAACTTAAAGTTTCAAGTAAATGCAAAAATTATCTTTAAGCCTTAGTAGACATTATTCGGTCAAATGAATCTTTGTCTAACTCTAGAATGAAGCAATCAGTCATAGCAACAATATCAGCTCCTCTTGGTTTTCTTTCCTTTTATATTCTAAGAAAGTACCAATAATGCCAATTCACCAAAATATTCCCCATCCTTTAATGTTGTTATTTCTTTCAATTCCTCATGAAACTTATCTTTCTGTTTCCCTTTTTTTGTTGTAAACGTCCCTATTACAGTTACCACTCTTTTTAGGACTTTGACTTCTCCCTTGATTATGATGTAGAAAGTATCGCCATAAGTGTCCTGCTTAATGATAACTTGATCTTTGCTATAAATATGCAATCTTGCATTTTCGGCTACGTCTTCTAACATTTCCTCATAATGATCAGTAAACTGCTCTTGGAAAAACTTGATATTTCTTAGAGAATCCTTCAATAGTGTGGTTTCTTTGGAGGTACGAAATAAAACTGGTTTTAAGCAAATTTCAACGATTTACTAAAAATGATATCAAAATTACTTCGAACGCAGATTTTTGCATCCGTGTTTGGATGTCAACATATTCCAAACTACCAGATCTCTTACTTTCAAATTGATCATGTTTTTGTTGAGCTTCCATATTTTTAATATAAAATTTTATATTTTCGAAAGCAAATATAGAGTTTCAGAACTTCTGAACAATCGCACTTGAATTATAGGATATCTTGATAGTGTTTATTTGAATCATCAACCTAAAAAAAATTGAGAAAATTATTTTGTCATTATTTAACATGCAAATAATTTATCCCAATGTCTTATATTTAATTTCAATAATTTAAATTAATGGAATAGTAAGCTGCTGCAACTTAAGAGAAAACTCAAAATTAAACACAAGCACCATCCACTCAATAACCTTAGGCTCAACCACCAAAACCAAAAACAGTCCTATCAGAAATCAAACTCTAAATCTTATTATTGGAAAAGGCAGTCAGCTCCAAAGACATCAAAGCAATTCAAAAAGTATCCATCTTCGTTAAAAAATTCAGAAATGTAATACAAACTAATTAATCCTTAGACTGTCAAGTCTCATCATTTGGCCAAGCTCTATAATACCTTCTTTCCAAATGTTGTAGTTTAATAAGGAAATGATATCGATGCCAATTTCAACGAAGACTTAGGATTGAATGCTTAAGTTGTCTCAAAATTAACTAAATTAATCGAAGTGAACGTATTTATTCAATGCCTTTATCTCATTTGGCTCTTCTAATAAAAATAATAGGAATCCTACGAATAGTTAATTGTAATTGGAAAATAATTGCTTTAATAAGTTCAATAAAATAACAAAAGATATTTAGATACTCTCTTAGGAGTCATCTATGAATACTTATCAAAATCACATGAGAAATTAGGCAAACTTGACTAAATCAGAGAGTAATTATTTCTCAATAATATTAAAGTGTCTTATTTGAAGGCTATAGAAATGCTTGTTAAAATAGAGATGAAAATGGTTAAGCAATTTTAATAAACTTAATTTTGAGAAACTTCATTCATTATAATTAGTATGAACAGAGTTACAACTTCTTAAAAAAGACAGAATTCCCTGAACATGCTTTTGGAAACTAATAGGCAAGATTTTTGTATTACACTGGACTCATTCATGCCATAAGAGGGGAATATCAAGAGGCCTATAAGAATCTTACTCAAGCAAGTCATAAAGCTCCAGATAATACAGCTTTTGGATTTAAAGTTTAGGCTATCAAAGTGATTGCTTTAGTTGAATTGTTATTAGGTAATGTCCCAAATAGAGATACTTTTACTTCCCCTGAATATCAATAGGCTCTTTATCCTTACTATAGAATAGTTTCAACTGTTATCAAAGGTAATTTAGGAGAATTTCAATAAGAAGTAGCAAGATCAGAAAATATATTAAGAAGAGACAAACTTTTCAATTTAATTTAAAGGTATCTATTTTAAATCATTTATAACTCTAGATTACCATAAATAGTTATCAAAGCTGGTCTAAGAAGAATCAACTTATCATATTCTAGAATCTCATTAAGTGATATTCATGAAAAGCTTAATCTTCCAGCTTAATGCAATGCTGAACAAGTTGTAGCCAAAGCTATCAGAGATGGTACTTTAGCTGCTGTTATCGATCACGAAAATCAAATAGTTATAACTAAAGAAACCAACGATCTTTACGGAACTAAAGCTCCTTAAGAAGCTTATGGAGAGAGAATCAATAATTGCTTAGGACTGTACAATCAAGCTGTTAAGGTATTTATTGCCTATAATCATTAGGCTTTATAATATTAAAATCCTGAATATGATTACGGAGAAAAGTAAGCTGATGATGAATTAACAACTGATGAATTATTAAGTTTAGCTGAGCTTGACTTTTGAGTAGCATAAAAATGTATAACCACCTAATAATTATAATTCATTTTTAATTTGTGAAATTCACACAAGGTTCTTTGTGCAATTAAATAACCCAAAGATTCTCTTGCATCTCTGATTTTTCAACTAAGTTATACCAGATTAATTTTAGTGCAGCATCTTTGTCATATTTCATTTCTCTGCCTTCATATGAAATAGTTACTGTTTCCGAAATTGTCACATCAACTGAACTTTAATTTTTGGTCAATTCAAGTACTTCAAAGATGAGTCGTTTCAATTGAACTACAATAGTTGTTATATTCTAGTTCTTTGGATTGATGATTTGTAGTCTATTTAGTTTGTAAACAAAAATATCATTCAAAAATAATAATTTTTTGGTATCAAATAATTTTGTTTTCCATTGATATTTCATAATTTTAAAATCCATAATTTATTTTAAACAGTTATTTCTTATTAACCATAAATTATTTTGTTATTTTGAGATTAACGACATCTGTAAATTTTTATAAATTCTTTTTACTAACTACATTCTTAATTCCTCTTATTTTTTAATTGTTCCCTTCAATACAACTTTACAATCATCGACCTTAATAATGGAATCATCAAATTTGATAATGAATGTAGATGACAAGGATTTCATCATTGAATAGCGGATACTTTACTTAGTTTTATTATCTTTTTATATTTCTATCTTTCTTGAATGAAATTCATTAAGACTCTAATTATTATACAAATTAAATAAAACATTCTCTATTGAAAGTTGATTCCAGTGCCATTCCCTTAGAAATTCCTTTAATTACTTAGAATTATTGCATTAAAATGGTAGTTTGTTTTGAGATTTAAATATGAACTCCAACTTTTCTTCACTGAATGTAAATATTAAATAGGGAGTATCCACAATTTTTGGAAAAACACTCTCTAAATATATATATTACTAATATCATACCCCACATATAATCATATTGACTTAAAAGAAAACTAGTTCTATTCAAAACGTTTAGTTTATACGAAAAAAAGCACATAAAAAACATCAGTATGAGTGTTGTACAATAGATGATATAAGATTTTTAGGTTTCCATCAATATAGTGTAGATTATTTTAAAAGAAAATGTTGATAAAATAATTACTAAGGACTCTTTGAATTCTGAAATGAGAATTATAATAACACCGCACATGGTAAAATTGCTTTAGTACAAGGATAAGGCTTACGGACTAGTATCAGTTGTAATAATCAGCTCGTAGCCAATTAATAAATATGCTAAAATTATCAGCTAGATGTTTATTTTATGTATGTTGAATCGCAAAAACAAAAAGGATAGCAATGAATATATTTGGCAACCAATCAATATTGGCATCAAGCCTAATTCATTTTATAGAACCAATGTTATAAGTTTTGAAGTAGCCACTATAAATATGCAAGCAGACCCAAATTAAAATACAGGTATACTGATAGTATTAATTCTTGATTTTTGATATTCATCCTCCAATTTTTTGTATTTAAACATTAATGTATATTTGTTCATTCTTAATTTCTTAAGATAAATTAAATAAATTTTATACTTAATTACATCAATAAGCTTTAGAATACTTTTAATCACTCTTAATAAATAAATTTAATCTAATCTATAAATAAATTTGAATCATTTGAAAAATATATGGCCATAGAAGTCATAAATTTTTATATTTTTGGGCCACCATTTAGCTCATATTATCGAAAGAAATAAGATTAATGTATACTGAACCTTTATTATTATGACTGGTACGAAAGTGATCATAAGAAATTTGAAATTGGTTTAAAGAAATTTAGAATATTTATGATACGCTTTAAATTTACTAAATTAATATTTCTTTATATCAGAATTATAAATATTTAGATTTATTATCTAGCCTTTGATTTTATTTATTTAATCTTATGAATTTGATAAGATTTGTTTGATTAGGTAATGTCTCATGAAATTACAGAATTTGTAATTTGATGCATTTATAAGAATTTAGCTCGTAACTAATCCATGAATCAATAAATATATCAGCCAATTCGAAAATAAAAATTAAGTCTTATCAAATTGGTTTTCTACAAACAGGACATTCTTAAGTCTTTGCCTTCCAAGCATCAATACAAGCTTTGTGAAACGAATGAGTGCAATTTAAAGTCTACAAATCTGTTGTTAGTTCTAACATGCATATACTGCATTCTTCTACAGTTTCTAAATTCTTGAATTGATTTTCTATGTAAGGTATACAGTCATCTAGATGGTCATTCAGAAAATTTCGAACTATGTGATCACCACAATATGGGCATGAAATTAATCCATACTCATCATTACATTGATGATCTGCTTACTTTGGTAAAAGGCATGCACTGCAAATTTCCAATGAAAGGTTATTTATCTTCGTGAAGTCTTACTAAACTTCTTGAATTTTTATTAAATTAGGCTAGTTCTATTTCTAAAATTCAAAATCTTAATGAATTTTGCCTTTATTTGGAGGTGGCTTTTATTTACTATTGAATAGGAAAGGGGGAGAAAAAGGAAAAAGCACTTACTAATTTTATTAATTCTAACAATTTTCCTCTTAATGTAATTCTTTAAGGGATTCCTTTTGTTTATCTAACTTTCTCGTAATTATATACTAACTTTATTTCATATTTTATTTAAACTATTGGTACTCCTGATTGTTTTTACTTTTAAAAAATAAGTATGAAATTTATACAAATTATCGTGATTTGAATTAACAAATGTAGTATGATTCCTTTTTGACGATTATTTGTTATCTTTAAGAAGATTAAGAAAATTCTAATTAAATTCTTCATCATCCTCTACGAATTTGAAAGGTTTCATAATAATTATAAATAATATGATTTCAATCAATACAAATAATGATATTTAAAATTGCCATAAAAACTTTAGACCCTTTAACTAAATCCAACAGCACATAAATCTAAAATATCATAAAGTAATTCATAAAATTTTCATTTGCAAAGTAATTCTATTTTATTTTATGAAGGGCAAGCTGGAAATAAATAACGATTATAGTGTTGTCTTGAAAAAGAGATATAAATTGACCTTCTTTTAAAGTGAAGAATAGAAATCAGGAGATATTTTGTTAAATCAGTTTAAACTTGTTCCAAAAAAATAATAATTTTTATAATAACCATATAATTCTAATCTATCCTTAAAACTTCATTTTTATAATTATTTCATTTGATTTTATTATCTGCATTAAACCATAATTTTTGTGATTATTTGCTATTTATATTTAAATTGTAGCAAATTATTGATTATATATGAGCTAAATTAAATGATTGCTTTACAAATGAAGATATTAAGTTGGGAACTGTTATTTCTTATTAACTTTAATTGTATCAGTGGATATTAAGAAATTGGATGTTAAAATTAGCAATGAATGAAATATATCTATTATAGCAGAAAATACTTTACCTTTTTATTCGACCTACTAATCTACTTTAAATCTACAATAAATTCAAATGAATGAAATACTAAAGATATAATTCTTAATATTAAGGTTACTTAAAAATAAATTAAGAATTCTATTTTATTAAATGAATTATTGTAAGTGCTCTTGAAGTTGAAATAACCAAATAAAATATTTCATAGAGTAAAATACATGTAGATAGAATAATCTTCATCAATCACAATTATAATTAGCCAATAATTAGACAAGAGATTTAAATAATTCAGGAATAGTATTTTAAAAAATTTCTAAAAATGTTGTTTCAGTAACAATGTTTTTATCATGGGTTTGTTTTCGATTGTACATTTCTGATAAATTTCTTGCTTTTTCTTTCATCATAGTAATGACCATTTATTTTTGAGGTCTCTGCTTTCCCCTCATCTTAGTTGAGATTGTTGTATTCATCTCAATAGTTCTTCTGATACCCTAACATCTAAGATATTTAAAGATGATATCTGCATCTCTTTATGCTGCACCCCCAGATTTGAATAATTCAAATAGATCTCTTGTATTTAAATAGGTTTTAGACAACACGTCATAACAACTAAACACAAGTTAGATAATTTCTATAATCGTGAATATTTGATACATTGCTAACTCATCTCCCTAATTTGGAGCAAAAACGATCGATACACTGCTTAAGTAATTGAATATGGCATCTACATTAGGTTGATTAATCTTAATATGATGGCCTAACAGCCTAATTGATTAGCAAGGTAATTGACTAACTAGGTATTAATGATAGCATACTTATGGTTTTGTGATTTCTTAGTAGATGCTGGAACTGCAAAGCTATTTGAAAATCTCTTAGATGAAAGGACTCTCTGGATCTAATGAGAGATAACCAACTTTAGTTGTTTTTAAGCGATTCTAAAATTATCTATATTTTTAATAAGTATTCTTTCTAGATCTTAATCCTTATGAATCATGTTGACTATTGCACATTGAATATTTTTTTATTTGTTGTTAATCTAAAGGGGAGATCTTTGGTAGTTCGTAATATTCAAAGCAATCAGACAATACTTCAATTTTTTCTTTATTCTTAATAAGAAACCTAGGATTGTATTCCAATTCTGTTTAGCAAGCCAATTCAACATCATATTTGTTAATTGAATTGGATTCATTACATGAGTATTGATTATCCTTTGCCTTTACTCTTGACACCATCATGCTTGAATTAAGTTGTGATCTATCTGCTCTACTTGATCTCCCAGTGACTATTTTTATTTTCTCTTCTATGCATCTCTTGAATATATTTGATATATCGTACATATTTTAATTATAAATATCAATTCTAAAATAAGAACACTAAAAATAAAAACTTATTGTGAAAATTTGAAGTTAACAATTAATATTAAAATATATAAAAGGAGTCTTATTGTTTAATTATAATATAATAGGCTATTGGAGATAATGGTTGAATCAAATTTAATATCAAAATTAAAGAACAAAATTATTTACCTTATTCATTATAGCTCTAATGTAATTGATAAGTTAAAAACAATATATTTATAAATGAATTTGTTCAAATTGATAATGAATACATGTAGATTTGAACAATCATCTGTAATTCTTATATTAAAATAGAAAACTGTCAAATGAAATTTGTGACATAAAATTTTTGAATGAAATAAACAATCATTATTCTATACTCTTTAGTAAAGCTTAGATTTTCTCGTTGTTCTAGATTTAATTAATAAAGTTTTTATCATTATTTGTCAATTAATCCTCAGGTTTAGACATCAAATTTAGGAATCGTTATCTAATAGCCTTTAGTTTATCAGTTTTAGTTAAAGTTTTTTAATGAGAGATGATCTCTTCCACTAAAATTTTCTTTCTCATTGCCCAATCTCTATCATCTTCAATGTAAAGCATTTCTTTCTACAATTTGAAATGATTTTTAATCTATTATTTATTGAATTGATTTGATTTTCTCATAGAAGCTTCATATAAATAATTGCTTATGGATTAATTAAATGGGGGATCAATCGAATGAGGGTCATTGCATTCTGACCAGATCTAATTTAAGTGATTTAAGATTTTTAAAGATTTAGGCAATTAATTCTCTGGCAATGAGATTGTATTAGCAAAAGTAACATAAGTTATTTCTATGGTTTTTGACCAAGTAGAAATTATTCTAATAGGAATCATTGAATTTAATGCGTAACTCTAATAATCATAAAAAGAATTACTAATGATACAGGCTCAAACTTTTCAGAGTGATTTAGTTTTGAATTAGTACCACATTACATGATTATACGATCATTAGTAATAATACTGGAAGTGGTTCTTCCTGCTGATACCCATAATGCTGTAATATTCAATGGTTTGGGTAAAATCTATTGTAATTAATAATAGTTTACTTCATTTTTTAATTCAGAATTACCAAGTTGCCCTCGTTCACCCCATCCCCAAGTATAAATTTTGCTTCTAGTCTTTGCAATGACATGCTTAAAACCACAGCAAACCTACAACACCTTTTCAATGTTAATCAAACAAGGTTCATGTCTATATCGTCGATCTCCCAATCCTAGTTCTCCTTCATAGTTTTCTCCCCATGAATACAATTACCCACTCTCACACAATGTAACAATAAATTGATTTCCACATGATAACATTCTAGCTTTCTATTTGATAGGTATATGAATATTTAGATTAGTTAATGAAAATACCTTATTTTCACTTACTATGTACTTTTTGGATGACATAGTGCATTCCTTATTAACATAATGTGGTTTGTATTTTATTTATTTATATTAATCACCATATTACAATAAAGAACCATCTGCAGTAGTTACTAAGATGAAATCATCACTACAACTAATAGATTTTATTCGAATGAAATCTGGAAAGATGTTCTTTTCAACAGTGTCAAAAGTATCCTTGTTTAAAATCAATTACCCACTGCCAAATTCAAATATGGCAGTTCCACCCAAAGTGACACATAAAGTACTCTCTTCTGTAGTGAAGTATGATTAAATAGGATGATCCTTTCTAAATTATTGAATAATAATATTAAGCAATGTTCTTGAATAAGAATAATTTGGATTGTAACACTAATAGATATCAGAAAGTATATCAATATCAATAGGCACAGAGAACAAAGCAATCTTTGGTAATCTTGGTCTCCATTGAATGAGACATGTCTCTAATAATGGCTGAATTTCCTCATTTTCATTGTTTTCATTTGTTAATATCCATAAACTGGAAGCATCATGCTTTTACTATTAAACATTTTTTTCCCAAGGTTGTACAAATGACTCATAATTCTTTTTATCTGACATTTGTTTCTCTAGAAATTTCCTTGCAAATTTCTAAACACACCTTGCTGCTGCTCTCATTCTTTGAAACATAGTTGAAAGTAATTTCATTCTGAAATATCCTTACAATAAATAAGCAGCATCATGAGCTCTACGAAATTGACTTCTTGCTATAAATCTTCTGATTGCTGCTTACACCTTTATAACTGAACCTTCCATTTTAATTTTCCTTCCTGCATTCTTAATTTGATGAACTTACTTCTTATTTGATTTTCTAACTTAATTTCCTCTAAAATTCGATTATATCATAACAGCCTTTTTGATTAAGATCATTTACCAAGCATCATCAATAATTTTTTAAAATACATTTTTAATTTCCCTAATCTTCCTCTCTTATTTTGATTACACTACATACCTACCAAATTTCTGTATCTTACTAATAGCTAATTTCTTTCTTGCAATATCTCTAAGCACATTATATCTTTCAAAGTACAATTTCAAGTATATTGCAGACTTTTCATATTTCTATTGCAATCTTCTTTCATGCAATTTTTTATACCATGCTTAAATGACTGATGCTGCCTTTACTCTTTTTCTAACTAACACCTTAAAACGAATTCTTTATGCTAAAGTACGAAGAGTCATAGCAATTCTCATCATCTTTTTCAGATGTTGATTCATCTTATAAATTTTATATGATCTTTGCAACTTAGCTGCTCTTTAATGTTTGAGAGTCACAATTTTATTATATGAATCTTCGATCATTTATAATCCTGAAGTACGAATAAATATCTTTGTCCTTCCAAATAGCACTTATTTTGAATCAATATGAGGCATGTGTTGTTTAAACATATCTAAAACTAGCTGTCTAAAATTAAGATCTGGTTTCTTTATTAATTTGCTGTAAATTTCGTTTCTTGTCATATCTGCATATTTTTTATAAAAAAATTAGTATGGTCTTCTTATACTATAAGATTCTTTTCTGACTTTTAAGGAATCTAAAACACCAAGATATCTGATTTATTTAAGAGTCATTTCAGAAAATACTTGATTAGGCTATTTACTTTCATTTGGTTTGATGCATCGAATAAAGTGAACATCACATTAGTGCAATTCAGTCATCAATTCAATCATTTCCTTTTTTATCTTCTATGAAATACACTTTTCTTTCATTCCTTCCATAGTATACAATTACTTTAAGAGTGGATTTTTAGTTTGACTAATTAATTATATAGTTTAGGCACCCATTTCATCTTTGTTTTTTTCTCTAAATCCTGTCACAGTGTAACAAACATCCTTTGCTGTATGCACCAATATAAAAGCAGGATCACTTGGCATCTTGGGTGTCTTAACTAATGGATTCGCTTTATGAACAGTCCTTATTTTTTATAGAAATCCATCATCTGACGATTTTACAGAACATGATTCATCCAAAATACTGAATATTCCTCCTGGTTATTTGTCAATTAATTCAATTACATTAGCATTATCTTAAAATTCTAATTATCCCAAATAGTCCTTTAATCCTTCCTCAATGAAAATTTTCTCTTCCTCTTTGAACACATATTGAATATAAAGTTAATGTAACTTTTCATTCGTATAATTTATCATGATCTATTCAAATCCATTTTTATCAAAAACTTCAAACCCATATATATCGAGTAACCCCACAGAGATCTTAGACTCCACCTTAGGTTTTAAGACTTTATTTAATTGAATAACTAACCAATTAAATAATCTATCATAAATATCCTTGGCCAAGGAATCTCTTGTAAATTAACATTCATCTAGTGTCAATGGCGACAATATGGTTTATTTGTTGATTACTCTTGATTTAAGAGTCAAGGCCTAAGATAGTTGCTAAGTCGATAATTCTAGTAATCGCTCTGCTAAGCTTTCATTAACTGAGGCTGGCTAAGTATCTGTTAGAGTACTATTGTCAAATTCTAGATTCCCTAAATGTAGTACTGCAAGAACTGCTTAGACTATATTTTCAAAATCAGACTGCATTCCTAAAATGGAAAAGCTTTATTCGATTTCTTTGAACATTTCAGCATCGTCAACATTCGGAATAGTATAGGTTTTAGATGAGTTTAGATAATTAAACTCCTCCATTTTCATGGTTACTCCAAACTTATTCAATAATTCTTAGGGTAATCCCTGTAAAAAGAAATAAAAGATATGAAAATTTCTTTCATTTTTACCCTATTGATTAATTCTTGACTTCTCCATCAAGTAATTAATAATTTCAGCCCCCTTAATTTATCTAGTCTTGCCATCAACAATAATTCTGACGTACTTTCCAAACCTTGAAGAATTATTGTTCCTCACAGTTTTGGCATTACCAAAAGCTTCTAATATGGGATTGCATCCTAAAATTTGATCCTCTATTTTATCTTTCGAAGAACCATCTGAAGCAATTGATGTTAGTAAATTCATAGAAAATTTGGCATTCTCAGTTTTTCCAGCTCCACTCTCTCCTGATATAACTATTGCCTAATTCTTTTCATTCTCAAATAATTGTCTGTATGCTTATGCTGCTATAGCATAGACATGTGGAGGTAAATCCTTGATTGGTCGATTCTTTTTAACGATATCATCGATGTATTAATTTCTTATATCTGCACTCATCAAACCATGAATCTATTTAAATGGGTTTATGACTAGTAACGTAGGTCCTACATATGTAAATATGATATCCTTCCCAAATCTATAGATTAGATTATTGAGTAATTCTGCATCATTGAGGATTTCCATATTTACCATATCATCAAAGCCCTTGTTTCCCAAAATGGTTGGATCTGCCCTTTCTAACACTTGCGTTGGTTTGCATTGAATCTAACCACCCGATTCCAACTTGATGGTGATTAATTTTCCATCCGTACTTATTACGACAGCAGGTGAAAACATAGGGTCCTTGTTGTCAAGATCTTGCCAACATAATGCATTTGGGATTACCCAAGACAAATCTACTTATGGTTATGATTTTTTTGCCATATATTTAATTATATTTATCAAATGGGTTCTTCATCAGAATCGTTGTCATCATCATCTGCATCTGGGTCTATTATTTTAGAGTTTTCATTTTTTATTATGTGATTTATGATAGATGAGGAATTTCGCTTTTTGGTTTCATACTCATCTTTGAAGTCTTTAAAGTGGTATACCAATATTTCCTCATAAATACAATCTACGATATTTTAATCGAATACCTTTGAGTTATTGAAGTGTCATGTTGTACTCTTCAAATTCGAAATCTATCCTTTAGACTGGAACTGCAATGGGCTATAGAAGATAACATCAAAATGATACTTCGTCGTCTGGACAATGTAAGGCAGATAAATAAGGATGTTTTAGAGCATCCTCAACAGTGATTCTTTTTTTTGCATCGAAAGTAAGTAAGCTTTTCAATAGATCGATGGCAAGATTAGAAGCATTCGGAAACAGTTTATTGAAATCCTTTCCTGGTCGTTTAGGGAGTCCTTTTGCAATAGTTCTATATTTTTCTTTAGGTATCATGTTCAATTCTTATTCAGATGGAGTACCTATTACTTCGAATGTCAATTCAATTTGATTCTTAGTGTCCATTCCAGGCAAGAAGGGTTTTCTTCTTAACAATTCTGCGAAAATACAACCAACTGACCAAACATCGACACTCTGAGTGTAATTTCTCCATGATAACAACAATTCTGGGGCTCGGTACCATCGAGTAGCAACATAATCAGTTAAAACTCCAGCTTTTGCCTTGGGTTGATAATATTCTGAAGTTTTACTTTTAAATCTGGGATCAAGGCTCTTGCAAGTCCAAAATCACAAATCTTTAGATCGCAGTTGCTGTTAACTAATAAATTACGTGGTTTAAGATCTCTATGGACCACGTTTGCAGAATGTATGTATTTAAGTCCTCTCAATAATTGATACAGGAAAAATTAACAATGTTCATCAGCCAGGTTTTGGTCCGACTTAATGATTTGTGCTAAATCGGTCTCCATCAATTCTTGAACCACGTAACTAAATCATTATAATTAATACATATCCTCGAATTCTTCTCTTGATTTTGGAAGCAGTATTGTATTGATTCCAATAATCTAAATATAAGTGATATATACATTTTCGTGTTATAGCAATCTTAGTAGACGCAATTCTCTTAAAGTTCTCTTTGTAAATATTTTATGTTCGAAAGCTTTTTCAATCTTTTTTATCGCAACTAAATTATCCTCTGAGTCTAGTGTATTGTCTCTAGCTGCTACAACTATACCATAGGCTCCTTAACCAACTAGCGATATAATACAATAACCAAATACTATTGTCTAATATTTCATATTTATCATCAATCTCAAATCTAGAGCCTAAAATTGTGCTCACTTTCAATTTGCTCTTTTTATTCCGATAATTTGAATAATGTTAAATTATGTCATCTGGAAGTTAGCAAGGTTTCATTTACTTTATAATATTAATTTTTTATTTTTTGATACAAACTTTTTAAATCATGCATTAATATAATAAATTTTACTATAATTGGCATAAATATAAGCATTCTCCATAATTGAATGCTAATCCTTCCTCTTAATCAATCATTAGGTGTTTAAATAAAATTAATAAAGAAAATTTTCATCATATTAGTAATAAAATTAACTAACCCTTTTATATTAGAATGATAGACTGAGTTTGATTGATTATATTAACAAATTATTCATTTAACAACTAATACATTATAGAATTTAATAATAAATTTGTTGCTCACAATCACTCCCCTCATTTCTAATAATATTCTCATCTGTATAATGATCTTATTGACATTATGTTTTTATTTATTAACCTTTTTGTAAGGTAATTATCACCTAATTTGAGTTCGAAGGTATTTATTTTATCAAAAATTATTTTGATTTCAAAGAATTCATTTCAAGTTGTTTCTTTGAATTATTTCAACCACTTATAATTAGTTGATAAAACCAAAGTTCATACTACTTGTTCTTTGGATTTTTATTTTCAAATTTTTACATTAAAAACTTCAATTTATACCTATTTTAAATATCGAAATATGTAGTTAGCTTTATATATATTCTCAAATTCCATTTTTTACTTTATAACATTACTATTATATACTCAAAGAAACTACCCTCTCAAAGTGAGTTTGATGGTTTATACTTTTCTTATATAATTTTTTTCAATTAGACTTTTATACAAGTTTCTTAAATATCTTTCAATTGAAACTAAGTCTATCTATTAATTATTCAATATTTATATGTAACTAAATCAACCCAAACTCTTTGAATGCAAAATTTAAATGTACAATTATCAATAGGGTAGAATCTAATTCCATCCTACTAACATATTATAACTATCCTAAAGTACTGGTTTCTATATGATATTAATAGCAATTATGATGAATTATTTAATACTGAAAATAAATTATTTCTTTTATTTTAATATACTGCATAATACAAATTTAATACAATTCACAAGCATTTTATTCATATAAATTGAATGGATCTTTCTACAACAGAGAATATCTTCTATCCATATTCAGAAGTATTGATTTATTGTAGTATTTCAGGATGTCTCTTCATTATTCCAAGAACTGGAATTATATATTACTAATCTAACTATAAGAACTTCTTAAAAACATAGTTTCCAAAAGGATGTGTTGCAAAAGCTACAAATAAATAACTACAATATTATAAGATATTTACTTGTTGTCCTAATCTGAAGCCATCATAATATTCGTAATAAATTTTATATCTTCTTATTCAATTACATCAAGAAAGACTTCTACTACATTGCTTCCATATTTATTGTAAGATAATGTTTAGAAGTTGCTCTTAATAATTCTTAACAGTTCCATTTTTTGCTATTTAAAATTACTTTTCAATATAAACTAAATTATGTAGTTACCAAATTCACAAATACAAAGTTACTATGATACTTCCATAATTTAGTCTAACAATGATTAACTATATTATTTTTGAAGCATAAATTAAATTATCCTACATCCATATGTGTGTTATGACATAGAATATACAGATTGTTCTATATGTTTCTTCATATATTCGCAAAGTTTGTAATCAAAATTCTCCAAACAACTTAATAATACATAGCAACCATTGTTATCATTAATTAATTATCTGACTTATTATTTTATTTCATCCATAAATTCGATTTAAAAATGATGATCCTCATCTTTTAAAAATTCTATCATTCTGTTTATCACTCTAGAAGCATACTGATTTTTAGATAATTCAACACAATAACCTTGGAATTGATGGAATAAACTGAATTTCCATTATTTTTCACCTAAGTCGATTATTATCTTAAAATACCTGACAAAAATATTTTTTAAACCAAATAATTTCCAAATAAATCTTTTGATGTCTTAATTAGGTTTTTTTCAATTGTCTCAAAGATCATAGTCCTTTGTAAAGGGGTTCCATTGTCAAAGATCTTTTGTAGATTTCTTGATGCATTCTAATTCCCACATATTTATTCCTAAAATAAACAAAAATCGAATACTAAACAATTTCTAAATTGATAATCGTCCTGTCTCAATTATAACTGAATTTGATTATCTTCTTATAGAGAGGGATGGCTATTAAATGTCAAATAGAAAGTTTAGGGTGGAGTAATAGGTTACATTGTTTAGTGTTTTTTAGGTGAGAATTAAAGTTACTTCAAATCATGATAAATTTTAATGGAAGGCTTCTTCTCTTTTTATCTTTCGTTAATTCTAATTTGTAAAAAAAGTGTATATACATATAAGGTTGTGAGTTTGTGGAATTGTAAGTAAGAGTGTCATACCCATGATTTTCTCCAAGAATTTCAATTTATTCTTTGGAGTTAATCAATATAGGTTAGAACTCTTTGGCGTTCAGTGATAATTTACTCTTTTTTCGAGTCTATTTCCTTTCATACATTTACACTTCACTTTCATCTAAGACATTATCATAATATTCACGTACCACTAAGTATTGAACCAATTAATTGTTTTTCTTCGGGATCCATATTGAGATGTTGTTTTTAAAAATAGAAAATAAGAATATTTGTTCCCTTTTATAATAATTATTTTAATATACAATTAGACATCAAGCCCTCTTATTTCTAGAATTCTGGTATTCAATTTAATTCCTATACTGAAATAAGCCTAACCAATCAAAAGAAACCCTCTACAAACCTAACAATTTTACCTTTAAATTCTTCTACTTTATAAATACAATTAACTTTATAATTTCTCATATTCCAATCTTAATCTTTTCTTTTTCTATTAAATTAATGTGTGAAATCAGTCTTAAATACCCTCTTTTTCTCTTTAGATCTAAAACAAAAATAATAGAATTTCATTTTCTAATCAAACCAATTCATTTTCTAGTTATACAAATACATATTTGGTGCTGTTTAGTAATATCTCATCTTGATTAATAATAGAGATTTTGGGCAATTAGAATTAAATCATAGATTGAAAAATAGGGTGTCCTTGACGAGAAATAAAAATTATATAAATCTACGGGAGTTCCAAAAAATTCATTTACATTAAGATGTTAATATATTTGTAATGGTTTAAGGTGCTGGATACTGTATATCTTTAATACCTATCTCTTTTACTCTTCATTTTCTTCCATAAATTCAAGTTTTGCTAAACAAGAGTTAGCAATCTTGTAGCTCAATTCTTTTAAAAATTAGTATAAATGGTTATATGTGGTTACGTTCTTTGGTTTAATATCCATTTAGAGTATAATATTGTTATTTGAAATCTTACACCTTCTAAATATCATTTAAAAATGCTGTCTTTTCTCATTCTTATATTACAAAAAATACTTTAGATTACAATGACAATATTCCATACCAAAAAAACTATTGTTATAATAATACTGAACAATAAATTTTGTATCACTTATACTAGGAAAGAAGCTAATATGAAAATAGCAAGCATATTATATGTCATCCTTGATTTCTAAATGCTGTTAAAATTAGGCCATAATCATACATGATTATATGAATGGATTGATCAAGAATAATTGTGCATTTAAATGCATTAGCAAAACTTTCTTATTCGATTTCAATATGACTTAATAACTAGTACAATTTTGAATTTGATTCAGTTGTTTTAAGATTATTAGGAGTAAAGTGAGTTTCTAATAATGGAAGATCTTCAAAAATGATATTAAATGCCAATATTTTAGAATAAATGCTTAGGAGTGTATATATGGATGCAGACATTCTAATAATTTTAGGTGATTCGATATTGCAGTGATGAAAATAGGATTTGGCTTTTAATTGAATTGAATTCGAAGAATAAATATATTAACATAATCACACTAATCTTCTATCATTGAGCAATTTCTTTATGTAATATACTTACCATGCTGTCACTCCACAAATAGCCACTGTTTCTATGAATGTCAGAATCATCAGTTGTTTATTTATCTTTTGTACATCAGCCAAGGCACCTTTAGATTTCAACTCATTCAATTTGGTGCTATAGAAAACGTCTCTGATTTTTTGCAAGAGTCCTTGAACTCCATTTTCAATGGGATCAATGTCATTCTACTCTATTTCTTCTAAAAAAAACGATATCAATGCAAGATGTACCTTTGTCAGATTTAGCGACATCAATAGCGAATTGTACAACTTTTGATTCTTTTGCTCTTTTGTTTTGAAATATCAATTGATAATCTCCTTTTTCAGTGGCATTGAAACTGAAGACTGCTTCTTTTTTCATCATTTTGGCATAGATCATAGAGCCGGAAGGATCAATGACTTTAAAGTCAATGGTGTCCAGGGTGTAGATAGGAATAAAGAAAGTGCCTCTGATGTTTGTGGGAGTTTTCTTGATTGTTTCAATGAATATTTCTTCGCCTCCCTTTTCGATTTAGAATGAGATCATATCATCAGGTAGGAAGCCTCGCATATATTTATCCCAATCTTGCATGATGTCTTTGGTTTCCTCAATGTTGCACCAAGAGAGTGTGAAGAGACCTAATAATATTGGAAACATAAATATATGAATCAATTAAATTGGAATGTACTCTAACCACGTATATGAATTTTTTTCATCTTTTTCTTGCACTCAGTCAGGTCAATAACCTTGTCTTTTTCTTCCATGCTTTCCTCACTATTCAATCTCTCTTGGTCATTCTTATGTTTGCCTGAGGAGGATCGTAAATGAAGTAACTAAAGTAAACATTAAATCTAACTTGAGGATTTTTTTGGGGTATTCCCATGCAAGGATTTTACTTATTGGGAACCTTAAGAGATTTTTTGAATGCCATTTAATTGAGAACTTTTAATCTGGAAACAAAATTGAGGAACTCCTATAATTCATTATTTTCAATCTGACATTAAACTGGAATTTAGACTAAAATTAAAAATTGGATTACGTTTCAGTCTTTTGGTGGTGTCCTTAAACTTCAACAGTTAGTCATAGTGTCTTTTAGATTCTGAATAGATTTCATATAAACTGAGAGCATCAGAGTTGGGCAGGGTGATATATTTGTCTATTATCTTTTCGACTTCAAAGCAAATAAAACTCTAAAATCTCCACACGTCAAAGTAGATGTACTTCTGGATTTCAGAGATGTTCATTTCGGATTTCAAAAGAATTGCAGCACTATTAATGAGATTCTGCATTTTGTAATGCCATAAGAACATCAATTTAGGCTCTACTTGATCCTTGTCGCTTAGGTAAGGATACGAGTTACGACAGGCTGCTCTATAAAGATCGATATTAGCAGCCAGACGTTGAAGATAACTAAAATAGGCGTAAGTAAATTGTGTAATGCTTAGATCCTCGCTAACGTTCATCTCTGTGTAAAATTGTTCGTGCTTCATACGAGTCATTAAGTCAGGTTCTGTCACCAGATTATCTGAATCTTGTTGTTCTATTTGTTTTATCCGACAATCCTTCAGTTTTATTGATATCTCTTGAGTGATGTCTGTGCAATGAAACATCTGGTGGATGACTGCCAGTAATTGAATCAAAGCTGTGCTTCCTGGACTTGGCTTGTACTCTTGCATATAACTAAAGAGGCTGTCAATATAACCTAATTGTATTGAACAATTTATTACTATCATTTGTTGTCAGGTATTAGGCCATCGTTTTTGTCATCTATTTTAAATCAAACTAAACATAAGGACCCATAATCGAGTTTAGAATCTCTTAAAACTTGTTCAATTCCGTTTAATGGATATTAACGGCTGATTTTGAATGAAATAGAGATGTGAATTTGCTGAACAGAGACATTAATATATATAAATTAAAATAATTAAGGTATCCCATTTATTTTGGTTCTTTTAAATAATGTATATATTATTACTAAACCATCATATTTATTAATATAATGAATTTCTTATTCATTTCTTCTTTGCTCGTGGCCAATCTTGTGGCTCAATCGAATTTGAGACCTACCCAGAAGAAATTCGAATCAGAAGTAATAGAGAAAACCATATCCAGAGTAAGTATATAGAACCCATTATTAGATCTCCGACAAAATGAAGGATAACAAACTTAAATATACATTTATAAATTCATTTCCGAACACTCTTGATACCACTGTTACAAACTATGATCCCACCACTCCCGATGCCTTCGTTATCACCGGAGATATAACTGCTATGTGGTTAAGAGATAGCACTAATCAGCTATGGACCTATATGGAGTTTGTCAATCAAGATAGCAAATTATAAAATTTGGTCAAAGGAGCAATAACCCGTCAAATCAATTAAGTCCTAATTGACCCATACGCTAATGCCTTCAATTATCAAAAGAAATAATCCGAGTGGAGTTCTGACAATACAACCAGATGCTTTTTAGGAGTCAATGCACATGCAATGTCTGAACATCTTCACGAGAGGAAGTTCGAAATAGATTCATTAGTGGCAGTTTTAAGATTATCCGTTGGTTATTACAAAGAAACTAAAGATACTTCAATCATTAATTTCAAATACTTAAAGGCTGTTCAAAGAATCCTGAGAACATTTAGAGATCAACAGGCAGATCAAACAGAACAATTTCAAACTAACAGATTTCCATACACTTTTTAAAGAAATGGAAGATCCACTGATACAGTCATTAACGGAATAGGTGAACCCCTAAAAAGAACTGGATTATTAAGAACATTTTTTAGAGCCTCTGATGATTCTACTATCTATTAATTCAACATCCCAGAAAATGCTATGGCTTCAGCAATCTTAAAATAAATAGCTGAGATGTTAAGCGAAGCCAAACTCAGTTGGTCTCTAAGATAAGCAGCTCAACCTTTAATTTAAGAGGCCCTGGCACTATCATCAGAGATCAAAGATGCTATTTATAAATATGGAATTAAAGATGGTGCCTTTGTTTATGAAGTAGATGGTATGGGTAAGCAAGTATTTATGGATGATTCGAATCAACCAAGTTTGCTTTCTCTTCCAATTTATGGGTTTATTGAGATTGATGATCCCTTATATCAAGCCACGAGAAAGAAAGCCCTCAGTTCGGCTAATCCCTATTATTTTGTGGGAACAGCAGCAAAGGGCATAGGTGGTCCTCATATTGGGGCTAATTATATATGGCCAATGGCTATTGTCACTCAAGGATTGACTACTAATGACAAATCAGAAATCAGAGAATGCTTGAGGATGTTAGTGACAACCACTGGAGGCAAATGGTTTATGCACGAAAGCTTTTTCAAGGATAATCCTTCTAGTTTCACAAGATCTTGGTTTGCATGGGCAAATGGATTGTTTGGAGAATTAGTGTTGAAGATAGATAAGGAATACCCAGAATTATTAGAAGAGAATTATGCTTGATAATATAATAATATTTCAGTGCTATTTAAGTAAATATGCTCTTAATCTCATAAACACTTTGACATCCATCTTCTCTGGCTTGGTTGTCAAGTTGTCAATCATTTCTAAATGGGCCTTTAATATTCTGGCTTTGGACTGTTAATAATTAAAAAGTTGCTCTCCCCAATTTGAGTCTTTAGGAATGATTGGAACTGAAATCTTTTTGTATAAAGAATTAATAATTCTTCTATATAGAACTAAGATCGTTTCTTCGTTAATTAATTCATCTCCATCTAATAATTTAACGTAGGTCCTAAGGAATTTAACTAAATCTAAATTGAATTGGCTTTTCTTTATTTTAAATTCAGAGGTTAATTAATTGAGACTGATTCCTCTTGTGTTTAAATTTAGAAGTTCTTTATATGGTACGTAATGCAATTAAACTAATTTTTCAACGGTTTGTCAGGAAATCGTACTTCGTATTGCAATCCATAAAGATTCTGAATTTCACTCTGTCATACTTATTCTTGCTCATTGCAAATCCATAGTACATCAATAGATGCTCATTGCCCAAACATCCATACAAATTTAAGACTTACTCTCCTTTTTCAATATCATCCACTGCTCTTGCTGTAAGATAAGCTGGACATTTGAGTGTTGATTACTGTATATCTGTGTACCAATCATGTTCACTTTCATCCAAAGATTATTCATAATAATCTCTTAGATAATCATCATTTACTGCAGCTTAGACTTTCGATTCTTTGGTATTTAATTACTGTGATTGACTGTTGCTTTGTTCAGTAGTAGGTTCATCCTCATCCTCTGAATCCTCTGCTATCATCAATTTTGTAACCCAAATATCTGGTGCTCCTGTTCTAAGTAATTCCTAAAACAATTTTACTAATAATTTATTCAATATTTTGGAGCATCTCTCACTCTCATTTACTTTTACACTCTCTATTACTTCTTAATCTTCCTAACTAAACCAATACTTATTTTGGGAAATGTATTTGAATTTCATATAATTATTCTAATGGTATTCTTCAGGCTTATAGTTTTCTTGTTCCAAACCAAAGATTGCTTTATTCTTTCCATGATTTATCATATCTATCATTGGCACCAAAAATGAAAAAGGGTATTCGTTATTAACACTTAGTCTCCTATTCATGCAATATCGATATGCCCAATCATAATCATCAGCATTTAATCCTATTTCCATTACCTCTGCCTTTGCTGCCTAATACTCCTCCTCAAATTCTTGTTTCAATTCTCTTAAATAATCAAATGGAATTGGTTGATCACAGTCGAGTAAACAAATGGGATTTGCTGAAACATCAAATATTGGTTTTAGTTTTCCATGTCTTTATGTTGTCAGATAAAGGATTAAGGTTTGGAAATCACTTTTTTTGTTACCAATTTATTGCAATGATGGATAGATATGAGGATTCCTCTTCATAATATCTACACATTATTCATTTTAGAATACTGTGAATGCGCTGATTGCAAAAGTATGGGAAACCTTTATGAGGAATTCTCCTGATTCAATATTTTCAACAGCTTTGATTCCAAACATACCACCGTAATCTTCCATTTCCACTTTATTCATCTGAATTCCCTCTCTTAGATAATCAATGTAATTATTCTTCAATTATTGCATTAGAATGATAAATAAATAAATAAAATATTTTCATTTTTAATAGTTGTTTTTCCATGAATAGAGTCCCTCATATTTTTTATTGCTACCACTTTATTCGATCTTCTTCTCTTACCCAAATTTCTTTGATGGCACACTTTCTAATTATTTTAATTAATTCTACTGTTTATATTAACCTTTAATCTTTTCATATGACATTTGACACTACCAACATTAGTATTATATAATTTACATCAAAAAATGGCGAAGTCAAAGGATGATTCAATTTATGGAGATCTTTCTGATTATCCTTTTGAGTATCTGTGTTTATATTGCGTAATTTAGACTCCTATATATTGTTATTCGACATTTTACTTTAATACTCATATCACCAAAATCTTTATAATCTCTATTGCTATCAAAATTGGACCATTTTATTTAAGGGGAAAGACTACGCTACGGTCTTAGCCACTTTCTTTCTTTGCTTCCCAATTCTTATCCAAAAAGATCAGAGAATTATTAATTTTATTTCTTAGACTAAATATTAATCTCATTCTCTATTATTTTAGAAGGACTCTTGTGAGCTGAACCATCATAATATTATTGTTGTAACTCTTGATGCTTTCTTTGTTTGGCATAATCTTTTTCGAATTCTGCCTTCTCATTCACAGATGTGAGTACTTTACCATAATGCACATTTGTCCATTAGACTGATGTATTAATTAATTATTAATTTTCAGGTGATTTAGCTACCACATCGATATTTTTAGTGTTCTCAAATACATTACTTGATAGGTCTACTTGTTTTCGTTATTTATCGTTTCTAGTTATAGACTATTTATTAGTATTGTAGTTATTCTTAACTTAATTGAACTTTTCCTATGTTTCTTATTCGCTTTAACCAGCATCCTAAACAAAATAGAAACTTTGTTTAGGTTAATCTTTCGGCCTATGAGGAGATGAGGATTTCAGATTTGTAGATTAAGGATTGAATTATATGATCTATGACATTGTATCTTGAGGAGCATATTGTTTTCTTGGAGATGAAGTCTGATAGCCTAGATTACTCTTGCCTTATTAATTACCTGGAGAATTATCATTTTTCATTTTTTAATATAATAATAAAATTTTTTTCCTTTGCTTTTCTTCGTAATATTAGGAAATCATATAATTATTGTAATTTAAGGCACTCAATTTTTCTTATACAAATTACCCTTCCTCTTGATTTAATATTAAGATAATTAATTTATATTATTATTTCAACACAAAATCAAGAAAATTCATGAATTTAATGGCAAACAAATTAAGAAATTATGCATGCCTTTTTAATTAATCAAAGTAATGGAAATGAATTTTAATTTAATGATAAAATATATATATATAATATTCATTTAATTAAAATCAGATCTCTGGCTAATTTGATTAGTTTACTTTTTAAATTTTCACTCACTTCTTAATTCATTTAGAGTCCATTACAATAAAGTATTTCATGGGTGGAGGTCGTTATACGATCCTATTTAACAATGAACTCTCCTACTAGTTCATCTGTTGGAACCTCCTACTTGAACTTCTTGTTTTGATCCCAATACCATTTGTAAATCTTCTCTTTTGGTAAATTAGTAACGTTGGCTATTTCTTTGATTGTATTTTGTCCCCATTGCTATTGTCTAAGATAAAAGTCATTTAATGTGTCGATCTGCTTTTTTGATTTTTTGAAACGGGAACATTTATTCTCCTTTGACATTATAATTAAATTTAAAATTGTACAAATTTCATGGCATTTAATTTTACTATCTCAAAAATTACTAAAAAATGTGTTCTAAAATGTTATTTATTCAATTTTATATTTATATTATAACAGAAAAATAAGATTAAAATTTTATATTTATTAATATTCATTCAATCCTAATTTTATTCTTCCATAATTGTGGCTTTGATTCCAATTCATAAATTCCTTTTTTGCAAGAAATCTATATCTAAAATTTAAAATAAACCTTAACTTTATCCATAAGCTTTTATGGTTGATCCAAATTCTTCAATCTTAACCCTTTCTATTTATTTTAAAGTCTCATAATAACCAATTACACAACAGATATAAGTAGGATGAACAAGGAACCATAATTAAAAAGAATATCTTTTTTAGTAGATTTAGTCATCTTAATTATTAAATGCTTGTTATTTTATTCATTTTAAGAAGGGAATAAACAAATAAATTTATAAAAGGGAAGAGAACATTGATATTTTAGATATGAAAATTTATTGTAAGCATTTCATCCTCTTTAATTTGATCCTGCACTTCTATTTCTGATTTATTAAGAAACACTCGGACAAGGTCTTGCAAATGTTCCATTAGAATTTGGTCTCCAAGGTTTTTCAAATGTTTGGGTGGCACTCAATTTTTCGAATGTATTTTGTTTTGTTTTTATATCAGGACCACCTTCTTCCATATATTGAAGCACTTCGAAAGTTCCTTAAAATCCTTTTTTATTTTAGTTTGATGGTCTGAATGGATTTCCTTTATAAAGAGGTGGTTTTTTTACTAAAGGATTAATAAGTTATTACATATGGTATATCCTGCTCCATCTACTAAGATACCGTCTGCAGTAAAGGGTCTATTTCCATGGCTAGTAGTGACAAATCTCGTTGTTCCAGGTAGTTATTTGCTTTTGTGTTGTATTCTCTCCTTTCTTTCCATTTCTTCTTGTCTATCATAAGGATCAGGAATGTATTCTATCTAACTAAATAAATTCTTTGTTGTTGTTCTGCCTAATCCTTTTTTAGCAGGGTTGGTCAAAAAGTTTCTAGCTTGAGTGATGACATTTCCAGCTGAATTTCGAGTTTTAAAGACCTTATCATTATATTCCTTCATATGCTCAAACTCGGAATGTTTACTGAATAAGTTAAATTTAATACACGGATTTTTAGTGGTCATTTGGCTTGAAGCTATGGGGATTTTTAATGGCCAATTCTCTCTCTTTATCATAAATTTATTTAGCTTTAAATGAATCTTTATATGGGTCATCTAATGTAGTATATCCAGGCTCTGAAAACAAAGCAGGTTCATGCTTTTTTTAGAGTTTTTTATTAATTAGAATTGCTTTCTCTTTGCCTTAGCCTTTTGATAGAGGAAATATTGAATACTTTTCAAGGCATCGTTATATTAATCCCCCAATAATAAAGGTGGTGGCTAATTGAATAATCCATGGCGCTCTCTTTCATTATGTGTAAATCATACCTCTGTGAGATGTTTTCTAAATCGCGAATGTAATTGTCATTGGAAGGAACTCTATACTGAGTTGACATCAAATATAAATAATAATTATCATAATTTTCTTTCATATTTAGAATCATAAGCATATCTATACTCTGTAACTTTGTTATTCCCTCTAATACTCTTGTGAGTTTTCCACCCTTTTTAATCCCCAGTACTGTTATTTTATAGAAACCCAGAATTTTGAAACTTCTTGTTCTTTAATACTTTTTCGGTTTGGCGATGGGTTGGCTAAACCAAGGTTTTCGGATTCTTAAATTAAACCTTAGTGGAAGTATTCCACTTTTCATCAGTGATAGGAACATGACTAAAAGCCTCTCTTGTGATTGCTGAGAAAGGCCTGCCAAATATATTTTCTGATTTGGTATATGGAATATGTCCAGAGTAACCAGGAATGGCTGAGTTCTTAAGAAGGATTTAATCTTAATTCTTCATGGTTTAATAGCTGGTTCTATAGAAATGATGTTTGGTCCAACCAATCAAGTAATTCAATATTTATAGATAATTGCATAATTATATAAATCATTCAAGTTATTCTCTTTCATACAACTAAAAAGCATATATAAAATAATTACAGGTCTATCTTGATCCTCTTCATAATATTCTTCTCCTTGATAATCTTCATCTTCCAATTCAACAATATCATCATCCTCATTAATAATATCCTAGACATCGACATCATCTTCTTTGTTTTATTTCCTATCAAAGTATTGCTTTCCACTAATCTTCTTCATCATTTCCTCTACTTAATTAAAATTCTTTTCTCTCTTCTTAATTTCATAAATCTCTTAATCGAATTTCTTCTTCCAAAGCTGTAAAACTTTCAAGTGTAACAGGGGTATTTGTTGCAAATTTAGGCATGGGTGGTATATAAATGTAGTTATCGTCAGGCTTTGAGTTTTATTGATCATATAATTCTTATAAGTACATTGATTGATCAAACACATAATCCTAAGTTGTCATTTATATAAATACCCTCAATGCTTCAACAACTGCAAAGACTATTGGTTGAGAATCTGCTTCTTTTTCATGATGATCAATTACTGATTCACAAACCTTTCTGGCTCTAATTAAATTATCCTAGGTGAAATTTCTACTCAATCCTTAAATCTCAAAGTGAAATCTTTATGATTTTAAAGGGTAATCGTCTGGAAAGGCAACGAAAATTTTGCAATAGACTACATTGTCATGATAAAATTAATCAGCTGGCACGAATGGGGCAACAATTACTTAAAATGAATAAGGATGCACATCTTTTAAATTGCTCATAGTCTGATAAATAGATAGAAGATAATGCATTTAGTTCCTCTTTTTAGAACGCTCTTTGATCACATTATTCATTATGAGTTTGGATCATAATTAATTATTTTATTAAAATTCATACAATAATAGAATAGATAAGGGATATTTTGTAATGTACCAAATATATATGAAATCATGCCTTCTTCTTTAATTTAGCAGCTTATTTGGTGGCAATGTCGATCTTTTTTAAAGCATTAGCTCTTTCTTTATTTAGCTGATTTAATCTCTTGGCTCTGTATTTGGTGTGATCTCTCTTTTGGATTTTATTTAGCACCTCTCTTGACTCTGTCGCTATTCTTTCTGATTTTCATTCATGAATCTTCTTGAACCAATTCTTAAACTGATTTGACACCAAGCCTAATTAATATTAATTTATTAAATTACAGTCTTCAAGGGTTTATTCCCAATTGTGGAATTAGACATCAAACTTAAGATCTTCCATCTTTGGTTTGTCTTCTTCTCCTTTTATAAGAGAGCCATATATTTATCAACATGAACACCAAAGATTCTGTCCTTGTGAACATTGGCATCATATTTTTCTTTCTTGTCATTATCGACAGAGAATCCTGGGAATCTTCTGTTGTTGTGGGGGATGTGAATACCACCATCAGCAGCTCCCTTTAAGGCGGCGAAGACTCTGTTACCAAGAGTTGATCTAACCAAACCAATATCAAGAACAGCAAAGAATGGTCTTTCTCTCTGGGTTTTCCTTTTCAGCTACATCATACAAGTTTCCATCAATGGTTTTATTGCCTTCATAGAATTTATCCATCTTCAATGTCTTGAGTGTTCTTCTGGCCAATAATAAACCTGTGGCATAGGCAGCGGCATAATTTGTCAAACCACTTGTCAAACCGAATCTCTTTAATTCAGTTGATTCAGCAGCAGCCACTACCTTGTCACCCTTCAAAGTAGCGTAAATGACTTAGCAGATGATCTTAGTATTTGTGTGTCTAACAACAAATCTGTATTTTGGGGAATTGTATTTATCCTTGTCTTAGACTATCAATCTGCTTCTTGCATAGTAGTCGGTCTTTCCTTCTCTTCGTCTTCTGAATTTGGTTTAGAATCTCTTGAAATATGGTGTTCCTTTAACAAGCTTAACAAATGCCATTAATTATTAAAAAGATTTGAATTTTTCATAAATTACACCCAAACACTTATATATAATTGCAATTATTCTAGCGGTTGTTTGTTAAACTCCAAAAATAGTCGAATATGTTCCTACTCTAATTTTCTCGTTTAATATAATTATTCAAAATTTAACAGACCTCAAATTGAATCAATATTAAAGTTGAAAACTATAATATTAAAATTGAAGGTTTAGCAATTATCTTAGTTTTTGTTTAGATATGGGTTTGCTCTACTATTTACTATTTTGAAAATATTGATAAGTTTTGATGATAAAGAAATGTAGATAATAATATTTAAATTAAATCTTGAGAATTGAGTAATCCTTATGTTTTCACAATAAGTGATTCAATTCGTTTCAATTGTATTATTAGAAATAAACATTTTAAATATTCAAAAACGACACTTATCATTTTATATTTTAACATTAAAATGTTCATAATCACGGAATAATAACATCTACTGTTGTAAAAATTGGCCTAAACCCGTAATAATGATAAATAAAGACTAATTAGCAAATAAAGCAGATCTCTCAGACCCTCACTTTTCTTAAATGATATAAATAGCATTGTAGATAATTCTTTTCCTACTATTTAATAATAAAAATAGGTCTAGCATGAAGAATTATCTCACAAGCCTGAAGAAATCATACAGATCTCATCAGAAAGAGAGTATATCAAACTCCCTAAGATTGGAAGATTTTCTAAACTTCGAAAATCAACCCAAACTGAAGTGAACGAATTCTAATTTTTGTCACAACAGAATTCTCCTATTCGGAACAATTAAGATACATAGTAATTAGAAAAAAAATATTTTTCCAAAACACCTTTAAAGAACACAGGAACTCTCCTTCTTCAAGGAAATCAAAGCACAAAAAAAAAGAGTGTTAAATTCAATCCATAAATTGAAACAATTAATGAAGCAGGCTTGATTGGCAGAGAATATATCGAAATTACTTAGAGACAAAGCAGATTCAAAAAATAAATTGTTAAACTTCACACACAAGTAAACTGATTATCTTAAATATCTATAAATAATTATTGTCACAGAAAATTCTCAAAGTTATTAAGCATCTTCCTCAGTATTTACCTCTTTTTAATCACTTTATGAACCCTATTAATATTCTTCATTCATTAATAATTCGTCACTCTGCTTTTATTATTACTCACCTTATCCTTGTAATTACTCAAACTATTATAATTCTTGAGATTCATTATTATTAACGATAAAATCCGATGAAGTATCTTTAATACATTCACCAGTCTAATCAGCTTCTAAATTAGTTTCCGCATTTTCATTCAGAGTTAATTAACCAACTTGTTCTTCTATTTTCTAATCTGCTTCTTCTAGTAATTATTAATTTTGAATCTCTTCTTATCTTTGAATCATTTCTTGCTTCTCTTCTCTCAATTCTTTTAGGATTTTAGGTTCTTCCTTAACTTATCTTTAGGGTACTTCCTCATCATCAACTTCCTCTAGCTAAGTTTCCTAAAAAGAAGTAGATTCTTGATTAAGGTTTGTGTCATCTTTTTCCTATTACTAGGCCTCTGGTTAGACTTCCAAAGTAGATTGATATTTAACAAGAGATTTAATGGCCTTATCATTTGAGAGTAAATTAATTACATCATTCAATTTTTAATTTTTTGATAATCTTCCTTTTAATTTTATATTGAATAATTACCTTGATCTTTGATATGATTCTCTATGGCCATATATAACATATACTTTACACTCTAAACTTTGTCTTGAGCTAATTCCACAAAAGGATTTAGAAGATAAGTTTCAAAGATGTCATCCTCTAAATTCATTACTTTTGAACACATTTAAATAAATCTATTTACATATTATATTTAAATACGATTATCTTTGATAAAACACTGAAGACTTTTGATAGCCAATCATGCTTTCGATGATGCAGAATTTGTATTGTTCATATAAAGGTGAATTTTTGATTCCTTCAAAAAAAGAATAAATTTTTGAAGATGCTATCTTTCTTACTTATGCTACATTATCGGTGCACAACTTAAAAGCAATAGGCATAATCATTTTAAATATAATATCTGCTGGAAATATGTGAGCCATCTCATCTAATTAATTGGCTATTGATTCTCTAATTCTCCATTTCTTTTTATCTTTCTAAATAAAAAAAAATATTTCCAAAAATCCTTCTTTCTTTTCATCTGAAAATATTTTCAAAAATTATGACAAATTCTTAACACAACCCATCAACACATTATCATTTGGTTCCTTTACAAAAATGGTCTCTAAAATAGGAAACAAATCTATTTCAGCTCTCTCTGCTCCAATAATTTTAGCTATTTCATGAAGACTGGCGGCCAAAGTCTTACAGATTCTCTCGTTTTTTTATTTCCATAGATGATTAAATAATTTATGCAATTATTACCATCTTGCTACTCCAACTGTCTACAAAACTGCAGGAAAACCATAAGCACATGCGAACATTACTTACTATTCAGGAAGTAATTCTCTTACATCCGAATCAGCCATTTTCAAATAGTTTTCAATTAGTTTTGGTTCGAGTTTGTCTTTCTCTATCGCTGCAATAAATCTAGCCAAGCATCTATATGCTACTCCCTTAACATATTTATTCGAATCACTAAAATAGAAATATTTTTTTTGATTACTTTTAGAATTACAACAGCTAGGGTGTAAGATCAGTAATTTTTTAATTTTATGACGACAATTCTACAATTTGTAAGAAATGCTCAACACATGCTGTCTTTACTTTTGTATTTGTTTCTTTGCATCTTTTCAAGTAGAATGGGAACAATTTTTTATTATAAAAGTCCTTTCCAACTATTTTTGCAACCAAGGGCAACTGGTTTACTGCCTCCTTTCTTACATCTTGCTTTGAATCCTCTCCAAGAGACATTACCTCGAAAGCTATAAAAGATTCGCTTAATTATATCCCGAACATTGATGAGAGCTTGCCCATTAATTACAAAGCCACTATTCTATTATCCTGATTGAGGTCATCATGTGCCATCTTTATTATTATAGGCAATAATTGATTTCCCTTTTCATCTCCTTATAAATGAAGAGCAATCTTTGTTAATTGTTAGCCTGCAAGCTCCTTGATTTTCAAAATGCTATTCAGTAAGAAAAAGCTTAAAATTTGTATGACAGGTTACTAAGCCTATTATGCTACTTCATAGATCAAATTGAGTTATTCTATAAACATTATCTAAATTCTTTCATCTTCAGTTTTCTATATTAAATATTACAACTATATTACATATTTTTCCATAATACCAGGCAATTTATCAATTGATTTTTATCCTAAATTTCTCATACAATAGCTAATATGCTTGGTGTAATTCTCCTTGTCTATGTTGGTCATCTTGTGGATATTAGATAATTTGTTAAGAAGCTATTCTTAATCATCATCTAAAACAAAAGAGTGGATATCGCCTTGCTTCTGGTTCAAGAAAAAGGCCTCTTCTTTCAATATTTAATTCATTATAGACCGGTCATCTGATTTCAGTTTGGGAGAAATTTTAATGTTATACATATTTTTTAAATTAATATTAAGCAATTAATGTTAGCATCATGAACTTTTCTTTTTTGATATTTACTTCTTTTAAATTTGAACTTGCTTTTATTAATCATTCCGTGACAAAGGCTCATTACATTATTTCCTTTGATTTTCACTCTCCTTATTTAGTACCTCCTTTTATGATCTTTTTCGTTAATTTTTTGAATTCTTTTAAGAATTCTTTTTCTATATTCTTTATTTATCCTGCTCCAAATCCAATTATTTATAATGCAAATTGATTTCGTTTCTAAATTTCCTGAATATAAACAAGGTAGCTCTTGCATCAATCTCAGAACTGTGTTGTCCTTATTAAATATTTTGACCCAAATACTTCAAACACATCTTTTTTAAACCCTTATTTAATTGAGAATATTACTTGATCCCTCCTCTAATTTCAAAAAGTCTACTTTCATTAAATCTCTAGTTTAGTAATCCTACAAATCAAATTCCATAGCATCAAAGTCACTTTTTAGAGTATGTCCAATTATTGTCTTGTCTATAAATAATTATCTTTTTATCTACCTTTAAATAAAAGTTAAAGTTTTTATTTCTCAAAGTCATTATAAACTGGCTTATCTTTAATTATTTATGGAGTTATCCCAGATATTCGAGTAATATAATTTCTTACTTTAAATCTTGGTTTGTAATATTGATCCAAAACAACATAGCCATTATAATTAACTACTGTAATTCTAGCAAGCATTTATACACTGGCTCCAATCTCATTTTTGCATTCAACCATTTCACAATCTATAGCCAAAATTGATCCTGTTTGATTCTGACTTCCAGGAACAGGAAATCTAACATCAAAATTTTAAATAGCTTCTGTTATTGTTTAAAGTTTCTATAATTCTTAGGGAACTTATTTATGTAAAACCTTATTGAACATAATTAAAATCTGATAAAAATAATTTCTACAAATTATTTATTTAGCGAGCCAAACGAGTTTATTAATACAATATTCTTTATTAATTTTGAACTATTTAAGATTTTTTAATGAATAAAATTAAATTAATAATGATGCATTATTTAAACTATTTACTTTAAATCTTACAATTAATGTTACTCCAAATAGAATCAATGTAATCATAGTTTAGGTTCTTATGTAATTTATTTATTATAAAAAAAAGATTGAATAAATTAATTTTTATTTTTTAATCATTGTTCAAACAGTAAGAATCTTTAAAAATTTACAACAATTTGGTTATAACATTAAAATAAATATTTCAACATGTAAGTTGATATAATTCTAAACTAGCTAAAATTTAGAGCCTTTCAGTTTCAATTAATTCTTCTTAAACTCTTCTCTTAAATCTTGATAAGGATCTATCAACTGAATATTCCATCAATTTTGAGTTTTTCGAAGAACCCAAATCATTCATATTTTATGAAAATTAAACCTCTTCATTTATGGATTTCTAAATAAATAATCAAATTACGTTTTCCTTAAAAGAAACCTCTTCCATATCCTTAGTGATCTTTTCTTCATCGTCCTTGTCCTTTTAATTAAGCTCAATCACACTCATTGCTATTTCTTGAAACTATCTCTTTTTTTCAGGATTATACAGTTCTCTTTCATCTCTTGTACAAAGATCTTAAGCTTTGAATTCTTTAGAAATAACCTTCCTTCTTAATTCGAAGTTTTTATCATCCTTCATATGTAAGTAAATTAACTTGCATCTATCTACATAGTGAGATTCTAGTCTTCCTTTGTGTTGCACATTCAATTTAATATGAACAAACACTTCTATATCTAAAGCCAAATTTCTTATGAATTGAAATAACAATGTATCAGATAAAGTAATAATTTCTTTTTCCTATTGACTAATAGAATTTTATTATTTATGCCACATGTCCTTTAATTCCTCAACCCCGTAGAATATCACTGAAAAAAATTTCTCTCTCACTTCTTACCTTTTCTTTTCAAAATTAGATAAATTTTATTCCATTTATCTGTATCTCTCAACCCAAGCTTTCATCTTTTCAATACTAGTATTTGAAATGTTTTTATAGGGTTAAGAGGTTTATTTTATTGTTTCGTTTGTAGTGATTTTAGCTGTTGGAACCTCTTTATAAATTGATTTTTTTTTTGAATCCTCATAACATATATTATTTTATTATATAACATGAACTTAGTTTTGCAAGTACCCTTCTTTAGTTTTGATTTTCTTTACCATTTTATCGAGATCTATTTTCCCTTCATTTAATTCTACTTCTTCTTCTCCTTCCTCTTCAATTTACATATAATTTTATCTTTCATTTATCTTATTCTGATAATACTTTTGGTCACTATGATTTGTATTTCTAGAATGAAGACTTTTTTTGATATGTTCTGGAATGACATTATTACTGATTTATTCTCTACATGTATCACAATTTACTACTCCATAATCTAATTTATTTATCAAACATTCAACATGGAATGCTTTTTCACATTAATTACAAAGGACAAGAACCTAGTCAGGATTCACATATTGACCACAAAAACAGGATTTTAGTGCAGGTAAAAATTCTTTCAAAACGTACTATTGTCTCATTACATATCCTTTTTTTTATTTCATTTAAATATATTCATGTAGCTTAGATAATAAAACCTTTTCTATAATATCAGTTATTTTCCCTTTTTTCAATTATTCAGTCTTAAACACCTCAAACTGTCCATGATGTGGTTGCTTACCTAATAAAAATTAATAAATTAAAATAGAGCAATTATATTTATTTTTCTAATGTGAGGTTAAGCAATAATTATAAATAATAAATACAAGATATAAAGCAACCTGTTGGTAATTCTTCACCCAATATATATTCAAAATATTCGAACCAATCTTCTTCTTAGTTTAAATTCTCGATTTTACCTATTCCAAATCCCTTTCCCTTTTTAAATTTGACAAAATCAGAAAAGGTATAGTTCTTACTCATTAAATTATTTATTTTATTAATTGCTTATTGGTTTGATTTTGCTAGTCTTTAATATTATTAATTTTCACACAATATAAGCTACTCAATTTTAAGTTTAATTTTAGATTATATTTGTTGAATTGAAATAATTTAAGGAACTAATCAATCAGTTCAATTTATAAACTAATTAAACTATATTAGAATTTAATATTTTAGGAGTAACAAAAAGTTATTTAAAATATACATGCATTTTTAAATATTCTATTATTTTATTTCTACATTTTTAGATTTAGTAGTAATACAGAGAAGGGTAGTTTGATTTTAATGATAGTTATTATTATTATGTTATAAAGTTTGATATATGGTTAAATATAATAGATAGTAAATATATTTTACACAGATTAAATACTACAAGAGTTATTAAAATAAATATTTTGCAATAATTTTATATAAAATATTAATCTTAAAATGAACATGTAAAGAAAAAGCCATTCTCCTGAATTAAGAAAAGAGCTAGCTTTAAAATTATTGAGAAATGAAAAACATCCTTTTGTCTCCAAATAATCTTAATCCCCAGAAATAAAGATGACCAGATCAACAGTCTCTTAGAAGCGTAAGGCCCAAGATCATCCAGTCAATTCCCCTATCATTGAGGATCTTTTGAGACAATGCAAATTGCTAGAGGAATTAGTTAAGAAGTCAAAGAAGGTAAAAGTTCTTATGGATAAGAGTAGATTATTGATGAGAAAGAAACTAAAATTTAACTTTTACTTCAATTACTTAAACAAAGAGAAAACTGTTGCAAGGAGCTATAAATGTAATCACACAAATTAATGGAAGAGAGGCAAATTTTAATAGAACACATTACACAATTAGAAAACTAACTCAATCTATAAGAGGAAGAAGAAGCATGTATGATTTAATATTTAATGTGCAAGATTCGCAAGATGGATTTTAACAACATATGACGAATTTAAATGATTTGAGACACTTTCTAAATCAAATTCGTCATAGTAATGAAGACATCCCAGTTTTTGTTGATGTTGATAATCTGACTTATGAATAACTTCTCCAACTTGAAGATACTATTGGGTACGTAAATAGAGGTTTGAGCAAAGAACAAATAAAAACTATTCCAAAAATAAGCTTTGATTAATGCAACACAGATGAATAATTGTAAATAACATAATATTAATCATAAGATGCTCTATATGTTAAATTGAATTCGAGAGTACTGACAAATGCAGAGCTCTTCCATGCTAACACATCTATCATTCAAAATGCATAAAACTGTGGTTAGGAAAAGAAAAACATTGTCCGATATGTAAACAAGAACTGGAAATTAATCTGCCAATCTAGTATCAAACGGAAGAATAAGTAATGGTAGAACAATGAATTAATAAATTATATATCTTATAATGTACAATTGATTATCTTCATCATTATTTATATTAGGTTCTTTTCAATCAAATAAATTAAATAATATTGGAGGTATAAATATATCTTTCTATTTTTCAACAATTATCATTTGTCTTATAAAATGAAGTTCTTAAGAAGTTTAATATCTTCCCAACTTGATATTATAAAGTATCACTTATATTTATCAAGATTCATTTTATAAAAAATAATTATGAACTTTTTATATAATTTATGATTATTTTTATGCTTTCTATTAATAGTTGTTAAGAAATTTTCTCTTTTAAATTTAATTGCTAAGCCTTTTGATAATATCCATTTACTAACAATAAATTTACTTTATTACTCCAATAGATGTTTTGTATTTTGGACTCTTTTAATCGTGTATTTGATTATCACTTTTACAAAAAGGCAGTTTTTATATGTTTTATTCTTCTTTTAGTTCCTTTTTAGGCTAGCTCTAAAACATTAAATTCAGTTGATATTTTCTAAACCAACCATTTTTTATAGATTAAATCAATTAATATTTAACATTTTGTTCCAATCCTAGTTTTTGTAATTATTCTTATAATTTATACCATAGCAAAAGATTTTAATTGAGGTACTTAAACTATTTATTTTTCTCCTAATTATTTTGTATATATTTTCTTAAAAGATGATAATTGATAATCATGATTTAAATTAATTATAGGCTTTGCCTATAGTTTTAAGTCTACTGTTTTCCCTCATAAACTTCTTAAATTAGTAATTTTGTCCTAAGTTCTACATTTTATTATATTAATATTCTACTAATAATATGCTTTGATTCATAACTATATTACGATAGATTAATATTTTAATTAAAAAGTGTTGGCTCTATGTCTGCGAACTGATATGATCTTAATTCATTAATTTAATTAATTTTAATTTTGCATTAACTTCATTATTATTAATTTTCTGATTTTACTTTTTCATATTCTCTAATATTTATTGATTAATTTCGACTACTAATCTTTTATAAACACTTAATGTAAAATATCTAAATAAACTAATACTAGCTTTTAAGAAATTATTTATAACAAAGATAATGATGGCATTATAATTTGCAATTTGCTCAAGATTTTCTAATTTTAAATAAGATTTTTTTCAATCTATATATATGGCATTGTTTTTCACTAAGAGCTATCTGTATTCCCAAATAGATTTATATATATTGATTGAATGTTGAAATTTTTTAATAATGATTTTTATTCTTTGACTCTTGAATGTGAAATCAAATTTATTGATAACAAAATAAATGAAATTTCTTATTGTTAATGGTTATCATGCTTCTCGGAACAACTTTAAGTAAATCGAATAATTCAAGTAGTTAATATGGGATGTACAAATATAATTTAGTTAGATTACATAATAATTAAAAGAAGTTGCGGATGTTGAATTCGATTTTGCAATTGCTGATAGGCATTCAGTATAAGAATATCTCTTTGAACCTGAAACATCTCTAGTTCGACCAGAACATGGATTGAAATTCGATGCTCTCGACATGATCTTCATAGCCGCATCACCAAATGTTCGTCCATGGCATAATAGAATGAGGAGTGTAAGTGAATGTCATTACATAAGATAATCACGCTTATTCGAATGTGTTTAAAAACAAAAAAACTATTATTTATGACTTCTTTTGGTGCTTAAGCGCTCGCATATTTATGTGCCACAAACATTTAAAATGTATAAAATAATAATTAATTGTATATAGTATATAAATATAACTAATGGATATGGTGAGGGATGTAAGCTCGTAGATTTTCCAAAATATACGAATTAAGCATTAAAAAACGGGTCTGATGATTTCTTTTTGGATTCTACAACTGGTGATATCTATTTCTACAGCAAGTAAACCGATGAATGGATACCTAAAGCCAATGTAGGAATTCATCATCGAAGAGATGCTATGGAATATTAATCCATTGGAAAATTTGTTGTTAAATCTCCAACCTACAAACCTAAATAATAGATGCTTAGTAACTAAACTGAAATGACATGCATTATCAAAAAGTAGTTCTTAAATTATTGGTTGTTTAAAGATGTCTAAATGGAATTCTCAATTAAATAATCTAATGCTTGGGATATACACACAATTACATTCGTTAACCCGGAAAAAGTTTAAATTTGTTTATATGAATATAGAGATTTTCGGTTTTAGCAGAAAATAATTTTAGAGGACCTCTAATTCTATAATGTGACAATATTTTAGCCTTGCTTTTTGAAATCGAAAGTAAATCTAGAGATCAATTCAATATCATTCAAAATTTTATCGAAAACGGAATTAAAACCATAAGATATTCAAATCATTATGTATCAATTAACTAATCAATTTTTAGAATCAAATAAGCATTACCTATGAAAAATATTTTAACAATTAAAAAGGCATCAAAAATATAGAAATTGTATTTGACAAAACTCTGAAAAAAACAAATAAATTAGATGATTCCATCAAACCTAAAGGTATGGAGTATAGAAAACTTATCAATGCACAAATTTAAGAATAAGAAAGGGAGAAAATACATTCTATTTAAGCAGGACTTACCAGTAGAAATAATAAATAGTCAGAGTAATTTCTTTTTCATTAAAATTTAGTGTTGTGTCTCACAATAATATTATGTAAAAGAATTATAAAGTGAAAAGAAGAAAATCCTTTTCCTTAAAGTAATAACAACTTATGATGCTTTCTTAATAAGTTCAGAATCATGAGTTTCTAAAATAAAATCCTAATCTTGATAATTTCTTGTCCGATTAATAATAACCCAAAAGCAGTAGGCATCTCAAAATCAATACAGAACCAAAACCTTAACCTAGACTCAAACAGGAAGATGATTTTGACTATGACCAGAGAGCACATAAAACCCAATTTAATTAAGTTTAAGTTCGGAAATTATTACACCCCTCTTTAGATGAATAATTCTTAGGATAGAAAAGATTTTGGATTCCAGGATTCTTGAATTACAAATACACAGATATCTAATCTGGTCTTCCTTCTACAAGAAAAGGTAGTCGACCTTTGACTGATCGCTTTTGATTTCTTAATTTAATTAACCAATAATTTACCTTTATTAGTTTTACTTCGATAAAATCATTAATGCTATGACGATAGTGTGAACTCTTGAACAATAGATTCTTAAATAATTATTATAACATTATTTCGAATTCAATTTAATACATCTATAGCAAAGATAGTGTGTTTTTCAATAAAAGCTTATATGATAATTAATTATAATTAATTTTTTTAATTAATACTTAAACGATAACTTTTATTATGAATCAAGAGTCTATTGATGAATCCCTGGAAAGATTGTAATTCATTTTATTATCCTTCTTAGTCGAAGAGATAGATAAAATATTAGAGAAAAAATGGCAGAGAGAAATTAATTATATGAGAAAGCAGCCTAAAATTATTTATCCAGTTTATAAAGAGAAGTTGAAACAATAAAAAGAACCAGGTATTATGATTAACAAATGCATTAGACCCTTGGCTGAAACAAGAAATTAAGAGTTTAGAGAATAAATAGTAAATTTATTTTAGAGATATGAAGATGGAAGTCTGAGATTAAAATAAGCAATTCAAAAAACCAACATTGAAAAAATCAATTATAATAACTATTTAATTAAGGTGTATCCAAATTATTTCACTGATGAAAAAAGAAAACTAAAGGAAGAAAATTAACGACTAATGTAATAATTGCAAGTATTAATTTATTTAACAAATATAGGGATTTAGATAACAAGTAAGTAATGTTCCTTTGTAGGAAATATAAAACATTTAAAACGAATAATATGATTACAATGAACTATAAAGAGTTGATGAATATTTGGGATAAGATTACTAAGAATAGGATTTTTAAAACTAATAATACCATATTTAAGAATAATAAAGATAGTAGTTTCAGTAACCATAAGGGCTCTAAAATTATTAAAACTAATCAAAATAAAACCTAACAAAATAGTAAGAATAGGACTTTTTATCAGAATTTTTAATTCCTTAACAAGGGAAAAAATGATATAATTTTATACTTATATATAAAATATTATTTTGAATCTCAGAAATCATATTAGCTGATCTATCAACAGCATAGAATGATATATGATTTTGTGGAGAGAGAATGAATTCTATGATTTAATATTATAAAATGCAATGTATTTAAAATTCAAAAATATTTCAAACAGAACTTCAAGCAAAATAATCAAACATTTAATTGGAACCTTATTTATTAAGATGGGTGAGATGAAAAATCAATATATTTATATTTTATCATTTTTATAAAAAGCCATTATCTTGTATAAAGAATCATAACCAATTAATAATTCAGATTCTGAAGTTTGATATTTTACTACTCATTACTTATCTAAAGTATTTTTATGAATTACATTTAAAATAGATAAAAGATTTTTATATGTTTACAATTTGTATGATGGTTATAAACAATTTATTAATTCCGATCATTGCAAAGTGACTACGATTTATTAAAAATGATTCAATTACATATTAGGATAAAAAAGTATCTTTCATTACCTGATGCAATAGAAGTAATAAGCCTTTAATAGATAGGAATGATGGTGATTTGATTGTTAAAATTAGTAATTTTTTCGATGAATCTACTATTTCTTATTTTCAATTACTTAATACTGCTCCTTGGTTTACTTATATTTAAAAATCAAATTCTTAATGAAATGCATTTACTGGTTTTTGTCTAAATTTCTTGGTTGTTACAGAAATTAGAAAAAAACAAAATCATATACTTAAATTTCTGAATTTATCTTTTAATAAAAATTATAAAATATTGTAGATTCTTTGTATGAATTATTATTTTATTATTACTTAAATTAAAATTAGCATTAAAAGTATTATGTGCCTCTACTTTTTATTTTTATTAAATGATGACGACAATTTTCAAATTTTATTATTATAAACCTTATGGTAAAAAACCTTGAGATATTCTTAAACAAATTGCCTAAAAACTCTGATTTATGCAAGATTCTAGGGTTCGAGCTGCTAAATATCTGTGTTTTAGACGATTTATAAATTTTCGTAGTTTTTCCATCTTTGAATTTATGAAGATCGTGATAGCTTTATCTATATTTTTATAGATATTTGTTATAGAATATATATGATCAAAAATATATAATCAAAGAGGATCAAGCTTAGAGAAAACCTTCTTTTGCATGTAATTAATTCCATATTTAGAATTTGTAAGCATTCTTTTGTAGTTTTGCTTAAATTCTAAAACGGATGAATGAACTTTGATATTATTTCTTGGAGCCCTCTCGGTAAAAGGTTGTTAATAGCTATGATTACTAACTGACTTTAATGACATAATATTGTAAACATACTTGTTTTTGATTAAGATCTGCTAATGACATGATGTTTTATAACGAGAGTCTGCATTAAGCAATCAAAGGAAGTTTTTCAAAAGAAGATTTATCTCTCTTCATTCTTTTTATTTTAATATAAAATATATTGATTTTCTCAATGAAATTGAAAATGATTTATAGGATTTTTATAAATTCAAAACCTAGTAATATTTTATTATTGAAGCATATTTCATTCAAAGAAAAAGAAAGTCATCAAAAAGGAATAATTTAACTTGTTCTCATTATCTATATAAATATTATGACTTAAATTCAGAATATTGTAATAGTTCATATAATTGATAACATGTTTGATCTTTATATCTATAGGCTTTTCACCTTTGTACATGTTTTTAAAATTTAAATATCAATCTAAAAATAATGATAAGCTTTGGAAATGTTAGTCTAGGAATCCTATTTTTTTAGGAATAATAATTTAATAAAACTATTATGAATATTGATCATAAACTGTCTTTGAAAAATTGCATTATGTATTTTAGTATCATTTTATTTGTTATGTACTTTTAGTATAAGTTATTTTATAAAAATAATATTTATTCAGCCAATTGTTTCTAAATTATTTGTTGATAGAACCTAATTTTAACTGACTTAAAGGTTTAAATTTCGATTGCGGAGATAGGTATTCATTAATTATTGCCCAAAATGTTAGATTTTTAATTAGTTCTTATATTGAATTGAAAAGTATCAAGAGGAATGCATTTAAGGATTTAAGCATTTTAAATATAAACTGTATTTTAAGGATTAAGATAGTAAAGTATAAAATGATGTTGATTTATTTGCATTTGTAGTAAAGTTTGGATATTAATTAATATCTAAGATAACATTATAAATAAATTAATTAAATGAATAGCATTGATAGTTATCAAAGCAAAGCAACAATGAATGCATAGTCAATAATCTCTAAAATAGCCACTCGAAATGGATAAGCAGAGTAAGCAAGTAGAGTTATATGTTAGTAATGGCTCATTGATAGCAGCTTTGGATGAGGAAACTGTCTCTGCAGCTTGGAATGCATTCGGTAATTATAAATTTTGAATTGTGAAGGCCTTCATGTTTCAAGGTAATTACGAATGGGAAGAGGAGTAGCTGTGAACAAATTTGGAACATTTTCTTTTAGTGCTCCAGATGTTATATTGGATGGAGTTACCAATCCAGTAGAAAGAGACAAATAGCCCCGTTAACCAGTATTTCTTGTTGCAAAGGTAGTCGATTGATTTAATGTAAGGAATTTGTTAATGGATTCAATCTAAAAACTGCCATAGCAATAGGTCGATAATTGAGACCATATAAAGTGCAGACATCTGGTAAGATTTAGCATGCAATTGTGAATTGGGCAGAAATAGCATTGTATGCATCTCAAAATAAGGATTCAGCTAAAATGGCTGTTGAGAGAGTGATTAAATCATTATCTGATATAGTTCGCAACGTATACATTCTTATCGATGATTTTAGAGGGATGTTGTTGAAGTTGAAATTCCATGTGTTGGTACATTCTTTGTGAAATCCCATTGTGCTGCTGTGTAATTTATGGATTCACTGATGGATAGTTGTAAAGTAAAATATGGGATCAATATTTGTTTATAGGAAATCACCAAGAGACCATTGTCAGAGAGAAAATCAAAAGGAGACATGCGTTTGACACAGTAATACCTGCAGTAATTGAGCAAAAGTCAGCATCCTGAAGAAAACAATCTCATGATTGATGAAGGTGCCAGGAATTATTTAACTAATTCTCTTGGAATTGAATTACCTGACACTAGACCTAAAACTGCTAAAAATTCATAAGTCTAATCTAAAAAGGGGGGACTTATGAGTAAAACTGTATCAGATTATATTCAATAACAATTTTAGTTAGAATTAAGACCATCAACTCAACAGATCTCTAGAATGGGATTCCAAAGATCAGTTAATGATAAAGTTTTTGCTTTGGAAAGATTAAAATATTACATAAGGGATCATGCACTTAATATTGAAGATGTAATGATTAAATCAATTAAATTAATTAGTCATTTTTAGATCTCTGTTAACAAGCATTTGGTAAAACTAGTGAAAGAAAAATTAGAATGAATTTTGATGATTTTAAGAGAGCTGTTCTTAAAATAGATTTGCCTCTTAATGAAATACAAATAATCACTCTATTTTAGACTTTAGATGTTAATAATGATGGTTTCGTTGATAAATTTGATTGGCTCAAAGCTATTGTTGACAAAAGTAAGTATTATCATATAAATTCAATAGAAACTCATGTAAATTATATAAAGGATGTCGTGTTTAAATTCTAAATTCATACGGATGATTTGTTATAGAGAATGAATTTGCATCGTGATCATCCTCCAGTTAATTTGTAATAATTAAAATTTGCTCTCATGCATTTAGATGAATCTCTAAATTAACACAAAGCACTTAAAGTGGCTAACGAAATTCTAGATGGAAAAGAAACTATTAGCATGAATGATTTATTAGCATTATTTAATACAGTTGAAGAAGATGACAAAATGTATGATTTGTCTTGGTTTAAAGATACTTTGCATAAAATGAGAGATCATTTAGTTGATCCTTAGAAAATGAAAGTTTTGAGATCATCTTTTGAATATTTCGATGAACATCAAGAAGGCAATCTAGATACTGCCAATTTTAAGACTGTCTTAATGGAAAGCTAGTTGGGATTGAATGTTTAAGATATCAATAGATTAGTTCGTTATCTTCCTAAGAACAGAGATTCATTAATAAATTACTACGATTTTATTTAAATGATTATGGATGTTAACAAATAAATGGACTAGAAGGATACTGCTAAAGATCTTGTTGATTTTGCATAAAAAATCAGTAAGTATTTAACCTAAAAGAAATTCACTGTTATATAATTTTTATAATAAGTAAAGTCAGGGTATGGATCTTGCAATATTGAATCTACTGCCTAATATCTAGAAAAGAATCTCTTTACTTAATTGTCTCATGATGAATGTTTAGAATATTGTAGAGAAATGGATGTTGATGGAAATGGTGTTGTTAGTGATGAAGATATGAATACATTCATAAAAAGATACTCATATTTCAATGTCAGAAAGGATCAATCATAAATCGAATAAATTGTTGAAAGTCTGAAGATTAAACCATAAGTTGGAGATAATTTCTCAGCTATTGAAAAAACTTATGTTTAATCTAAATCTATTGATTTGATTACTATGGGATAGAAGAAAGTGTTCTAATCTTTGGTTGATGGAATGAACTAATAAAAAAGCTTGTTTCCTGTTGAGGAATTACCAGAATCTAAATTCGATTAAATACTTAAAGATTTGAGAATTAAATTAAATAGAAAAGGAATGGGATATGAAGAACTTTTTACATTCTTAGACACTGATCACAATGGATTCTTATCTATCAGCGAATTCTATAATATTGATAAAATCATGACTCTAAGTTAGCCTGCTAAAGATGGGTTCTTTGCTTTTATGGATAAATAGAGAATTGGTTTGATTGATCTCAATACTTTTGTTAAATTTATGAGCAAGTCCATTATTTAATAGATGCCATCTTTATCTGAAGATGACTGGGATTGGGAATTGGAAATCCTATTCAAAATAAGAAATTGGTGTTAGAGAGAGAATATCACAATAGAAGATGCCTTTAGAACATTTGACAAAGATTTCGATGGTTAAATAAACAAAGCTGATTTAAGAACTTTCCTCAAGGACATTTTGAAAGTTGAAGAAAAAGAAATCACTGAAGCCAAAATCAATAGATTATATAAGTTAATGGATTAATATAAAAGAGGAAAGATAACATTAATGGATTTTAGACGATTTGTAGAAGAAGGATTTTTTTATGGTAAAAATAAATAAGTATTTGGATAAACAACAAATTTGGCTGCAAAACAGCAATCTGAATCAAGATCATCTTTTGACTGGAAAATGAATGCCAGATAATAAATTGGATTAATTATAAGCAGACATTATCCAAGTGTAAAAGAATCCTTTGATATTGTATCAGGATATCGTAAGAAATTAGTATTCTAAAAGTTTAAGAAATGGATTGATGAGAAGAATGTTCTTTCAGGATTTGATTTAACTGAAAAGTTAGTGTATGAGATATTTTCAGATCTAGATTCTCATAAAAAAGGCTATTTAGTCGAATCTGATTGGCTGAATGCATTTGCTCAATATAATTGGTAAGATTAAATGATTAAGGAAATCCAAGATGCTCTTTCAACTTACTTTTCAAGCATTCAAAATGCAATTCATTATTTTTAGATGGAACACAGTCATGTTATAACAAAAGAGAGCTTTGCAAAGGCTTTATAGACTTTATTCCCAAAAAGATTTGTTGAAGGTGACATTGAGACTTTATGGACAAGAGTTCAAAAAAATGGGTCTTTAAGTAATCATGCTTTTGCATTGATATTTGGAAAAGGGGGCAAAGCCTATGAACTACCTGAAGGACAATAACAATTATAACACATTAGACCTATGACTTAGGGGTAATAATTTATTCATGATTTATTAGTGGTTTAAGCGAATTACCTTTGGACGACAGAAATCAAGTGAACATTAGCTTATTAGACAAAATCAGAAGATTTTTGAGGAATTCAAATAAAAACATTAGCGAATTATTTAAATAGTATGATTCAGACAATACTGGATTCATAACCAATTTGGAATTCCGTTAAGTGATAAGAAGTCTTAATATGGGATTGACATTTTAAGATATCGATATATTGTCAGCTATGTTGGATACTGACAGAAATAGCATGGTGAATTGGAGAGATTTTGCCAAGAGATTAGATTTTAGATAAGCAGATAATAAAATATTAGAAAGAGCAGGAATTCATTTATAGAAAGTGAATGATCATATTTATCATTATTTGTTGTCTCCCAAAGACGCATTTAGATAGATTGATGCCTAACATACTGGATATTTGAGTTTTGATAAATTTAAGGATATGATTGAAATGTTGTATAGATTGGCTACTGAAGACATTCCTCCATTTGCTATTATTAAAGATCTATTTGAATTTATTGATAAAAGAAGAGATGGTTTACTAGATTTAACAGAATGGATGGATGCTTTTTCTAAGTTTTCAAATCCAAACGAAAAGAAAAGGTACATATTATTGTAAGATATTTTAGACCTATGAGTGCTAATGTAAGAATGAAAAAGTCATCACAGAAATCCTTAATGGCTTAAACTGATAAAGGATGGATGACTAAATAAGGTGCTTTGTCTCCGTAATAATTTGAAGGGTTAACAGATGATGGGTTGATGAATGCAACAAATAAATTCAAGACTTTTTTGAGAAGACCTCCAGCCAAGCAAACTGCACTACAATATGTTGGTATATCTTCATTTTATAATCAGAAAATGGAATTTGGGAAAGCTCCAAAGAGTTCGATCGAACAATAAATGCCATTGGAAAGAACAGGAAGTATCTTCTTGAAATATTTAAGCATTTGACTTAGAATGGTCAAATTCCACTTACTGAAGATGTAATTATTGAGCTATATCTTTGTAGTTGATTAAATTAGAAATGGATAAAATGCTGAGATCTTAAGGAATTGTTGTCAGGGATGAATAATGGCCTTAATTAATTTCTTGGTCAAAGAAAAATGGCCGCATTGATTATAAATTCTTGCTTGAAGTATATAAGGATAGACTAAACGGAATGGATACGCAACCCAGAATGGGGGATGAATGATGAATATTTATTAAAACAGCGGGCAATGTTATATTAATAATTAAATAAAAATTTTAAAAAAGCCCTTTCAGCTTTTTAAATCACAAGCCTTCTCCCAGATAGAACAAGTATGTTTTGAATATTAACCCCTTTAGTGAGCAGTACCAAAAATAGAGTGTATAAAAAGTCTTAGACTGCAAACAGCTCTAAGTGTCTCTTCGTTCCCAAAAAAAAGGAACGAGAATAAATCTATATCACACCACCTTCGAAACACAAGGTAGCACTCTTTTATCTTATTTTAGAATCCGCTTTCCAATATCGAAGAATTGAACATTGATTCTAATTGTTCTACCGACAGCAGTCAACGCTTAGAAAATCTAAGCCCGGTCTACTATTGCCCCAAAGGCAAAGAACCTTGTGGTGAGCTTTAGGTTGTCCTTGACGGTGACGTGATCTAAGTGATATCCTAAACAAGGAATAGGAGAAAATCACGAAAGTTCAGTGACCAAGAGACCTATGCTATGAGTAACTTCATAGCTGGTCCCAAATGTCTGGACATCCCATGCCCTTAGTTCCTTTGATCATATATATATCTATGGAATTATCTATAAATCAAAACACGTCAATTATACAGCTGAAATAAATGCCCAATCTCATTGTGAAGTAATTTTACAGATTCAACTACGTTTGTGCTGCAAATGATATTATTTTATACTTATCTACGATATTCACTTCTTAGATGCTCAAGAATCTATTTGTATTATTTTAGATCAATTCTTTTATTTTAAGGCAAATTCCATTTTCTCTATTTTGTCGATAATTTACTTAAATCAAAATTGGGACTTGATCATGCGATTTATCATTTAAAACCTCACCAAATATGAGATGTATATAATACTTAAAACAGTTTCTCACTTCATCCCATCTCTCAGATTTATTTCCATCTATTACAAAAATTATGCCATGACATTCTCCATAGTATTTTTTCCAGATGCTTCTTTGAGTTTGAGATCCTCCTAGATCCCAATATGTTACTTTATATTTCTAATTCATAGATCTATTCGAAGCCATGTATTCAATCTCTGTGATGTTCAAACCAACAGTTTTCGGTATTTTATCAAATTGTATAAATGGATGTTTTGCAAGTTGTTTTAATTTATTTAATAAAGTCTATAAATATATATTAAACTCTTACTGTTTTGCCTGCTCCATCTAGTCCAATAATTAGAATTTTAAAGATTGGAGGATCGAAATATTTTTGCCAAACTCCTTTAATTAAACTTATCATTTTTATTATTAAATAAACAATTATATAGATTATAAGTATTTTCAAGGTTTTATAGATCAATATCATCTTCTTTATCCTAAGAATTACATTAATTTCAGAATTTCTACTTTAATTATGTTTTTGATTTCATTTTTTGTTTCAATAAAACATCAATCTTATTAATTAGTTAAACATAATTCATATAATATTTATCATTGAGGATTAAATTCCAATTATTTTGTTTTTTAAATTATAACATATTTTATGTAACTACAATTAAAAAACCTCAAAAGGGATTGAATTTTATCCCCAAAACCTTCAAATTTTCAACAACATATTCTTAACTGGAAAATTCTTTTGTATTTATTTCTAGGCAATAGTTTTTTGCCCTCATCATTTTTGTTTAATTAGTCTACCATGATTACTCAATCCGAATTAATTTTGAACTTATGCAAACTATTTGTGATGTTAATTATAATGATAAATTTCAAATCACAGCTACTGAGGCTAAGTATTTTTTGCATATGATCTATATTCAAATGCTCTCAAAGTTTTCATTTTTACTTATCTGTCTTTCTTTGTTTTGGCTTGTTTATCATCAGTTGTATAACAAATCCATAAACTCAACTTTAACTTTAATTTCACAGATGATTTACTATTTATTTCATAATAATCTTCAAGATTAAAATTTGTTCTTATAGTAGTAGTAGGATCCTTTCTTCATTTTATATGATTTATTCTTATATTTAGCATACAACTATATTATCTTTTATTATAAGACGAATTCTTATTACATTGTTGAGAATTTATAAAATTCCTGTAATTTATTTATGTATTTGATAATCTCTGCCTTATTTTTTATACTAAATTCTTAATCTACTAAGCTACAATCAAACATGAATTCAACCAAGAATTATCATCTGAATATAAATGAGGATACTATATTACTGTAATTTCCTCGGGTTATTGATGCCAAATTATATACAAACAATACAGAGCCATTTTGTACATTGATTGAAAAGAATGTTGCATTCTACATAAAATAGCTTCAAATGCTTGAGAATAATGAAATTAATGAGTAATCAAATATAATAAAATTAGACAAGTTGATAATTAAGTATATCCATTTAATTTAAAGTAGTTTATTTGTATGACTTAAATCTAGGATGGAATAATTGCATTAACTACGGATTTCATTCTCTATTTCTTTGAACTTAATTATGATGCAATTTAATCTAATACTAATAATTAATTTGCCAAAAAAATTTGGACAACGGACTTTAAACCTATTATTCCTGATTCTGAATAAATGATAGATTTTGCTTAAGTTGTCTTCAGCGTTACTTCAAGCTAAGCTTTAATCATATTTAATTCATCTGCCTACATATTGGATCTTAAATAGGATAAAACTAAAATGCAAAGTCTTGATGTTATCAATGTTGGAGATTGGGTCTCAAGATCCACTCGAGGATTAACTAAATCAATTGATGAAATTATATTTACTTGCGTTGGAGAGTATGGGATTGATATCTACAAGTCAGCATTTAATTCTTTGAGATTTTTGGGGAATCTAGATAAGACCAGTTTAGAATTAGATTAATTCAATTTGAAAGATTTTACATTGATTAAGCTTAAAGAGCTTTCCTATAAATGCTACTTTTTGGACTTCAATGGGAATGTTTATGTCATAGAAATTGATATAATCAATTATGAATTTACATTTTAATTAGTAACATAAATTAGCTCCTAAGGTTAAGGAATCTCAATTGATACAAAAAACGGTATTAATGTTTTTGTAGCTTATTCATCTTCTCATCTTTATTAGGTTATCGAATACTACATATCGTTGAATTAATCTATCTATTTTGAATTAAACTCATACAAGACAAGAAATTCAATAAAAAGTTTAGACGCAACTGACGAATTTGTAATTATATAAGGGATTAATCATCATAAAATTTTATTTAGGTCAGATGTTTTACAATAACAATCACTAAAGTATATCTTATAAATCTAAACTTATTAGTTTACCAGTATTTACATATGTAGGACTGAGAGATTTTGAAATATTTTAATTATAAAGTGATATTAAATCATCCTTTAAGGGAGTGGAGATTTTCGTAGGAATTACATCTACTAACTTATTTTTAGCCAAATTTTACATTCAACCATATGAACTAAGTTGTTATACTGAATAAACAGAGTAATTTTATATGCTTAGATAGTTTAACAGTAACTCAGCTTTATTAACTTTTGGCTAATTCAACAACTTATTTGGAAATAGATAATCATGTTGATTAAATAGTCACTTAGACTTAATTTAATTTTACAATAGAATTAATAGATTCTGAAGATTTCTAATACTTGAATTCAACTTCTTACATTATAATCGGAATAGTGTCTTTTTTATTATGTATTCATTATATGTGTTTTTAGTGAGTATATTTTTTTATTGGATTCACCTATAGAAAAAGAAGATAGATGTCTTGGAGTAATAAATTTCAAAGGAAAAAAGGAGAAAATATTCGATAATTTAAAAATAATGAATATTATCGTCAAATGGTTTAGTATAATGGAGTATATTTTTTAACTCAAATTAAAATATCAATATTCTTAAATCAGTCTAACCAGTTCTCTTTAATATATTCTCCTACCATGAATTTTAATTGAAATCAAAATTTGGAATACAAATATTAATTAATGATTGAATTATTCTTACTGTCATTGGGACTTGGTTGGTAAGTCTTAGGCAGTTAATACGAATTTAAAGTAGAAATCGGTTAGATAAAAACAGTGTTAGAATTAAACAATGTTAAAAATGTATCTCTGTCTGAAGAAAGCAATTAATAGTTTTGTTGGGTTGAAAATGAACATGTTGTTTTACAAGAAACATTTTTTATGAACTAATATGAACTTGATAGTATGAATAAATACTACTATTTGCTTGCATCATAAAAGGCTATTTGGGTACTTATGAATGATAAGATCTTAACTTAAATAACACATGATGGAATAATAATAAATTAGAGAAAAATTTAAGACAATATAAGTCACTTCGAAGGCTTTTACAATGAAAAAAGTGAGAATCCAGTTTTCTTGGTTGATTATCATTTTTTGGATGATACTTAAATTACTATTCAAACTGGTGTTACAAAAATATGTGATGGATTTCTGTTTGTCGTTAATAAATACATTTTTGTTTATGATCTCTAAAACAATACAAATAAATATTTTGGGTAAATTGATTTAACGAAATTTTAAAATATTATAGACTTTGATATAAAAAGAATTGATGAGAAGAAATACTATATTTATTTGATGGATAAGAATAATGGATTAACTATTCTGAAGCTACTATTGAGATACAATAATATCAATTCAAAAGTAATGTACGCTGAAATACATCCTGCAGAAAATCCTAAGTCATTTTTTTGTAATGAATACAATAGCTGTTTTGCATTGTATTATAATTCTAAGTATAAAATTTTGAATTTTAAAATTAACTTCATTGACAGCAGCATTTCCATAGATGAAATTTTAGAGTAGGAAAAGAAGATACTAAAACTAGTGAATATTGGGGATATGATGTTTATACAGTCCAAGAATCATCATAAAATCTATCTCTATAATTCTTAACAAATTTAGAACATCCAAATATTAGGATTACAACAAATATCTGCTGTGAATTCATCGTTGGTTTACATGATTACAAACACTAAGTTAATCAAGGTTGAACTGAGAATTTCTCCTCTTAGAGTGCTTTGTTATTGTGATGACAATGATGCTTGTCCATAGAAATATGACTATGGGATAAATTACATAGAAAAGACAAAGCAAATAAATTTGAAGTTCACAATTGAGTTTTAGTCTTCTTTGGAAGATCAAATGAACGATGTTATAGTTATCATTTTTTCAATACTATTTCTGTTAGGAAGTAATTTGGTCACTTATATTTTTAGTTTTATTATTGTTATTTTGGATTTATTCTTTGAAAGCTTAACTGTTATAGATTGAAGAAAAAATAAAATAAGGCCAATAGTATATGTAGAAAATCAAATTACCAATATTTCATACCCTCGAAAACCTTGCTTTTACATTTCGAGGAGTTGAAACTTTGTCCAAAAGAATCTAACAATAAGAATCTTAGGAAATGTAAGATTTGTATTGAGTCCTTGAGATTTGAATTGATCTATATATTATAAATTTTTAATTCTTAGATTTGACAAAAAAATCAAATTAATTGATTGATTGGAAATATTTATAGTTTAATGAAGCTCAAACAATAAAAATAAATTTAAAAAATAAATGAGTTACTAGGCTCAACACTAAAATTAACCTCCGAACTACTAAAATATAAGAGAATAATACCACATCTAAGGTGATTACAGTTAATCAGGTCTCTATAGAGTAAATATAAGTATTATTGAAATAGTAACAATAACAATCGAATCCTCAGATGGGAAGATATACATAAGTAATTTAGAGAGTATATAATTAAGGCAAATCAAGACAAAGGTTCTCATCAGTTTTCTCAAAATGATTTGTCTCGTGAGCATCGTATTACTAATAGTCAAAATGTTGGGCATCATGATACATCGCACGGTCATAACCATTCTGAAAATGAGCACCATGAAGGTCATTACAACCCTCTTTAGATGCCTTGTAATTGGGAGATCGCAAAAAAACACGCATTATCAAGAAGGACAGCAAAAGAGAAGACAAAGGACCCGACTAAAACTTTAGCAGGTAATTGGAAATTAATAAAATTTCAGTTGAAACTTGCCCTTGTTGCGGCTTTGAAGTTGATAGAGAAGATATTCCGTTTTGCTCGGATCCTATGGCTTTATCATTTTTGGGATCCGGCTTTACGTTATTCTACAATTACTTAAAATATTGCATTATCATACTGTTTATACAATTGATTGTGAAATAGATTCATAACCTATATACAAACTACGAAGGGACATATTGTAGTCATATAAAAAGGGAAAAGATGGAAGGACACATTATAGAAGAGCCATACTGTCCAGATAGCATCTTTTTAAGACTGTCTTTAGCTAACAAATTAGAGTAATCAAAAATAGTTAAATTAGTAATCGGGAAGCCTTAGAAACTATGCAAGTCTTAAATTTTATAAGTATTTTCATAATCATGTTCGTCCTCATTTACTTCAGAAAAAGCCAAAGGTAAATCGATACTACCATAGATGAAGAATAATTGACTCCTGCAGATTATACAATTTGTGTTAAAAATATTCCCACTGGGTTATCTGTTGATTACAAAGCTGAATTAACAAATTTATTTTAAAAATATGCGGTATTAGATTCTTCTAAAGAAATAATTGTTAGAAAAGTAGTATTAGTATATGATATTGAAGAAATCATTGAATTAGAGAAAAAACTAGATACTTTGATTGAAAGAAAGAAAGAAGCAATAGCAGAACATAATTTTGATTTTCATCATTCAAGTGTTAAACAAATAGATGAAGAAATAGAACACCTTGAACATTAAATCCATAAGATAGAAGAAGAATATGAACTTCATAATACTAAATTTGCAGGCATAGCCTTTGTCTCATTTGATGATGAATCTATGAAATAATTGGTTTTATAAGAAAATCCCCATACATAATTAGAGAGAATCAAATCTCATTGGAATAGAGGCAAACTAACAGGTCTCGGCAATGAGGATCTCTCATGGCAAGGATAAAAACTGTTCTTAGAACAGGCTCCAGAACCTAATGATGTTGATTGGGAGTTTATTCACATAACAACCAATGAAAAGATATTCAAAAGAGTGAGAGCCTGGATCTATTATATATTGTTTGAAAGTGCAGCTTTCTTTGTTATCTATTTAATCTCCCACAGACTTGCACTCTTGGGAGATAAAGCACATGAAGAAGAACTCTAAGGAAAATTAGATGAAGATACTAAAAGAAAGATCAACATAATGTCTTTTAGTATATCTATGACTATCGTCTTATTTAATAAGTTTGGAGTAGCCAAAATAGTACATTACATCGTGGATGATGAAAAAATATCAAATAAGACAAAGTTCTAGATATCGTTTGTATATAAATATGCACTCGCACTATTTATGAATGCAGCCATCATCAGTTTTCTAGTAGATATTGTCATATTGAAAAATGTCAAAGGAGCTGGAGGTTTTATTTAGAATGAGAGCCAGATATTTGTACTTAATGCCATATTTCCTCCCTTTATTTGGTTTGTTGATCCATGGAGTCTGTGCAAGAATATTTGGAGAAAATACATAATTTCAAAAGGAGATAAAGCTTTGCTTACTCAATAAGAAGCTAACAAACTTATGGAAGAACCAGACTACTTGTCGGCAAAGAGATATTCAGATGTTATGAAAACTATGTGGTTCACATTTATGTATGGTACTGCCATTCCATTGGGTACTTTATTTAGTGCATTTGGTATTCTAATTTATTACTTTGTTGACTATTATAATATTTTAAGAAGAAGAACTGTCAAGGAATCCATCAGCATTCAATTATCCACAGGTATTCGTTTATTACTACTTTATAGAAATGATTGAAATGCTTGAGTACATTATTTCTTGGTGTGCATTCGGCGAAATGATCATGACTTACACCTTCTTTCATGAAGTGAGCAAAATAGATATTCTGTTAATCATTTTGGCTATTATATATTAATAATTGCCAATGGAGGATATTTCTGAGTACCTCTTTCCAGTTGAAAACAATGAAGAAGTATTTTGCATCTATAATTAGATTAAACCATACGCTGAAGGTAGTGCCAGTTTTGATACCGACTATGATAGAGAGAACCCAGTCACTAAACATAAGGCTTTAGCTGAATGGAACTAAAAATAGAAAAGCGATGAAAATCCTCATCACAAAGTTAAGAAAATCTTACAATAATAAGATGAATTTGGATATGTTGCAGATGGACACTATGGACGTAGATGATTTACCTTAAAATAGAATTCTTTATTCAAAAGTTATATTGGCATTTTAAGTTTTAATCAATAATTTTTCAAAGATTTTTTTATTTAAATAACTTTTTATTCTGAATATTAATTCATCGTAGCGCTTTCATTGCAAAAGCATTTACTCTATGTTAAAATATAATGGCCATAAAATTTAAACAAAGAGATGGATGAGACAATTATTTAAATTTCAAAGGATCAAAAATGTATTAACATTAACATAAAATAGTATTGTAATTTGGAATTTTTACAGAAGATGAATGACTATCAAAAATTTTATTAATTCAAAGAATTATTGAATTCTAAAGTTTCTGAACGCTCTACCTCTTCAATAAAATCTAAACCTATTTAACTATCTTTGTAAATTTAAATATTTTAGTGATCAACATTCTATAATTTTATATTTTAAGTTCACCATAAATCTGAAAAGTGTCCTCTTATCAAATTAAGTCAAAAATTCATTACACTTAGTGACAGATAGAACTCTATTTATAAAAATTAAATGTTCTAAGAAATTCCTAATCTTAATCCTTTTACAAAGAATAATGATTAATATAATTATTCAAGTATTTTGAGCATCTTATTATCAATAGTAACTTGATTAAAACGACTAGAAACAATTTTTGATGAATGTTTAATTATTTTTAATACGACCTCACTAATATTAGCAGTAATATCTAAAAAATATTGCTTGATAAGGAATTTTAAATTCAAAGTTGATTTAATATATAAAAGTCTCATTTTTCATATTAACGAAAATAAATATAATATATATAATAAAAAGAAAGAATGATATATTTCTTAAAATAGATATGAAGTATACTAATATTATTGGCAATAATTCTAAAATTGTATTATTTGTACGCAAATGCATTATCTAGAGGAATTTTCTAATTGATTGAAATAATATATTTAATAAGGAATATGTAATTTTTTATGTATATTTTGTAACTAAACTACCACTAATTCCTTATATTATTAGTTTTCATATATATTATTAAAATTTCAATACATTTATAAGTAATATAACCCTTTATTAAAATTTAAGTTATTTTTAATTAAACTTCCTTATTTATCAATGACATACTATCCAATTGGCGTAAAATTGGACTTAAAATAAATGAAAATTCATAGGAGATTAAAAAAGGGTTTTTAAACCTATAGTATTAACAATGTACCGAATAGTGTTTATTAAATAATAAAATATGTATTAAAAGTTGTAATTAAATTTTTAATAATTTGAAATAACTTTCGATATTGTAAATAAGGCTCTACCAGTCAATAGTTATCAGTTTTTCTTCTAATAGATGGGAAAATGAAATGTCAAATGCACTATTTAGTGACTATCTACATCAAACTTCCTTATGGTGATACAATATTTATTCTTGTTTTTTTATTATCATATGATTTATAAAACGAATATCAGAAAATTATTATTATTTAATTTCAGGTCGACAGTTAAAGTGAGAATGACTCCAATAAAAAATGATATTGTTCCTAAAATCTCGAAATTTGAATACAATTAAAGAGCTTATAATCAGCTCTACTAAGATTTTGTAGTATCTGATAATTTTTCATTTTTAAAGTGAAAATCTTTCTTCTTAATTGATTATTAATCATATTGATGCATTGTACAAGAAAGCACCTTCTCTTTGATAAAAGCTACTTTATCTCGTTTAACTAAGATAGTATGAATATTGGTGAAGTAAAATCACATTTATTAACTCAGTCTACCTAACATACGAAATATTCAATTCCCTTAACACTTTAAACAGAAATTGATTGGAAGGTCTCCTCAGAAAATTTATTGTTGGAGGCATTTAGTATAATTTGGAAAAATGAGTAGAGATATTTTTATGCAGACCCTAATGTTCTACTCAGAGTCAAAAATTATCTAGGTGGAAGAGTAAGTTTTAAAAGAATAGATATTTTCTACAAATAAATCGGGAAAATAGAGAATAGAAGCTCAACCTCGGTATGTCATTTCCCTTTATTAGTTTATAGATATACACCATATAAGGATTTGATGACGATAAAGTTTATGCTTGTAAGGAAGTGAAGAAATCAAAACAACACTCAAATAAAGTACTATTATTCTTTCAATCTTAGTTATTTCAAAATGAAGTTGAAACTTTGAAGTAACTAAACCATCAAAACATAGTAAAGTTGGTAGAAGTGTTCGAAAGTGAAAACTCCTATTTAATCGTCTTGGAATTATTGAAGGGAGGGTCTCTTTCTCAGTGTCTGAAATACTGCAGGTTGACCCTCAATGAAGTAGAAATAATATTAAAAGTATTATTCGTTTTGAAATCTAGTAAATTCTAGAAACTCTTTGTTACCTCCATGAGAAAGGCTTCGTCCACAGAGATCTTAAGCCGGACAACATACTTTTTCGCGAATTGGGATAATTCTCCAATTTAAAACTAATCGACTTTGGAATTTCCTGTAAGATTCCAGATTTGGAGAAAGATTCTGAAATGAGTTTTGGAACACCTGGCTATATAGCGCCGGAAATTTTAAATAATACAAATAAAAAAAGATTATCATAAAAAATAGACATCTTTAGTTGTGGAGCCATACTATATTATATGTATTCATATATATTGATTTATTAGGTTAACAGGATCAAGATTGATCTCCGGTGTTAGCGCATAGGAAATCTACTAAAACAACAAGAAATATACCCTCAACAATCAAATACTTCAAAAAGTCAAAGCTGAAAATTATAGAGAACTATTATCAAAGATGATTAATGAGGATCCTGATTAAAGAATAGATGCAAGACAAGCTTTAAATTACTTCTAATTGATGACCGTCCAAACAAAGGGTTCCTTATCTACTTCATTGCATTGTGCCCAAGATCCAATTCAAAAATTACCAAACTTTAGAAAGTTGATAACGAAAAGTTGACTATAAACCTAATTATTATTATAATTAATAAAACAAGTGAAATTTCTCTCGTCTCTAACGGAACCTAGTAGATTAGAACTCTTCATATATGTTGCAAATTGATCTATTTTCAGTAGAGATTTTTTTAATATAATTTATGTTACTACTTTTTATTAAACTTCCATAATTTAATTACTAATTAATTTTACTCATTAGTAATTTTATTTATTTCTCCACGGCAGATGCATTGTAAATGTAAAAGATTTTAATAGGTAATGACTTTGCCATTATTTTGGGTGATTGGTTATTTAATTTCAAATAATCAGAATATTATTGTTTATATTAATTAATAAAATGATGTGCAAATGTAAGCATTTCTTTAGAGATACTGAATATTTCATTTATGAATAAGAGAACTCCATTCAAATAGGGAAAGTATTTTTTTAATACAAATAGTGAGAATGAGAAATAAATCAAGTACACAATATAATTAGACTTGTCAACTATAATTACTTGGGTTTATGGAGATCGAAATTGTTTCATCGGGTTCAAATTCAGATGGAAATAGAAGATGAAAACAATGATTTTGGATTAATATAAATGTTTGAAACTCAAAAGCATTTTCGATGGAAAAGTCTCATATAATAATCTTGTCAAAATGTTTAATAGTGTAAAATCAATCCGAGAGCAATCAAATAATGCAGTAATAAGAGGGTTTTGATTGTTATTATAGATCCTACTGGTCCATAGCTGCATTGATTAAAGACCGTACTAGATGAAAGTGACACCGAATAGTATCAATTATAATAAACTTGTATTGATGACACCTAATCATAGGATTTTATGTTGGAGTTAGATGTGTTAAGCCTTCAACACAAAAATATGATATCGGTGTCGGAATATTTCGTAGAAAATGATAAATTTCATATCATATTTGAACATCTAGAAGGAAGGAGCTTGAGGGAGAGGATGAATTCGTAATATAAGATGAAAAAAGAGGAAATTATAGTAGTTTTAAAAGTATTTATCTTTTTATTAAAAATAGTAACTTCTCAGTCTTCTAATCACATTGCATAATAAGGGATATATCTGTAGGGAGTTGAATCAGGATAACATTTTTATACAGAAGGACGGTCGAATCATTTTGACAGAATTTGGATATACTACAAAATTAGGAGAAATAATGAGGACTAAAAGGGGAACAAAAGATATCGATAACATCAATGATTTGACATTTCAAAATAACTTAGATTTGCATCCAAATAATGAGGAATTCGATAGATAATTTTGGTTTGCTTAAGACATCTATTCTCTTGGGGAATTGTTGCATGAAATGTAATGAAATGCATATATATATATACATTAGGTTAACAGGTAAAAGTCTCCAAAAAACGATCTTTGATAAATATAGTGGATTTCAGTCCAGTCAAAATACGATCTCAACTTTGAGAAAGAGAGTCGGACTTAGGAAGCTATTGGATAGGATGCTAGAACCTGATCCTCGAATTAGGATATCGGCAGAATAGGCTCTTTACTTTATAAAGGATATGGAATTCGGAGATGATTCGTTTGTTGACTTTTCTGATTAAGATGAAAGGAATAATTATTAGGAAGTTTATTAATTTATTTCAAAAGTATGTCTTTAGAATCTCTGATATATATAAACTACTGATTTTCATTTTGTAATACACATACATATATATATATATTTTTGGGATGAATAAATAGGTATAATTAAATATTATTATATGATGAATATTGTACTAAAATAGGATGTTCATGATCTATAGAGGTTGGGTCTTTTTGCCTTGAACACTGTTCTGAATTTTTTGTGGCTGGCTCTTGGAACAGTTTTCACAATAGGGAATTTGATTGAATCACCCTAACATTATTATCATAGGATACTCTGTATTGATTGGTTTTTCCTCTCTTGATGTCTGCACTCTTAGTTAAGACTGAGGTTCTGAGGATGTGAATGGTTTATGGTTGGGCTCTGTGGTTTCCTGCCATTTCTTGGTCTAAAATAGAAGTCGATGCAAGTGTTTACATAATTGTGAGACAGCTCCATTTAAAGTGGTGTCTCTGAATTCCTTATACATGTTATGAATGGTTGTTCTGGATTAGTATTTGAGCACGATTCCGTAGGTTTTGACATTGGTGTCTCTTCTTTCGAATAATTCTTAAACTGCCAAGATCTAACCATGAGATGGTCTGAGCTTATTCAATCTTCTCAAATTCCACCTAGCCATTTTAATTTAAGCAATACCAGAATCTGCTTTTTGCAGCAACTGTATTTCTAGCAAAGATTCTCATGCTGATAACCTTTGGATTTGGATCTTCCTTTGATGGGAGTCTTCTTCCAGAAACCAAATATTATCTGGTCTACACAATAATTGCATTAATATTTTACTTTCATTTGGAGTGAGTTATCTTATGGATCCTAGGCTGAGTTTTTAACCATTTTGTATATATTTTAAAAAAAGATTTAATTTATCAAGTAATTATCATAAACAATAGAATGCATAATTTGCTTTGCAGCTATTATTCTGAAAATTGGGCAAACTATTCTTGATAAGATGATCAATCAGTTGAACAGTTTCTTAATGTCTATAGAATTTATCATTTTCATGATTTCTGAACATTTCAATGTTTCTCATTATGGTATCACCCACAACAAAATGCATATTCGCAATCTTTATTTTCGAATTGCTTTTAATATAGTCTACAATTTAGTTTCTCATTCTAATCATATGTCATCATATATACTTTTCAGCTCTTTATTCTGGACCCATGAGAGAAGGACCTAAATGTAATTTCTTAAAGTGCTGTTTCGTCTTGACTTTCAGATCCTCCAAATATTTCAACTGCTTGACTCTGATCTATAATTATAGCATATCCTAATTGGCTCTATCAATCAGTTCCTTCAGATTCAATTATTGCAAATCTTGAGTGGAGCCATTCCTAAAGAGATCCTGCAATTTTTAATTAATCATTTGGAGATTCGCTGGAGCATAGACAAATAGATGACATAATCTAGCGTTGTCATCGTCAATTAATAAGATCTTATTGATAAAATTATCAACTTCAATGACAATCGATGGATCTGAGTATATGATGTCGATATAAAAGTAATTAAACACTTTGTTTTGGATTTTAAATAGATTTTGAATCTTTGATATGTTGACCCACAAGTTGTTCTTGTTCAACTCACTACTTAGGGTTTCTTTGGAATGGTAAGTTTTAGTCGAATAAATGCAATCAAACCAGTCGATTTAAGTATTCTGCAGAGAATTGAGCTTCTGATTTGGATTTAATTGCAACACCAATATCGATTCAGTCCTGATCTTCATTATCAATTGCTTATTGTTTAAAGGCTTTATTTATGGATTTTGAGAGTTAGGAAAATAAGTACCGTTGTATTCACCGAATAGCTAGCATAATATTTAAATATACAAGATTATAACTTAATATACATATCTTATTGAATTGACACAAATTTCTGAAACCTTTATATAAAATATACACATCCTCAGCATCTACATTTAAATTGATAATTTGAAATGAAAGGGAATTTAAATTACTCTATCTAATTTAACTATTGTTACTTTCTTTCTGATTCAAGATTAGTGGGTGAGGTTTATGCATGAATCAACTTTCTTAATTGTTATTTTGGTCTGGGAATGAACTTAGGTCTTTTAAGAATTATGTTAGTTGGTTTTGATATTTATGGCAATTCTGTAACCTCATTTACCGAAAAAGTTCTACTGGTGATTCCTTTATCTTCACTCTAATTCTAAGATTATTATTATTTTGACTAATATGAAATCCTCGAATTTCTAGTGGCTGCAGTAATAGGATTAAAACTCTTACAAGTTGAATAATTTCTTATAGGAGCATTCTTTGTAATCAGCATTCCTGATAATTCATCCTGTCTTTTGGGGTATTGTTTTTTTTTTGAAATGCTCAACATAATTATTTATAAATGGAATACAAATTATTATTGTTAAATAATCGAATAAAATTAAATTTCCAATCCAAAATACACTGCTTTAGGAGATCCTCCTTCCCTTTATCAATGCATCAACAAGGAAATTTGTTAAAATTAAATTTAATCAATTTAAAAAAATCCCCAATATATGTTCCTTTGTAAAATAGCTTATTCATGGATTATTTAAATATCCAGCCATTCACTTTAGAAGAAAGATGAAAAAGGCTTTGTGCAAATGATTATTATTGTAATTAATTGAGATGCTTAATAAATATTACTTAATCTAGTATAAATTAATAAAGATCTTAAATTAAAAGATTTATTCAATATTTATGATACACATTATTTACAACATTATCAAACAATAATAATTAATAAGTTACTTACATATTCAAAAATGGGTACCACCTGTTGTCATGCTAATTTCTAGAGTTCCTCATATGGTAAGATGATTACGTTATAGATAAGAATTATGTTTAGAATAAGGATCGAGTGCACTGATACTGCAGAAATAAAGTGTTTCTTAACAAGAGTTGAACCAGATGGTAGCGCCACTTCCATTAGGTAAGGAATCACAGACACCAACAAAACTTGAAGCTATGAAACAATAGATTCACTTTTTATAATTGGAGTCTATCGAAGCTAGAAATGCTCTAGTAGAGGTGTAGCAAAATAAAAAAAAAGAGGAATAAGATCTAACAAGGAAAGTATCAATTGATAGTGAATAACAAAATATCTATATCAAAGAAGTTCGCAGCCCCAATCAAACGGAAGTGAACCTACTGCAATTGAGTCCTATTGAGCTCGACTCTGGCTTTAATTTACCCTAATAATCTCCATCTCCCTAAAAGAAAAAGTGTAGGAGGAAGGAATCCTTGAATGTTGAATAATATAATAATACAACCTTTACTTCTCCTAGGATTTACACAACCAACAGATAGATTTAGGATTCGAGTGCTAGTCCAACCAAAAAGTCCATTGGCTCAGTCAGTTCTTTAACTATTAGAATGGGAGTGGAATTATTTGTTAACTTGAAGAAGGGTTCTTTAAATAAGGTTTACACAATTGGATAAGTACTTGGATAGGGAGCCTTTGGAAAGGTTTGCAAAGTCACTCATAAAACAACCGGTATTGTCATAAAATTTAAATAGGTTTGATAAGAGCGATGAAACAAATAAAAAAATCTGAATTAATAAAAGAGGATGAATAAAAGCTATTTTAAGAGATGAACATCTTAAAAAACCTAGATCATCCCCACATTGTCAAACTATATGAATTGTATCAAGATCAAACCAATTATTACATGATAACCGAATACTTGTCAGGTGGAGAATTATTTGAGAGAATAAAGAAAATGTAGGTGTTTACAGAAAAAAGAGCAAGTGAATTGGTACACTAAATATTACTTGCTATCAACTATTGCCATGAGTAGAAAATTGTGCATAGAGATTTAAAACCAGAGAATATTCTATTTTCCGGTCCTGAGCCTGAACAAAATCTTAAAATCATTGATTTCGGATGCTCTCGCAAGTTTAACACATCAAAAATGACTAAAAGAATGGGCACTGTATAATTAATTATTATCAAATTAGCCTTATTATATCGCACCTGAAGTCTTGGGACAAAATTACACAGAAAAATGTGATATCTGGTCATGCGGAATAATTCTCTATATTCTTTTGTGTGGATATCCTCCATTCACTGGAAAAACCGAATAAGAAATCTTTGAAAAGGTTAAATCAGGCAGACTAAGATTCCCAAGTATTATGCATTAATATCTTAGATGAGGAATGGGATCTCATTTCGAAAGAGGCTAAACAATTAATTTCGAAGATGATCCAAGTGGATGTGAATCTCAGATATACTGCATCCTAAGCGTTGAGTGATCCTTGGTTCTAAAAACATTCAACAAATTTACCAATTAATAAAAAGGCACTAGATAATTTATCTAAATTTTAAGCAACCAGCGAATTTAGAACAGCTATTGTTTAATATATCATATCTTAAATGACAAATCATAGAGAGATATAAGATTTATAATATACATTCTAATCTTTAGATGTAGATAAAGATGGAGTTCTAAGTAAGGAAGAACTCATTCAAGGCTACAAGAAGATTATGAAGAATTAAGAATAGGCTGAATAATAAGCTGAAAGAATTTTAGAAGAGATTGACAAAAATTTATCTGGATAAATTGATTACAGTGGTAAATTGTAATTTGATTTTTAGAATTCATCATGGCTTCAATAAATCAATCAAAAGTCCTTTCGTAAAAAAAGATTGAATAAGCATTCCGCATATTTGATTTGGATGGTGATGGATATATAACAAAATAGGAATTAGAAGATGTAATGGGAACATTAAATTAAGATGTTTGGTAATTGTTTCTATAGGAAACTGATCATAACCAAGATGGAAAGATTTCGTATTAAGAATTTCAAAAACTATTCTTTTGATGAACTAAAGTTAATTGATATTATATAATCACACAATTATTTATATTGATTAAATTATTTTCTAAAGGAGAAGGATTTGTATATTATGTACAGATTCTTTGAAAACATTAATTAAGTATTAGTGTATAACTTTGAGATTTAGGATTTTGCATGTATTTAAAAAATGAAAATTTTATTAGTTAATTATAATAACAATATAATCTGAATGATAATGGTAATCATTTTTTAGCTTTTTTCTTTTTCTTAGACTTTTTCTTCTTATTCTTTCTTCTCTTTCTTTTTTTTGTCACCTTTTTGATTTCTTCAAGAATTGCATTTTAAATTTCAATAGGAACTTCAAGTCTGCAAACTGTTTTGTACATTTTGATACACTCTAAGAATTTCTTGGCGGCTAATTAATAAAGATTATAATTACAATCATCATACAAAGCATTTCCTCTAAAATCATAGACTTGTATAGAATTATTTTTAGTTAACACTTCGCATATTTTTTCAATAAGAGGGACATCTTCAGACTCACCAAATTGATTATTAGCTATATTCAATTCCTCTAACCATTCATTAGTTTCTAGGGCTCTAAACAACTAATAAACACTAAAAATGAATTCATCAATTACCCTTGATTTCTCAGAAAATTTCCCTCTAAAAATAAATATCTTAAATCGCAATCAACAAAAGATAAAATGTCCTAAATATATTTAACGCTTTCTAAATCTAATCTACAATAGTTTAATGACAGTTTTCTAATTGTTGCTAAAGTAATATAAAAATTAGGAGTTTACTATTCATTTCCAATCCCTTGCTTAATTCTTTCATTCCCTCACAACCAATATAATTAAAGTCAAGAATGAGTTCCTATATGGGAACCTTGAAAGCAGGTGACAAGGCATAACCGAGAGAAATGCATCCTTGTGGAGTGATTTCATTTTCTGTCAAATCCAATACTTTAGTATTCTAAGCCTTCTAAATATAATTTGCCAAATATTTGACACCTTCATTGTTGTTTAATCCAAGACCAGCTTTCACTAGCCAGATGTTGGCCAAATGCTTGTAACTATTTTTTGAATTATTAATATACTTTAGATCCATTAATGCCTCAAAAATACCTCTAATTGCATTGGGTCCAATTTCTTCAATGATGTGAAGCTAAATCTAAGTGTTATGAATTACAGTGGTTAAATGCTCTTGATTTTCTATTGCTTATGCAACTGCTTAAACAAATATTTTGTTTTATGCCACTCCAAGACTTTGGATCTTCCTATTGTAAAATCTCATGATTTGGGTAGTGGATTCATCATTATCTTCTCCTTTTTTGCCTTTCTTGCCCTTTTTGGACATGAAATATATATAATAAATAAATTATATATTAATTCTTTGACCACAATTCTGTGTATTATTAAAGACATTGCACTATATTGACACAAATAAATATCATAACTCTTGATGTTTTAAAAGATAAAACTTAATCTTATAAATATCATTTGGCAATCCTTCTTAGAACTATTAGTCCATGATTTAGAACCCGCATTACTTGATTAAGTTCTAGTATATTCTGTCAGATCTAGTAATTGAAGCGTCTTCTTCATCGTATAAATAATCCTGTTATGAAATATTCTCCTTTAAAACAATGGGAGTCTTCTTGAATTTTGAGAGCATGTTACAAAAGTCTTAATCCGTTAGATACATACTAATCCATTGGATCCAGATGCAATCATAATGAGTAGAAGGTTCAAATTCTTCTACTGACATTTGATAATATTAACAATTGAATTTGCTGAGCTTTCTCTTAGATTCATTTACAAATTTAGCTTCCCTCTCTACTAAATGAATCTATAATCAAGGAGATATCTTACTTCCTTAAAATATTTGGTAAATAACTGTTCTGATATTCTGCCTACTCCTGCTCCTAATTCCAAGAGAGTGTTAAATTATTGGATGTTCTTAAGTAGGAACAATTCCGACTGTTGAATGTCTACATTATTTATTTCATCATATCCACCCAACATGCTGCTATTAGTAATGGTTTGTTTGGCCCAAAATTGCTTATTGATTTCTTTCATGGATTGTTTTGCGAAATTCATTTAATATTATTTTATGTAATCATTATCTGTGAAAAATACAAAATATCAAATACAATATAGAGAATGGTAATTATATACAATAGATCTCCAGGAGTTACTCATGTCATCAGAAAAGACTAAGCGAAATAACTAATAGGAAAGGTAGCAATGACTCGAGTTACATCAATATAATTGAATCTAGTAGAAGGAATAAATTTTTTAACTCAAGAAGGAAAGAAATTAAAAAACAAGAAGAAATTCTCACTTAAAATAAAAAGTTACTTAATAAAATAGTGAATATCAAGTCTAGTTTCTATCGTTCGGTTATATATTGATCTAATTTAATAGTCATCTAGGCAATCTATCAGTAGCAATGGTTCTAAATTATCAGCCAGGTCAATTGAATAAAAACAAAAGAATATTTAACGTATCAAGGACAATCAAGTTAATAGGCAAAAGATATCTTAAATGTGTATTAGCTGATATAATATTTCAGTAAGTCAACTTTCAAGTCTATACCAACGGAGAGGACCAGCAGAGATTCACTTCGGAGACCCGTATATCAGATAGAGGATGTCTATAAAAAATAGAAATGCCTTCAAGTCTCAAAGATAAGTCAAGTACGATTACTATCCTTTCCCTCTGTGAGAGGCAGTAATAAGTCCAAGATATCGAATTCAGATAACAAGGCCATTGCCTATACGTTACCCGCAATCAAAAAACCTAACTAATAAATCGTAGCAAGGATGTTAAAAGATAAATTGAATAATAACTGATTACTTATATTAATGAATAAATATTTAAGAAAAACACTCAGATTGAGCAAGAAAATAATTCTTCTACTAAAACCCAATCAATTCATGATATTTCAATCTCAAGTAAGCTCAAGGAATGCAAATAAAAGGGTTAAAAGAGATTGTAGATAAATATGGAATCACAAATAAATAAAAATTCTGAGACTCTAATTTTCTAATTCTATCATGGAAGAGCACGAATTTGATTGTTTTTCAACGCTAAAATTAAATAACACTAATGAGTTTCAAAGTTGATGATGTGAATGAATTTTTTCCTATAAAATATTATTAAAAGGGGAAGGATATGATTATGATATCCACCTAAAATTACGAATCTTTATTTTTGATCTAAACACATACTTTCTCCTTGTCTATAAAAAGTAAAATTCGATTTTGATAGATTTTTGACCAATAATAATATGTTATCTTCTTCCATCATATATTTATTTGAACTTATTCTAGCATTGATTCTAATAGGAAGATATTTACCAAGTTTTCCTAGAAGTTAAAAACTAATGAATTGAATTCCATTCAAATTTGAATAGAACTCTAAATATAATTTTATTAAATGAATAATTATACAAAAATTATTCCAAATCGATAATCCCCCAACAAACTACTTACACAAATTCAAACTCTCGAGTCCTAATAAATTAGACTCATAATCTTAAAGGAATTTTTACAAGGAAGACTATGCCTGGATATTTAGAATTATGTCTTAGTCCAAACACCAGATTAATTATATTCAGAAATAGTTTTATTATGGTTTCTCAAAAAGGAAATCCCAATAGAGAGTGCTCAAATATTTTTAAGCAAAAGTGATCCTAAATACTTTCCATTTCAACTCATGTAATATTTTATTAATCCATAAATCAAATTACCTCTTCTTAGATTAATATTTAATATACAGAACATTCAATTCCTTAATTCATCATTAGATATAGTATTGATGAATTTCTAAACTAAAAAGGAAGTCACTTCTCTTCTACTTAGTTTTGATGAATAAATTCAATAGCCTGAAATAGATTTGATTTTATACAATTATCCCAAGTTAAGCCTGTTGGTCTCTTATCATTTAAGAATCAATCCAAAATTCGAGGAGTTAAGTAGTTTTGACACGAACTTAATAGCTACTACAATAAAAAGGTCGTAAACAATTAACAAAGGCATCGAAACTCTACTTAACTATTTATTATAATGTGATGATAAGAAAAGCATAGTTGACATCTTAATTTAATTGAACTTTTAGAATGACACCGTTTTAAATTTAGGAATCTTAAAGTCTCCCGAAGAGGTTTAATTCAAAGAAGAATACATATTTTTTGAGAAATGGACCTAAACTAAAAGTTTTAATGAGAAAATATGGGGCAGATTCACATCTTTAGTAAATCAAAAGATGATCAAGCTTGATGATCAAGAGTTTACTGTCAACAATCTTAATTTTGCATAGCCTCTTCTCATAAAAGCATTATTTTCATTGGTTAAAAGACACACAAGCAATTTTATTATAGAGAATGCTATTAATAAGGAAATCAAGATGAAATAATCCCTGTTTTTAGATTACCCTGATTTCTTTAAAATATTTTTTATTGACTATACTTCATTGTTAGATCCAAATTATAATATGTAAATATTGAAATTGAAATTTTAGGTTAATCTTGGAATCCTTGAATGTCATCCTTACTCACATTGAAAGAACTGCAAAATAACCAATAGTATAGCATTTGGTAATTTGATAAATATATATTCAATTAGAAATTGTTACTTTGTTAATTTTTAGTTCAATGTATATCAAAGATGGCGGATCCATAGAAGATTGAGATCAGCATTTATTAATTTATCCAACAATTGCTTGCTAAGGAAAAGAATTTGAACTTTTAATTTGCAGCTTCACTCAAGTTAGAATAAATTGAAAAAGCTGTAAAGCATATCGATTGTCTATTTTTGTTGTTATCTGATTTGGATTTACTGTAGTAGAAATTACGAGATAAGGAGCGTTTTTACTTATTTTGTAAATGTCTTTAACTAAAGCATAAAAGTGAACTTTTGGATAAACCGTTAGAGAACTATTAAAATGAAAAGCAATTGAAACATAAATATAATACTAATTTAATAATGAAAAAGAAGGAGGAGAGAGTGATTGCCCAGTTATTTTGACTTCTAACTTGTGAATTAACTATAATTGTATTTTGTTATATTTAATAATAATAAATGATAGCAGTAATAGAGTTAAACCATTGGAAGGTAATCTTATAGGCTACCTATTAAAAGATGCATAATAAGTTTTATTTATATAAATATTATATTATCTATACGTTAAATAAATTTATATGAAAATCAACCAGCCTTTTTAGGTTTTTGTTCGTATACGATCCCATTCAGATTCTACAAATCCAATCGAAGTTGTCAATGAAAACATCGTAATTATGAAATTTGAATGAATAGCTAAGAATATCCAATAGAGAAATGAGCTTTTAGAAAATCTTTACTGAAAACGATTCCAATTTATCCGTTTATGAAGGAGTATTATTGTTTAATTTAGTAGACTTTATCGAAATTCATAAGCAAAATATTTGAAGGGTTCAATATGACAGTGTTGTGTTATGGAATGACAGGATCTGGCAAAACTCATACAATGTTTGGGAACTCACAGGTAAAATTAAATGATAAATTAAAAAGGATCATTATGGCATCGTGTATTAAGCAGTTAAGGAACTATTTCAACTGAAGAAAAATGGATTTATAAAAATTAGTTTTTATGAAATATATAATGAATAGATTATTGATTTGTTAGATTAAAGTTCATAGAATTTATAGGTATAAGAAGATAAGAATGGGGACACTTAGATTCCAGGCTTATCCCAATAATGCATAGTTGATGAAGACCATCTAGTGTAATTGATTTAATAAGCACAAAAACGAAGATAATTGGCTTCAACTGCTAGTAATTAATATTCTTCTAGATCACATGCTATTGTATAGATACAAGTAGTCAATTACGATGAGAAAAAGAATATCAAATATGATGGCAAATTAATTCTGGCTGATTTGGCAGGAAGTGAAAGATGTTATAATTATAAAAATGGAGGAACATAGAAGATATAATAGGAAGGATAAAACATTAATAAATCTCTCTTGGCATTGGGCCAATGTATTATGATGTTAAATCAAAGCAAATCACACATTCCGTATAGAAACTCTAAATTAACGAGAATTCTGAAATAATCTCTAAGTGGTAATTCTATGACTCTTTTTATTGCATGCATAAGCAAATAATATAGTGAGGAAACTGAAAACACATTGAAATATGCCCAATAAGCCTGTGCTATCAAAACTTCATTAACTTAAGCAATGACTTCAATTAAGATGGAACAGCCGAAAAGATCGATATCAATTGAAATATAGAACTTGGAGTAATAATTGAATAGTTATTTTGTCATTAACAATGGGTTACATAAAAACTTAAATACCTTATATTAGAATGTGTAGAAGGAATAGGAAACTAAGGTTATTGTTTAAAATGTAGAATAATAAATAGCATCAAATATGAGGAAGTAGAAATTAATAATCAATCAAATCAAAGGACTTATTGTTGAAAAAGAAAACTAAGACAAATCATTTACATATCGAGGATCGGAGGTTAGATTTTGTGATCTGAGCAATAAGAGTTCAATAATTTCGTAAATCCAACCTCATACTGCTGATTAGAGTTGCCAAACTGAAAGAGTTTATGATCCAATTTATTTTGATGTAAAACTTGGACGCAACAATTCCTAATAAACACCCAATACTATTGAGATTCACAAGATTCCAGAATCCAAACGATTTTCAAATCCATTTCTTAGTACCATGGTGCAGGAAGAAAAAACTTAAAAGGATGTATTATAAGATAGAACCAACAGATTCAAGATCAAAATAAAATGACTTATTTGTCTATACTTTTTATTATTCGTAAAGAATGTTTCATTATTATTTGTGGGTATTTCAAAGGAGATGCAAAGTTTCATGTTATGGACTTGTATTTTATAATAACTTGTTATACAAAATGATTTAATACAAATTTATTATTATTATATATTATTTCTTTTCTGTATACAAATCAACTTATTGCTCATGTAGGAAACTAACAAAGGCAGAACTTGCAAACAAAGAAGCTCAGTTCACACAAAAGATTAGAAAATAAATACTGAAAGGTTTTCATTATCAAATATCATTGAAATATAGACGCAGTCTGAATGTTGATATGAACAACTATACGCCTAAGTAACCCAAATGGGCTGAAAAGACTATTAAAAATATGAACAGATGTTCCTTTACAGATCTTAGTGAATAAGATAAGAGGGGATCTATGAGCACCCTAGCTACATTAACAACAATGAGCACCGACTTTTATGTTTAAGACGACGATCCTATTGAAGAGTAGACATCTTCAAGTGATGAATCATAGAGCAATGTAAAATTTAAAACAGAAATGTGCAAAAATTGGAGTCTGTTGGGTAGATGCAATTATGGAAATAAGTGTTAATTTGCTCATGGTTAAAAGGAGAAGATAAATCGATAGTGTAATTAGAAATACAAATCCAAACTCTGTCGATCTTTCCATTAAGATTATGTAATGAACACTTATTATTGATTCTAGGTCTGCTTTTATGGAGCTAGATGCTAATTTATTCATGAAAGTAGAAGTGTTGACCAGATTCGAAAGGATTTCAAATCTTAGACTTCCTTCTATTAGCCTTCTTCAAACTAATTGAGATTGAAATCTTTTCAGCTCATAACAAGCGATTGGAAACAAGAAATTCCATTGCAAGAATGTTTTCAGCTTTGGAAGACTAAATTATTATTATAGATCAACATATCCTCAAGTAGTGATTGAAGATTTTGTTAAGGTTTATGATTATTTATTTATAATTTAATATATTAAAATGATTGAAGATTAATATTTGTTAATGCTCAAACAGAATTCAATATCTCCCTAAATAATAGAGGCTTACTTACAATAGAAGCAGCATCTAATCAAGTAAAATCAACATAATTACAAAGCAATGTGATCTCTTACTTTGCGAATATTATTACATACGGTCCAATAGCGTTGTTTAATGCTGAGAAAATCTGCTCTTCTAAATAGTCATAATAGTTTGTCAGTACAATTAGGAAAAATTATGAAACGATGTTTGGTTTAAACGATTAACAAGATTCCTAAAGTTTTATTGAAAATTCTTAGGAATATTTTAAACAATACTTTTCACAGCAGATATTTGATCAGCACTATCTAAGCTTTTTAAATGACTTAAAAGAGTGCTCTTATGTTAAATAATTGAGTCGAAATTAATGGCTGGATTAACTCCAAGACATTATTGAAATTTCTACAATTTAAGAAGTAAAACTTCAGTATCACTTAATAGATCAACCAAACTTAAATAATTAATGAGCAATTTGAGAGTGACACCTTAGCTCGGGAACGAAAGAGGTAATCTTATAGTATGCCTTAATCAAATTAGTATTTGTTATGATGGTGATGAGGAGAGAACCCCTTAATAGAGTGAAGAGGATGAGTAAAACAAAAATAAAGTAAGTAATTATAAAGAAATCAAAAAAGTATTAAAAAAATAAGAAAGAAAAAGAATTATAAAATGGAGAAGGTGGTGAGGAGGGTTACGATGCCAGTAATTCAGATCATAAAACGAAGATCTCAAAGTTGCCCAGAAGAATCATCTAAAGGAGAAAGTAAGCAAACAACCAAGAATTCGATACAGACAGAGAATATGTATGCTTTTAATCATATTTAGAAACAAAAAGAATGATCAAAATTATTCAATATGTGTAATTATTATATATATTTATATTAATTTGATAAATGAGATCAAATCCTCGTTCACAATCAAAAAAAGAATCGAAGACTGTTTAACCACCACCTCCTCCTCCTCCTTAGAAACCTGTTTAAGAAGAGAAATAATTCAACCCAGATACATATGTTAGATAAAATTTAAGTCGAGATGAAGTTATTGAGTTAAAGGTAGAGTAATCATAGAAATCGTATTCCTTAGAAAGCCTTTGATCTATTTGATGATGATGGAAGTGGCACTATTGATCCTGCTGAATTAAAGGGAGCTTTTGAAGAATTAGGACTTAGAGCTCAAAATAAAATGATTTATTAAGTTTTAGGAGAGATAGATCAAGACAATTAAGGTGGGTTTTCATTTGACAATTTCATCAAATTAGCAACAGCCAAGCAAAATTTAAAGGAAACAAGAGGTTCTCTAATGAGGACTTTCAATTTGTTTGATCTAAATCGTGAAGGTGATCATATTGAGTGACTTTAGGTAGAATTACTTGGGATGAATTGAAGAGGGTCTCAGTTGATCTGGGGGATGACTTAAATGATGAGGAAGTTAAAAAGATATTCAGAAAGGCTGACTTAGACGACGATGGTTTTGTAACCTTTGATGATTTCTACAATATGATGACTGGAAGAGTCTATTATGATTGAAGGAATATCATTATAATAAAATTTAAGAATTAAAATTTCAAATCTCTTTCTATAAGAAAAAATCTTCCTAACTTAATAATTGTCTATCATTCCAATATATGATATTTTGAAAACAATAATTTTTATTTCCTGTAATAAGCTTACAAGTTTCAATGAATAATTTTTAATATGTATATAAAAAAATTAAAAGAGTTGATATCAACAACTTTGGAAGATTATCGGAATGAGAGATACAGTGTTTAGCATAACTAATTGATACTTTAAAAAATATGGCCAACCTTTATTATTCTGGTCAAATTTTATGCTATTATTGGACTTATATACATAATTATTTACAATTCCTTATATTTCAAGAGCTTTAATAAGGCTTACACTACATTTTATTTATATATTTAACTTGTAGCTATAGTTTTGTATGTCTGCATTGTTGAAAGAATTGCTAACTGCTTAAGGGAATCGTATAAATTAACACTTATCATTTTTACATTCATTCTAGTTGAAACCTCATTTCAAATATTTTTGGTGGAAGTGTATTTATCAAATGATGTAGAGAACAGAATATTGACTGTTTGTTAGTTGTTTATCAATTTATTGCTTGTTCTAGGAATAGTTAGAACAATTAAATTAAGAATCATGTTATTACTGAAATTTTATGCATATTTCTTTGCTAGAGGGATTACTTTCCATTTTAAGACTTTCCAATCCTTAAATATCATATTTTTTATACTTCTGATTTTATTCTTTTGGGATCAACAATTAATAAATCTGAGCAAAGTTTCATAATTTACTGACCAAACTTTAAGAAGCATTCCTAGTGCAGTTTGTGTATTAGATTAGAATTGCTAAGATGTGTTATTTACTAATAATTTTACTAAAAAACTAATCCATTCTTTGAATTATGGTGGCCTTTCAGGAACAAAATCTTATGGAATTTTGTAGAACTAAGGATTTCCCTCTTACGAATCCATTAGAAGTTCGCCATCAGATGAAATAATCTCATTTTTTGAGAATCTAACCTTACCTTAATCTGAAGTGAAAGAACAATTGAATTCTGAAAATTCACATAGACTTGCTTCTAAATTTGAATCTACTGATCAGCAGCAAATTAATCTAAACTAAGCTCTAAATTTGATTAAGATTTAAGAAAAATAAACCTAAGGTTCTATATATGCATTAAGATGTTCATTTAACTGTTAAACTTATGAAGATGAATACCCGATTATCGTGGAGGCCAGAATTAAAACTAAACTGCAATATGGTTTAAATAAAAATGCCATTCTTTTAAATCTTTATGATGTATCTCCTAATTTTAAATCTTCCTATTATAAGAAACTTAATTCATTCAAAAGTCAGGTTATTCGTTCCATCTCACATGAATTAAGAACCAGATTAAATGTTATTTAAGGTTTCTTGTAAGTAATTCAATGCAACAGCATTAATTATGATAAGGAAACAAATAAGTTATTGAGAGCTGCATTTAATAACTGTCGAATTCAGAATTTGATCATCAGTTCAATCATCAATTACAATCTGATAAGAGAAAAGAAATTAGTCACAAAAATAGAGAAATGCAAATTAATATCTGTTATCTAAGAGGCCATAGATCTATTTAAGGAGGAAGCTGAAATGAAAAACATCAGAATAACCTTTTAAAAACTCGTGAATTAAGCCTAGAATGAAATGTTGGATTACGAGAAATTTCAAAGTATCTTAATCCATATAATTTCGAATAGTATAAAATTTAATAATACGAGTGGATAAATTATCATTACGATTTAAAAGGAGAATTAAGAAAAGGATAAGGTAACTCAAAATAAGGAGATTGATAAGAGAATTGTCTAGCCTTCCTATGGTTCTCAATTATATAAAAGTTCTTAGGATTTGAATGATAGTTCCTTTCATTTTCCTTTACGGAAAAACACGATATTTAAATAATAATTTATTAATCCTTGTAGTTCCTTTTCGAATGTTGCACCTCAACAACAAACCAATACTAATTTATATGAATATTATTTAATTGAAATTCGAGACACTGGAATGGGAATTAATCAATAGAAGTTAGAAGCCATTTAGAATTTGCTGAAAAATGAGGAGAAGGCATTCTAGGACGTAGATGGAGATTCTGCTTCAGGCATGATGTTAGGATTGAGAGCATCAAATGCTTTAATTAAATATCTTAATGGAAAAGAAGAAGATAATTTTATAACAATCGATTCAGTCATGGATCAATGGACTACTGTTTGTATTCACTTGAAGTGTAGAATTACATAATTGACCGAAGGATTCATGCCAAGTGATCTATACAATAAAGAGAGTTCTTAGATTGAATTAGAAGGGTAGGTACCAGATATTGAGAGCCAAACATTTAAATTCAACATTTGGACAGATCCAGATATTAGCAGTAGAGCCAATATAATAAATAAAAATAAAAAATCTTCGTAAATCAATGTGAATTTAGCTAATAAAAGAGGGAGTGGTTAGATGTTCTCCAATCACAATATTTCAAGTTTTTATAAAAACCTAGAAGGAAGTCTCTTTAAGGGTTAGGGTTGTGGATGTGATTAAAAAATAGTGATAGTCGATGATGAACCATACAATCTATTAGTTTTAGAATCTTTGCTTAAATAATTAGGCTACCAATCAATCAAGGCTGATAATGGGAAACAATGTGTTAATTTGATCGAGAACAGCATTTCTGTTTTTGATGAACATAAATGCCGAGGGTTTAAGGCTGTTATTATGGATTATCAAATGCCAATTATGAATGGGTAAGAGGCCACTAAACAACTTCAGTGCTTATTTAAAGATTAACCACGAATCCAAATTCCTGTTTTTGGACTAACAGGATTCTCTGGAGAAGATGATATTATCAATTTAAGGGATGCTGGAATGAAAGGAGTCTATATCAAACCCATAACTCTAAAAACCTTGGAAGAAATGATAAACAATGTAAGTTTGGTTGAATGTAGAGATACACCATTAATGTCTTCGAGGCAATTTTAATGTTTCGAATTAGATTATGCCGACGACTTAGAATAATTACATGAATGATAGTTATTAATTAATTTATATGTAAATTAGTAATAATAGTTAACAGTTAGCACTCACAAAGATTCAAAACAACGCATTTAATGTCTAATATTCTCCTTTTAGACTCTTAAATATCAAATACACCGAAGCCTCTACATAGAGATTAATTGAAGAACCTATACATTCTATCCAAGTATTTTAGATCCAAGGCAGTAACTATGAAATGCATTTCAACACCAAAAATAGCAAGCAAACAAAGCAGACAAAAGAATAAGTCAAGGTTATATCAATTGATTTGAAACTATAAAAGAAAAAATTAAAAACAGGGTCCAAAGAAAACCTATCAGATTATCAAAGAAAATTAATCAGCGATATATAAAAAATAGAATAGGAAATCCTAAGTCTCAGTTGAAATCCTTTACTTTTCATTTAAACAAACTATATATTCATTTAAATCAACCTTAATTCCCTTATTTTCTTGTTTAGTAGAATTATTAATACATTTAAGAATTATTACATTTAAAATTGATTCCATCGCAATTCTCATATTAAAGCTGATTGGAAGTAAACCAAATTATATTTATGAAATACAAAATATTTTAGTTTGCAATGTTGTAGCAGCAGTTATAACTAGAAGTTAAAATTAATTAAAATCTAATTCTCAAATTTTCTATTAATAAATACTTCAAAAAGATCTAACTTTTCTTTAATATCAATAATACATATAGATGGTAATATAATAACAAAATTTAATCAGAATTATAATAAAATTAATTTCATTTATCATTTTACTTTTTATTGACTTTAATCATTTATTGCAAATCGTTGATGACTTAGACTTTTTTATCTCTCTGCATACGTTATTAATCTTCTTGACATTTTAATCTTTCTAACTACTCCTTTTCACTTTTCATTCTCTCTACATCATGTGTGTATGATTATTTCATCACATTTTCTTTCTATATATTAGCTAATATATACTTCTGGATATTTATTCACTGATTTTTTACTATCATGTCTATTACTTAAATATCTAGTTTTATAATTATCCTTGATCCTGTCAATTTAATCAACTTCCCTATTTAATTGTTAAAGTTGGATTCTAAGTTATCTATTGGTTTCATTTAAATGCTAATTTTCAGATTCAATTTCATAAATTTAATCATGAAATTTAGTAATTTTTATTTCGTTCTATTCAATCTTTAATTATTGTCTTTCTATTTATATTCTTTGATCATTAATTTAATTTTTCAATTCTTACTCTTACTTAGTTAATATCCTCAATTCGCTTTCTACTTCATTTATTCTTTATTAATAACTGTATAACATATTTTCTTAATTTTTTTATGATTATTCAGCCAAAAGTACTTCTTTCTATCTATTATTTTCAGTTTCCTCAAATTGCTTTTAAACTCTTTAGATAGTAATATCCTTCTCATCCTATAATTATGCTAATCTGACCTTAATTTATTAATTGGTTTATTTTTCAAAAGATAACTCTAATTCTAATTATTTTAAGTTGTTCTTTAATTATTCATTTTCGACTTGGATATTTAGTAACTGTTCTTAGGTTTTTATCAAAAATTATCTTTCTGCTTACAATTCTTAGTTAACATCTAAAATTAATCAAAATAATTACAAGATTCTGCATTATTTAACTTATTAAGAGAGAAACTTGGATCATAAAAAGTTTAAGATGTCGAGGATGAATTATCGACTTTTTGTTCTAGTTCTATAATTTTCTTCTTTAAACTGAGTTCTTTTTGTTTGTATTCATTGAGTTCTTTATCCCTGTTCTCAACTCTCAGATTAGCAATTCGCAATTCTTCTTCTTATCTCTATATCTTTTCTTAGACTTAAAATGTTTACTCTTAATCTCCGATTATTTAGTATTTCATCTAATTAAGTTATGATTCTAATGTTTAGATTTTTTAATTTGCAGACTACAAATGCATTTTAGTCTATGCCAATTCTTATTATTTCAATTCAACAGTTCCATCTACCTCACTTCTCTTGAAATTGAATTATTAAGCTTATTCCCTATTATTGAGCATTTCCTTGTCTAATTATAATTTCAGCTTTATATTTTCCTCTCTAATTCTATCTATTTAATCTTTTAGAGTGTCTACTTCCCTTTAGAGTCTTTGAGATACATCTTGATCAGAGTGTTCGTATTATCTCTTTTAATAAATGTCATTTTCAATTTATTATAATTTTGATTATATATCTTTATAATCATCCTTCAGCAATTCATTTTCAACTAAGAGTTTTTCATTTTCTTCTTTCATTATTTCATAATCATTGAGGGGAACAGAATTCTTGTCTAATTATGTTTAAGATTTTCCAAGTTAATCTAATTTACTACCATATTCAGCTTATATTAATTTGAGTTCTTTCGTTTAAGATTTTAATTCTTTTTTCAACTATTTAACTTGAGTTTATTTTTGACTTAACAATTATTTAATTTCATTTAATTCATCACTAAGTGTCAAATTTTATTCATAATACTCACTTAATAATTTTCTAACCTCCTTGCTTCTATAATACAAAACTCGATATTCTCTTAATAGTTTTTCTTTTGAGACTGATTCTAACTTTGTTGTAAGCATTAGATTTTCCTCTCTACTTAGTTAGCATATTTCAGTATCCTAACCTTTTCTTTCGCTCTCGATCAAAGTTTGATATTTAGATTAAGTTGCTTTTGGATTTACCTTAACATTAATGTCATCTATTGAATCGCTAAATTCTGTAATTGAACTTCCATCATCATAATAAGCAGTAACTACTTTTTTGTTCTTATTTTTTTTTTTTGATGAATTGTACGATGATCTCGATGGACTTCATAATAATTTAAATTTTACCTTAGACTGCGATCTGCATTATTTTTAGATGCTCTTGATTCTGTTATTCTTACATTTGATCTTTAGTTTTCTTTTTATTATTACACAACTTTCTAAAAGTTACTTAATTTATTTTCTATTGACTTTTTTGTAAATTGTGGAGTTTGTTGTGTTTTTAATGATTTTTATCCTTTTGCGCTCTTTTTTGATGATTTACTTCTGCTCTATTCTAAACTTTTCATTTACACCCTTGATTAGGTTTATTTGCCTAAAGTCCTTCTGCTTTAACTATTCACAGATTTGCCTGATTTAGTTGATTTTCTACTCTTTTTATCAGAAGCTGGACTTTTCATTCGATCATCCGCAACGCTATTTAATTTTTTCTTCATTTTTCCAATTTTTTTTGCTAGTTATGTTAATTATGTAAGAGTTGAGGTTCTTCCTCCAAATTCACTTTATTTTACTTCTTCATACAACTATTTTTATTCATTTTCCTTTTCTCTTATCCATTATTATGTTAAATTTTAAGGTGGATTATTTACATTCTAAATTAATGTTTTAATTTGTTATTAACATTGACTCTCACTCTTCATTTTATGCTTTAAACTCTAACTTGTTCTAGCAAGGGACATTAAATTAATTATATTGTTAAAATTTGAATTTTATTAATATAAAGTACTTCTGTAAATATAATCCTTTCCAGAAAAGTCTAATTTATAATAAACCTGATATTTTATCTATACTGTTCTTCAGATATTGTTATAATTAATTATAAAATAGAGTAAATCAAGATCTTGGATAAGGAATTAATTTTAATAACATATGATTGTTAAGAATCAATGATTTTATTAAAATAAAATTTAAATTTTGACACATTCAATATAGGAGTAATAAGAATACTTACAATGAATGAGAACTATGAGTTCAAATAGAATTCAAAAAAGTTCATTGCCTTAATTTTCTTGCATTTTTAATAAAAATAATGAAAAATCTTGATTAGAAGAAAATATTGCCTTATATTTTATTCCTATTTTTCTGCTTGTTGCTGAATAATATGCAATTTACTACTTTAAAAATAAAGTAATTGAAAATTATTATACTTTTACAATTGAATATAAGTAAGAAATATTAATTATTGATAAAATTAAATAAGGAATTATATTATTTGATAGGAATTTCTTAGTGAGCTTCAATGACTCAAATTACTTATAGATTAAAGAAAGAAATTTATTGTATTATTGTACTTATTCATAATAATCATGATTATATCAATCCTTAGGCTTCTTCTTGATTCTTAATTAGTTTGAATGTCCACATTTTCTTTTTCTGCAGTTATGAGCTTTAGGAGGTAATCTAATAATAATTTTTAAATATCATACCTTGCATAGCAAACTCTGCAAATTTTTTTTTCAACATTATACTTTTTGGCTATAGCAGCGATTGTGGGCTCCATACCACCACCTCTTAATCTCAAAACTAAGTGGAGAGTAGATTCTTTTTAAATATTATAATCTGAAAGAGTTCTTCCGTCTTCAAGTTGCTTTCCTGCAAAAATCAATCTTTATTGATCAGGTGGAATTCCTTCTTTATCTTAAATCTTAGCCTTGACAGCATCAATGGTGTCTGAAGGCTCCACATCAAGTGTGATAGTCTTTCCCGTAAGGGTTTTAACAAAAATTTACATAATATTTTAAATTTAATTAAAATCTTTAATTAATTTTTTATTTCTAGTCAATGATCTATAACAAAAACTATAAATCATGATGATAAACCAAGTTATCAATAGTGCATCCTCATTATTTTTGGACTTTCTTAATTTTATTTAAATATACGACCGCATTCTTATATTCATCTGAATTTATCAATTCATCAGATTTATCTTAAGATTCTAATAACCCTTCAACGCTATACATATTTTATTTCAATTTAATCCCTTCAATACAAGTGTAATAATTCTTTTTAGTTTTTGGACACTAGAAAATAATTTATTCAAATTGATTTTCCTGCTAATTCCTCTTTTCATTTTCTAGCTTCTGTATTTTTTCTAGATACTCAATCTAATGAGAAAATAGCTTGTCTCTATGATTGTTTAAAAAATCAAGAGCTCCTTAAAGACTATAAGGTTGACCTTAAAGATTAATGCTCTCTAAGCATGTTATATAAGTTTATTTTGTTATTGGACATTCGAAAGTAACATTATTTTCCATCTAAGGATCCTAATATATTTATTGAGTCTATATCATAATACTAAAATAAATAATTCTATTACTTTTTGAGAATTTATTAATATTCTTCTTGGCTGTACACCTGTTATAAGATACTATCAGTGATTTCCAATTATTAAATATCGTAATCTTTGAAATCTTGAGGACTATTGAAATGTTACAAAATATTAATTTTGTAGATCTTAGAAAAGGATTATTCAAATGCACCATTAATAAAGCAGAATTTTTTAATCAATTCCTTTAACTTATCTTTTAAGACTACTATAAAATGTTCTGGCTATATCATTAACTTAATCGTGCTTTTTTCTCCAATAATCTCTCCAGAAAGTTAACAATAAGTCAATCCATCATATTCAAATTAAGCGGATCTCCTGGTGCACAACTTTTAAACCAACTCAGTAAATGATATTTCGTCTAATTTTTCTGGGTCATTGATCATTTTGATTAATTTAATCTCATCGTCCTACATTTTCTATTAAAATAATATTATTATATAATTTTAATTTTTTATATACTCCTTAAAATAAATATGAGGTTTTATGATTAATCAATTCTACTCTTAAATGAAAATTATATATATATCATTAATTATTGATTTTCTAATTAATAATTTGAATTGTTCTTCATATAAATAAACTTTAACAATTTAAGCAACAATATATATTTATTATTCAAATAATTCTTTAAAGGATTGAGATAATAGAGTGGAACTATTTTAACATTTGTTAAATATTTTTTATAATATAAATATTATTATCACTTGAAGAAAAAATGAATACTGTGCAGGTTATTGAATTTTCAAATAGAGTATTTGATAAATACGACAAAGATAAATCAGGATTTATTGAGATAGATGAATTAACTTCCTTATTGAATAACTTCGCCAAAGAAATTAAATCACAAGTATCAATTATTCTTAAGATAAGCCACCCACTTAAAATGAGATTAATTATATGTTACGTTTCCTAGATAAAAATAATGACCAAAAGATTAGTAGAACTGAGTTTTAGAAATTAGGATAATTGATGGTGAAAGTTCTAGGGCAAATGTGATTATATTTTTAGATATATAGAATTGTTAAATAATTTTTGTTTCCAAATTTAAATTTCTTTAAAGAGATGGTCAAAAAGGCTTAATTTTAAAGCATGAGCGATCTTCAAAAAAATATGATGAAATTAGTCACAATATTTATAATTATTATTATAATGAAATGTGTTTAAAATTTCAATGAATCAACAGCATCCTCCTTGTTTGGTCTATTTCTTTGGGTCTTATTTAGTTAATGTCACAGTTGTAGGGAAAAATCTAAAAAAGAATGATAAACAATAAAGAATTACATTTCTTCATCCTTTTCTTAACTTGCAGCTGCTTTTGCAATGTCTTGGAAAGCTTATTCTATATTTGTGGCATCTTTGGCTGAGACTTCAAAAAATTGTATATTTCCGTGTGATTTACACCATTATTAACTTTTGGATTCCTAAACTTTTCTTTCTGTTGCTTTATCCAATTTATTTCCTAAGACGACAAAAGGAAAATGTTCTGGATCTTTTGGTTGACCTTACATTAGAAATTCATCTCTCCAAGAATCCAAAGAATCAAACGATTTTGGATTTGTAATATCGTATACTAATACACAACAATCAGCTCCTCTGTAAAATGCACCACCTAATGATTGGAATCTCTCTTAACCTGCTGTGTCCCAAATCTAACAAAATTTAAAATTGTCAACATACTTAAAGGGTAACCATACGATCATCTATCATAACTTCCTTGGCCATAAAATCTGCACCAACTGTAGCTCTATATTATTGAGTGAACCTTGCATTGACATATTAATTCATCAAAGATGTTTTTCCGACTCTAAAAGTTTAATTAGAATGTAATTTTACCCTGAATCACCTAAGATGATGATTTTAAAAAGTTGCTTCTTCTTGCTGGCCATGTGGAATTATTATAATTATTTATTAATATATATTAATAATTCTGATTGTAGTTTTAAATTCTAAATATCGTATTTAATAAGAAAAAAAAAATCTTAAATTCAATTAATATTCACTTCTTAACAGCCATAAAAAATATACAATTATACTTTAAGTATTTTTAATCTAATTTTGAATGATTATAAGTTGATTCTTGCACCTACTCAAATTATATCTCAAATCCTTTTTATTTTATATAATGTTTTAAATCTTCAAAGCTTAATTCAATGCTTGTTTCAGAGAACTAGTTAGCAAAATGATATTCTAAAGGCCCAAAGTTTATCCAACATCCTTTAGGCTTTAAAATTTCATAAATCGTATCTATATAATCTAATACATTATTAGCTGTATCAATAAAAAAGCAAGTGATAACACTATCCCAAAAATTAAAATATTTGGCTTGATGATAGACAGTAATAAATTCTCCTGCAACAAATGACATTTCATCATTCTCAGTTAAAACTTCCGCTGGGGCTACATCAGGCACTTTTACTAATTCAAATTAGTCATTTTCACTAGAATTTATTTTTACACTACCTTAATCTATTGCAAAAATTGTTCGCGAAAGGGTATAATTAATACTATTCCTTTTTTTGAGTGAGATTTATGATGAAATGAGAACTCAATAACATAAAATACGAGAATTCATTCCCTTAAGCTGCGAAACCTCTACTTGCCAATTCAAATACTAGTCTTCCTAATCCAGCTCCAGGTAATAACACTTAATATTTAACATCTTTAGTTCTTGCATCTGGATAATACGATTATAATTGATCTATAATGAGCTTATATGATTAATCTCTTTCTGCTTAGCCTTGAATGCTCCAATCTTTTCTTATTATTCATTTAATTGTACCTCGATAAAATTATTTTAAAGTTATCCTGAGTTTTGCAATATCTCCATGCTAAACATGATGAAAATATGGTAAGTCCGATACATAAGTAACTTGACTTAAATCCATTTCTGGAAACATATCCACGTAGGCTGCAACTATTAGGAAACAAAAGTGAGCATTTTTCTTAACGCAATAATCCAATTTTTTAATTCTTTCTTAATAATTCATTATTAGGTTGTTTCTTTGTTCTGGCTTTAATGACTCAAAATGAGTTTTTATTCTTTAAATCTCCACTTTCATATCATTGGTATAATTATAAAAGCATGCAATGACATTTTTAAAATGTTAATATTCATGTATATCCTTTTATAGGATTTCATTATTTGAAGGATGATAGCTTGCATATTCTTTATCAAAATATAAAGCATCCATTTCCTTTATTTCAATTTCAATTGAATCCATAAAAATAATTTTTGTTAAATAATTAAAACAAAATATTTGGCAATATAGAATAGAATGAACTTTCTAGGTTTTTTTTCATCATCCACCAAACAATAATCAAAATTATAGAAGATAAAAGTATGTGTAAACTCTGAATTTAGATCTATAAAGATGAATAATGTTAAAATTATTTCTAAAACTTAAACATTGAAGATAATACTTAATGCTAAAAAATTTTAGATCAGATTGATATTTAAAATCAACTTGGAGATGATGTTATAATTATAATATCTTTAGGTGAGGAAAGTGCTTCTTCTTTTTACTTGTCAGAAGGATAAAAAGTGCATTTCACAGAGAATTATAAATAAATAGGAGTAAATAGCTAAAATTTTACAAAATGCACCATAAAACTTAGAACTTTACATAATTTATTAAGAAATCAAGCTTTAAAAATTGTAAGAAACTCAATCTTATCATCAAAAAATTTGGAATCATATTAATATAAGTAGAAAATAACTAATATTTTTTTAGATTCTAAGGATCATTCATTTAGATAAGGGACTCTGTTGAAAAAAAGCAAAACAGGATAATTTCGAGAGAGACTCTTCAAATTATAAAAAGACACCTTAATTTATGAAAAGTATGAGAAACATGAAAAAAATAAAACAAAACAAAGTTGCATCTCCCTTGATTCAATGTAAATTGAAAAACAACCAGATAAAAATTTAACATTTTTAATAAAATGTGATTAAAAGATTTATTAAATTAAAGCCTAAAGTCGAACTGATTTTGATGGATGGTAGGTAGAATTCATAACGAATATGTAGGTTATATTCTTTACATAATTAAATTATGAAATGGAAGGAAGTGAAACTACTATTAGATTACGATAAGAAGATTGAGTAATGTGCCTATTCCAAAGTGGAAAAATTGAAAAGCCTTTCTACCCAATTCAAATCTATAAAGTTTATTGCTTAGAGCAATTCTTACATTACAAAGTTTAAATCATGAAAATTTTAGATAATTTTTAAGCTATTTGGATGATAAGAGATCAAAAATAGAAAAGATGCTTTTCTAATTTTTGCAGTTGACTTACGAAAGTGAAACTTTACCATAAGGTTCGAAAAGCTTAAAATAAATGTTTGAGAAGAAAGACTTATTGCTTCAGGAAATTTAAGAAATGGTTAAAGATGATGAAAACTTTTCAAGATTAGAAAAAATGCAACAAAATCAAATTAAACAAGAAGTAACAACACATTTTGATAAACAAATTGTTCCAGATTTTCTTTAGCAAAGTAATTATATATCTTAATTGACTAGTTAATCAGTCTTAAATAATATTAGATTTTTCTATTCATTAGTTTAAATAGTTCTATGAATTTCCATTGCTTGATTCATCTGGATTTTATTAAGATCCTACTGATATTCAGATTCCGAATTCAGAATGAAAAATAAATGAATACTTATAATGCAAAAATAAATTAATAAATTCTTTTTAAAATCATTAATGGGTATACCAGAATCAAAATCTACACTTGAAGCCAATTACACTGATTATAATAAAGTGAACCAAAAAAAGCAATAAAATTAACCCCCATCTGTTGAAGCTGATTGCTGTGATAATTAGAAAAATGATTATATCATTTTGATAGATTGTGGCCATTTATATCACTTACATTGCTGGCAATAAAAATAAAGAGAATAAAAATAATTTATATGTTTTTGCGAAAGCCAAATGAAAGCAAAACTTCCTTTTTAAGTCAAGCCTTGTTATTGATTACTATGAATACATATTCTAATATTTTTTAAGTTATCTTTGGGTTGCTTCTTCGATATTGGATTAAATAAATTAAACCAATAGTAAAATAAGAAAAGTAGGAGAATCCTTACTTCTGAAACTGCAATCTGGACCAAATAAAGAATATATAAATTAAGAAATTTTAAATTATGAAACAGGTCTATTTGGTTTAGAGTCAAGATCTACATTGAATAGCTAAAAATTATTGACATAGGATTGACTTTATACTGTGAAAAATTTTTTAGTTCTAGAATTGCTTTACAAAAGATTGCTTTTACGATGAAACAATAAAATTATTATAATATATAAATAATTCATAAAATAGTTCAAAAATTTTTTAATGAAAATTATCTTAAAATGTAGTCCTTCTTAGAAACAAGAGCTACTTACTAATAACTATTATTAAAGTGAATTCAAATGATATATATTAAAATAGTAAGATTTTATTTCCTGAAAATTAAACTTGAATTAATAATTTAGAGATTGACAGGGATTCTCATCTTTACCAATTTTAAATTAGTTGCCTTTTATTTAATAGACATATAAAAACTAAATGATCAATACTTACTTGAATATTTTCATAATAAGACGCCTAAATATATGATAGAATTAGTAATAAATGAAATTTCAAAAATTATAATGTAGATTTTTCAATACCTTAAATTCTAATAATCATAAGGAGAAGATGAAGATTCATTCAAAAGAGAATTTCATAATAACCAACATAAAAATGACATAATTATTATAATGAAATTAAATATTTATCATTTACTTTCACAAACACTGATCCAATCTTTTCTAGGTTGATCTCTCTGAGCAAAAATCTCCATTAATTGTGACTTTGGAAGCAAAGTTTCAATTGTTTAATAAATATACTCTTTTGATTTTTCAGATTTTTTTCCATTGCTAACAAAATCAAACAAGACATCAGGAGTTCTTTAATGTCTTAATTCTAATTAGGTCTTCTATTCATCAAATTTCCTAAACATTATCAACACTTATTTAGATTAATTTAAGACTTTAGAAGGACAATTTACTATCAAATCCTTTACTTAAACTTTTTGTTATAAAAAATTAAGATTATCTAATACAGCCTCTTCAGTCTGTTCAATTTTCATATGTTTATTCAACTCCTCTAAAGCTTTCTCAAGGCTTAATTGTACTACAACTAAATTTTCAATGTAGGTAAATCCTTTACTCTCCATAATTTCAAGAATTTCATTAATAAGTCCTTTATCAGACCAAATAAATAGAATTCCATTAGAAATCAGCTTTTTGGAAAGATCTAAGTTTTTCTATTAATATTTTAAGAATATTTACTAAATCTTTTCTAAAAAGATTATCAATAAAAATTCCTTAAACACCTTTGACATATTGGGAAAGATCTGTTCCTAGAATCTTTTTAAGGACAATAATTCTTAATTTAAACAATTAATGGTTACCTTCTTTGATCTGTTTCATAAGATTGGCACTTAATTGATTTTTTCCATTATAACAACACTTCCAAATTATCACACCGTTCTAATTAGCTAACATAATGTACATTTTTTCTTTTTTTGATTTAGTTTTGTATTTCCTAATTTTTTTGAATGCCTTGTATGAGTCTTAATCATCTACATATTCTGAATCATCTTCTGTAACATCATACCCTTAGTTTAGCTTAAAATAATTAATTCTTTTATTCTCAGAACCAGGCTCACTATATCTCAACTTCATTTTTATTGGTTCCCGCTAATTTTTTTTTCCCATGTTTTTTTTTTTTTATCAAATTAATCAAAAAAATTCACCCATTTTATTAAATTTAGAGGGAAAATAATTAATTTTATTACAGATATAATTAAAATATTGATGATGTTATAATGACTTTTAAATTGTATTAAGTATTAACGAAAATCACTACTAAATTTTATGTTCTGCAAATGACCATCCTGCCAAATGTGATTACTCTAAAAAGCTACCAATTTCGAAAACATTATGTTCGACCTTGATAAACCTTGTTTTTCTACTCAGAATAGGCATTTTAATTTATTTCTCTTTCACTTTATTCCAGTCTATATCTGTAAAATAAGGATGAGCCTTAATTTCTTCTGCATCTCCTTTACCAGAACCCAATCTTTTTGCTGGATTTCTCTGTAATAGCTATAGATTAATAGAAAGTAATAATTTACTGCTTTCAAAAGATTGATTCCATCATGTGATATGTATGTTGGTAGCTTTAGATCAGCTTTTTAAATGTTATTGAAAAGCTCTTCTCTATCATTTGCATAATAGGGAGGTTGTCCAACTAAAAGTTCATACATTACAACTCCTAATAAGTACCAATCGACAGCCTTTCCATGGCCACATCTTTTGAGCATCTCAGGTGCTAAATATGCTACAGATCCACAAAATGATCTTGCACCAGAATAATGCTCCTAAACTCCCTCCTTAGATAATCCGAAATCGGTTAACATAACATACTACCATCTGCATCCAAAACAATATTGTCAGGTTTCAAATCTCTGAAAATAATATCTCTCTTATGTAAATCCTCTAAAGCAAGGATCATTTAAGTCAGATACAGTTTTACTCTTTCTTCTGGGAATCTTTATTCTCTTCTCAAATGAGAACTTAAATCACCTCCTGGACAATAGTCCATTATTAGACAGAGTTTATCGGAAGTCTGGAACGCATATCTTAATCTTACAATAAAAGGGTGTTTGGTTAATGATAACACATTTCTCTCAGTTAATGCATATCTTGTGAGGTTTTGTTCTGATATTTAAATATTAATTTTACTTTGTATTTTCGATTTATGAAGCACTTTCATAGCTAATAGTTAATTAGTATCCAGCTTTTTATCTGGACAGACACTTCTCCAAAACTGCCTCTCCCAATAAGTGCATGCACTTTGAAGTGATGTGGACCTACTTTATCTTCATTAAATGAATTGCTATTTTCACTTCCGAAATCAGTTCTTGCATCATATATTTTAATTGAATTATTATTTTATTTTTGCATCGCTTACAGAAAGATCTATTGATTGGATGAATAATCCATAGCTATTTTGTTCTCTTTGTTTCTAAGATGTAAATAATTGAATATACTTTAAATTGAGATTCAAACTTTATTTGTTTAGTAATAAATCTATAATTTTTTATCTTTCATTCATTGTTGCCAAATGAAGACAAGTGTTTTTGTTAATATCTTAAGAGTTAATGTCAGCTCCTGCTCTTATCAATTATTAAGTAATCTCTTCGGCTCCTAAACTACAAGCAATCATTAAGGGAGTTTATAATTTTGAATTTAATGAATCTATTTGAGCTTCGTGATATAACAGCAATCCAACTAATTTAGAGCTCCCAATCATCACACTTATATGTAATACTGTATTTCCTTCCAAATCTCTAGAATTTACGTCAGGCTTCTCTTTTAGAAGTATTTCTCTGGCCTCATCATACGAATTGTTTTTCACTTTATTTATCAATTTGGCATTATTGGGACTCTTTGTATTCCTATTATATAAAAATAAAAAAACCAATTATTTCTCCAATCTTAATAACGAATATCAATAACCTTGCCTGTATCTTGATCTCGAATGCAGAATTCTGGATATTTACCTGAAGCTTTTACCTTGATATTTACATTTATTACTAATTTATTAGGTGGCAACTTTTGAACTAAAACTGACCCTTCATCAAGAAGACTTGGTGAAAGCATTGATCGTTCAATTCTATGGCCAGCTGAAAATTATCTATCAGATTGAGATGGTTCTGTTTTTATTATTTTGGCTATATTGTAGGTTTGCATTGGTGAGCGAGAGGGAGGTTTTGTTATTGGAACCTATTAAACGTTCATTGAATTAGAATATTTTATAAATAACTTAATAATGTATTTTTCTTAATTATTTTCTCAATGAATCCTTATAATATATTCAAAACCTATCTTACAATTCAACCCACAATCATAAATTTTAATAATAACACATCATTTGTTTTGGTTTAAATAATTATCTCATTTAAATTTAAATATTTGATTACTTTGATTTGAAAAGAATACATTCAATGAATCCATTTAATCTTACACTCTTAAATTATCCAAATATTATAGATTTCAAATGTATCTACTCAGATTCACCCTTAGAAACCATTCTATTTGAGTTTTCCAGAATTAAAATTTCATTTATAATTTGAAAAATAGAAGCATTCCTTAAAAATATAAAATAATCATGATTATTAAAATTTTCTATGTATTCTAATTAAGACCCCGAAGAATAATTTGAGCTGAATGAATTGATTGGAGAAGGCGCTTATGCTAAAGTTTATAAGGGGAAACATAAGAATGGCTAAATCGTAGCTATAAAAATAGTTCCTTCAACTGGTGAGATACAATCATTAATCAAGGAGATCCAGATCTTAAAAGTATTATTACTTATGAAAGTAGGAATGTTAACATGCCCATATAGTACAATTATTATGGTTCCTTTTATAAGGATGGAGATTTATGGCTTGTAATGGAATATTGTGTGGGAGGGTCAATTATTGATCTATTGAAAATCACCTAGAAAACCTTAACGGAGTCAGAAATTGCTGCTATTTTGTATCACGTTCTACTTGGAATCGAATATTTGCATGCGAATAAAAAAATCCATAGAGATATCAAAGCTGGAAATATTTTATTGGATGAGAAGGGAACAATTAAAATCGCAGATTTCGGAGTAGCTGCACAACTCATATACACGAATGCAGACAAAGTATTTTTACTCTAATACAAAGGGTACAGTAATTGGCACTCCTGTTTACATGTCTCCTGAAGTTATATCTAAGAATCGATATAACCATCTAACGGATATTTGGTCTTTGGGAGTGACTGCTATTGAACTTGCAGAAGGAAAGCCCCCATATTCTCACATTCATCCTGTAAGAGCGATGTTTGCAATTAAAAACAACCCACCATAGGGTTTAACCAATCCTGAAAAGTGGTCTAAGGAATTTAACGATTTTGTTAAATCTTGCTTAAAAGTACAAGTCTCAGAAAGACCCAGTGCTTAACAATTACTTTAGTCTCCATTTATCAAATAAGGCAAGCAAGACTAAAAGAAATTAGTAAATCTCATTGAAAACTTTCTCAACCAAATTGATGAGTATAGGTAATCAAAAACCTAAGGAAATTTAGAAAAAGTTTAAACCTTAATCTCTAAACAAGAGGCTAGCGAAGACGAAGAATAGTCATGTGGAACTGTTGTGGAATGCGGAACACTTGTGATTAAAGAAGAGGAAGCCTAGAGTAAAAGCAAAAGCGAAAAAGAATTAGATTTTGTAGCCTATGCTAAAAAGGAGAAAATTATAAATGAAATAATAGATGAATAATTAAGTGATGAATAATAAATGGAAAATATGAATTAAGATGAAAGAAAGAAGTTTTTGGCCTTTTTGTAATCACAAATGGAAGAGGAAATTTCAAAAGTAAAATAAAAGTATATGCCTAAAATTGAGATGTTAACTCAAAAAATTAAACAAAACGAATCCCCAGAATTGCCAAAGCTATAGGAATATATTCCTAAGGTCAAACCATAGGAATATAGTAAGCCCTAGGAATAAATTACTTAGAGTAAACCTCAGCAATTGATCTAAACTCAATAATCTCAATTAATCTAATAATAATAATAACCATAAAAAATTGAAGTTTCAGTTCCATTCCAGGTCAATCCAGAAGTTTTATAAAAATTATCAAATATGAAAATCCCTCAAATCAAAATTTAGAATGTAAGTTCTCCAACAGCTTAGTTAAGATCTAATCCTAAATGAAAAGTAAATCCTGAGTATTTAGTAAAATAAAATATAAATTCTAATTATTGATTAGAATTTAATTTAAACTATTATTTATTCTATTATCTATCTTAATAATTTTAATAGAATAATAAATTAATCTTTCTGACTTTAATTCTAAACATAATAATATAATTTTACTAATTTGAATCTTAATTTATTTTATCAATCTAAAATTTAATAAACTAAGATATAACATATAAGTTATTAGAATGATTATTTGATACTAAAATAAATAAAATTATTATGGATTAAGAAATTGTGGATTAACTAACCCTCGATTCTATTCCATACTACGAAGAGTAACTGTATGGGGCATTATAAGTCATAATTGATTTATAGTAAAAGGTTGAATAACAGGAAATGATTTTGGATGATGTACAAATTAAATGTTATTAGAAAAGGATAATTCCAATGAAAACTAGGCTGAGGATGTAGAAGCCGATCTTCAAGAAATAATTTCAACCATATAATTTTAGTAACTAAAGGAATTGTAAGATATTGATGAGATAAGTTAAAAATAGCAAGAGGATTTCGATTAATTGTTTAAAGTATGAAGCTTAATTCAATTTAGTAATTACATGAGTTGGAATAAATGACTAATCAATACTAATAAGAAAATAACTAAGATGAACAACACATAAAAATTACACAGCAAATGATTTTTGAAAGATAACAATAACTAAAAGAATTAAGTCAATAGTTTATGATGTAAGACATTCACAATCAAGAAAATCAAAGAGTCATATAAAATTTACAATAAAAACTGTAATTGGACACTATCATTATGCCCTAACATGGTTCTAATGAATAGACTATAGAGGTTAATTAAATTGTAAAACATCAACGTTAAGAATCAGAGGAAGATGTTGATTATATCTAATATCTTTAACTGACTGACTATAAGTAAAAACTAGAAGAAGAATTAGAACAAATCGCTAATTAACCTAAAGTTTTGAAGGAGATGATCGAGGTCTCCACATAAACTCATGAATAAGAGTTTGCAATTAGAAAAAACAAATACGATGACTTTGCTTACTCTATCAGTTGTGTTTAGCCTACTTATTCGTTGGAAAATACTCCAAAAACAAGCCAAATACTATTGCATTCTCTTTTAAAAGAGGAGAAACAAAAAAACAGAGGATGCTGTTCAGATTGCAGAATTTACTGAAAATAAAATAATTTGATAGATCATTTCTTTTATTGCATTTTACCAGTTTATGGTTTAGATTTATTTTCTAAAACATTGAGTGTTCCTATTGTTGGATTCACATTGAACATTTTGTTGTAGTTATTATCTCTATTAATTAATTCTAATTTAAAGTATTTCATCTATTCATTGACCTTTTTGATCTCTTCATCTTTCAAATTGACTTAGGATTATAACTATTTAATCAATTCTAAATCTTCAGGTCGACTGGGTCTTTCTTCATAGAGACGAGTAATTTCTTTATAACTATCATAATAATAATAAGTACTCTTCTTCAAGCATTTATAACTTTTACATTAGTAATTGTTGTGCCTATTCAAACTCATTTTTTAAATTATCAGCAAAATCTTTTTGTTTGATTAAGCTATCCTTTAATTGTTAGTTAAGAGATTATCGCAATTATTATTCTAGTTATTTAGCTTCTTCTTTCATCTATTATACCCATACATCCTTTTCTTTAATTTGCTTTGAAAATTCTACTTCAGCCTATTGATATTTGATATTTAAATCTTTAATTTATTACTACAATATCTTAATTTACTGTTCATATTTATCTGAAGTATTCTTGTTTAACTCTAAAGAGTTTTCTAATTACCTCCTTAGATCGGAGATAATATCTTTAGTTGCTTTATGATCGGATTACTCTTATTCGAGTTTATTTTACAACTATTTTAATTTATTTTCAAACTCTGAAATTTTATCATTTAACTATCTCTCATATCTTTATTAAACATCTTATAATTAATTTTCATAGTTTTTGATTAGTGATTATTTTTAATTTTCAAATTCTCTGGCTTACTAATTTAACTTATTCTGAGTTTCTACATTCAAATCATCTTTTATTTATTAGATTTCTTTTTCATAATATACTTTCATTTATTCTTTCATTTATGTATTCTTTTTGTCTAACAACTAGAGAAATAACCTAAATTTCATACTTCTATTTCATAATTATGTTTTAAGTTAATTTCCTTAAGCATTTACTCAAATTCTTCCTCTTTTAACTTTAATCTCCTTGCCCAATCCCCTTATCCAGTTTCCATATCCTTTTTGAGAGAGGTGATTTATTATAAAAGCTTTGCAATTTCCTCTTCTTTTAACTACAATTTTCTTTCAAAATCAACTTTTATTTACTTTTTTTCAGCTTCATATTATTATCTCAAACTAATTAAAATAAATTAGATTCATACCTATCTATCTATTATTCATAGGATAGCTTTTATTGATTTAATTATTCATCTTTCTCCCTCAATAGATCAATCCTTTATTACTTGATTTATTATTCTAATTCTTAAATTCTGGTTTATAATTATCCTTAGTTGCTAGATCCTTCTGATTGTATTTGTTTAATTTTATCCTCTAATTCAGCAATTCTTTACAATAATTGTTTAATTTCCTATTCTTTGCTTGTTATTTAATTGAGATTATAAATAATAGTTTATTCTAACTCTTTGATCTTATTTTACAAATTTTAGATTTCACTTTCCAATCCTGATATTTTAAGATTGGCTTAATTAATTTAGTTTTTCAAATCATTAATTGCCTAACCAGCAGATTTTTCAACATTTGCCCTTTCATCATTTAATTATTACTCTAATTGCTTCAATCTTTTATTAAAATCATTTTTAATTGATTCAATCTCTTAAGCATGATTGTTTTCTAAATTTTTAATCTTATTTTCTAATTCTTCTCTTAATTCTTTCAATTTTAATTCGTATTCGGTAGTAATCTTTTGTATTTTCTCCTCATATCGTTTAATTAATTCTCTTTTCTCTGCTTCAATTTGTTCAATTTTATTCAATAAATTCTTTTCTAATTCTCCCATTTAATTTTTTGCTTAATTTTACAATTTTTCAATTTCATCTTCCAATCTTCTGACATTCTTCTTTAACTCTTCAATCTCTTTTAATTTATCACTATTGCTCCGATCACTTGCATCTCTAACAGCATTTAGCTCCATTTAAAGCATATCTGCCTTCTTCTGTAACTCATTCAATTTAATATGAAGTTCTCTAATTTCAAAATCTTTAGATTTAAGTTATTATTCAAGATCACTTAACTACTTAGTTAATTGAGTTTCCCTCATGGATCCATCCTATTAATAAGCATGTAATTATGATTTAAGATTTTCAATTTAAGAATTAAGTTACTTAATCTTGTCTTCCAAATCGCTATTTGTCTATTTCAATTTACTATTTTCATTTTTCTAAGACAATACTTCAGTTTGAGATTGTTGATATTTTTATCCAATGTCCTTTAAATCAAGAGTAAGTTTAGCAATCTAATCTTTAAGCTGATTAACTTCATCGGAGAGATTATGGTTATGCTTAGTAAGATCATCTTTTTAATTTTTAAGATTGGTAACTTCTTATTTTAGTGAATTTATTTCATTTTATAATGATTGCAATTTTTAATCGAAATTTTACTTCATCAAATCTTATAATCTATCCTAAGCCTCTTTAGACTTTCTCTTCTCTTCTTCTATTTTTTTCAATAAATCATCAATTTCTAATTATTGTTTCTGAAGTCTCCTATCTTTCTCTGCTATTTAATCGTCTTATTCAAGTTTTTTCCTCATAAGAGTATCATACTTTTCTTTCCATTCCTTAATAGTGTCTTCCAACTATTTCTATGATCCTCTCCTTAACTCTTCTTATTTCATGATCACTTTGTCAACTTACTTTGAAAGATCATCAAATTTTTATTTTTAAAATTCTGTTTCCTTCTAAATATCTTTTATCTTCTTTTCATACTGAGTTACAAGACCTTATTCTTTCTCTTCCATCCTTTTCCTATATTAAGAATATTCAATTTATGCAGTCTATTTCTCTACTTGAACTTTTTCTTGAAGTTGTTTTAGTTCTTATTAAATATCATCATTTTTGCTCTACTTATCTAATGCCTGCTTGTAAGTAAGTACGATCTGATTGGCACTTATAAATAAATTGAATTTGATACTCTTTTACAATCTAATCCATTTCTTATTCATATGCTTAAACAACTGCTTTGAGATTACTTTCATATTCATCATTTTTGGTGTTCAAGAAGAAAATAACTTTAGTGAGTTGAGCAATCTTTTTGCAAAGTCGATGGTGAAGTTCGCCTAAGTCCATCAGTTAATAAATCAAATTATTAAATTGGATATAATAATAATCATAACTGCAGTAATTTGAACGCAATACAACTGTCCAAATAATCATTACCATATGTTCCTGGCTTTGTTTGTTACTTATAAGTACTCTTAGCATACACTGTTGAATATTAAGATGGCATTGTTTCTGTAATTAAATTTGTCAGTTTATTAGAAACAGAAGTAGTTGTTACTATTTTTGGAATGCAGAAGCATCATGAATATCAAAATCTATTATCAAATGCTTTCTTCATTCCAATGACTTGTATTTATATTATAATTCTTAAGATAACTACTAATAATTAATATTATAAACATTAAAATGTCCTTATAAACTAATTATATTATTTACTTTTAAATTATTGAACAACTATGAATAATTTAATGAAATTTATTTTCTTTGAAAAGTAAGTAAACTCATTTTATCATCAATGAAGATTTGATCAAAAATGATTAAAAACTAAACCATATCAAATGAATAACCTAGATAGATCTTAAACTAACATTAAATAATGAATGACACTCTTTATATTGTTTAATTGATAATTCATCATTATTTAACCGAAGTTGAGTTCTTCTAAACAATGTATTTGTAGAATACAGCAATTGCTTCACCCACACCCTTAATTCTTTCAGCTTCTTCATTTTAAATGTCTATAAATTCATTTCTTGAAATTATTACCAAACCCGAAATTTTCTTCCAAAGCTACAACCATTTCAACTGCATCCAAAGAGTCAAACCCTAATTCTTCAAATGTGGCCTACGTATGAAAACTCGATTTACTTTATCAGATAATTTATCAACTTTGCATTTTGCAGCAGATTTCATGACTTGAAGCACTTTTGCAGTAACCTCTTCCAATAACTCCTTGTTTTAGGTTGTTGAACAGAATCTGAATGTTCTATATTGGAATCCCATTGGGTTTATGAGACGAAGAGCTCTGACAAACATTATTAAGAATAATTAGATTTTATTTATGAATTTTGTGGTTGTTATAAACATATTTTTTATATTTTCAATGTTAATTATTACTTCAATAAGGAATAAGGTTGAATAATGAAATTACCTTTTCCGATTCATAAGAACAGTACTTATACAATAGTATAATACAATAAGAACAATATTTATTTGGACAAAAATATTTATTATTATAATCACACAACTATGATTCTAGCTTTATATTATGAAAACAAATAAAAATTATATTTATCTCTATCTTATCAGTATAATAAGTAAATTATATGAATATGAATTTATCACCACTACAAATGGTGGATATTCAATTCGAAAATGAATTTTTGAGAATTTATTTCTTAGGTTTAACAATAATAAATTTCAACCACTTTTAATTTTCGAAAGTTAACTTGATTTGAAATAAAAATAATATAAATATCAGAAAATGAAGGGGTTCTGTAATTTTTAGAAAATTCTTCTTCATTTCAATAGATTGAATTAGTAATCAATGAAAGTGCAGCTAAGAATGTAAGAATTATCAATATTTTCAGAGCTAATTAATAAGTCAATAAGCAATTCAGATTTAGTTCATTAATCACGTCATCGCAATACTTTACATTTAATAGAAACAAACTAATTGGGGCAATCGAATTATTGGAAAGTAATTAGTATAAAATATTTGCCTTAGTTAATAAGATTTTAATGTAATTGGAAGTGGAGAATTGGAGTCGGAAAGGAAATCAAGTTTGATATGATATATTCTGATATTTAATATAGATTTGAGTCTTATGTTAATCAGCATGATAAAATTGTTGATATTTAGTTAGAATTATTTTTATGAATAAAATAACTTCGTCAGATCAATAATAGCATGTCCATTATTTAGAATACCCCAAGAGATGGATACAATTAGGACTCTTTTTATGTGCACTTCTCTCTAATATCATGTTCGGATTTTCATTATCCCCAATAGTAAAGGAGATGTCAATCATCTATGATGTGGATAGCAGGTGAATATTTGAAACTAAAATAGATATTTGTAATTTTTAACAATAAGCTTCACGGTGTTTTCAGTAATAATGATCATACCTGGAAATATAATTAATGAGAAATATGGAATCAAAATTAGTATAATGATAGGTATGACAATTTTAACTAATTAGGATGTATTCTAACTTTTGTTGGGTCAGTGTGTGCCATGCTGATAAATGTTTCATTTTGGTTTTTCTTTTTGGGCTAATTAATATCTTTGATAGGATTTCCCTTTAGATTAATTAGTGCATCTAAATTTGTTGCCAATTGGTTCTATCCTGAGAAAAGAATCTTGATTATGGTAATCATTGCTTTGTGTTTCAACGCAAGTTCTGGGATTGCCATTAAAATTCCATTGATTATTATGGGAGATTACGAGATTAAAGATTTGCATACCTAAGCTGAAATTGATGAAGGTAGAAGATTGATGTAGAATTTGATGATCTTTCTATTTGGTTTAATGACTCTGTTATGTATTCCACCAATCTTCTTTTTCAAAGGCAAAGCCCCAACTCCACCTAGTTTTACAGCTTCGGATGTAATTTATAGTGTTTTAGTTTAAGCAATGCATAAGAGTTGACTATCGAAAAGCTGGAATAATTGTAGCCAAGAATTTTGATTTTATGTATTTAACTATAGGCTTTGCATTTATATTAGGAACTATTACATTATTTACATTATAAATGGAATATCTAATTAAGCCTTTTGATTATACCTTAAAGGATCAAAGCAATTTAGTGTTGGCAGGTGTAATTGCTGGTTTAATAGGAGATATTTGTGTAGGTACAGCAATAAAGAAACTGAGATCTTTCAAATTAGTGTTAAGAATTTGTAACGCTTTAGTAACAGTGTTATTTGCTATTTTGATAGTAGCAATACATGTGAATAAAATATTTTTCTTTATTATGTACTTTCTCGTTTGTGGTTGTTCAGCTATTATGGCATTAACTTTTGAGTTTTCTTGTGAATTATGTTTTCCAATGAGTGAAAATACTACCATAGCTATGTTGGGATTATTTGGTAACCTAATCAATTTTTTTTAAGGATTGCCAGAGATCTTAATATTAAAAGTAAATATCAAATTTAAGATTCAAGGGTGACAACAAATTCTGTTCCACTCTCACTATGATATTAATGCTGTGTTTAATTGCTGGAGCCAATTATTTCACAAAGAATGTGGATGAAAATTTGAAGAGACAAAAAAGAGATTTTCAAGAAGATGACGAGGCAGAATAAAGAGAAAATGCAATTAGTATGTTAGAGCAGTCTATTTTAAATTGAATTAATTTACAATAATTATTAACTTAAACATTTAAAATATTAAATCTAAAAATATTCTTATAATAATTTAAATGTGACATTAAAATCTAAGAGAAATAGAAGGAGAGGACATAAACAATATGCATTTAGAGATGATATTGAAGTAAAAACGATTTGTATTTCTATTTATTGTGTACGATATTTTAGATAACTTATCATCTGAAATAATATAAAGCTCTTGCTGTTTAGCCTTAGACCTTTGATTCATCTTCAGTCTATTGAGTCCAGTATTCTTCAAACAAGGCTCTGTCTTCAGCTTTGGTTGCATCAAGCTTTGTAAGTTAAAGATACTCGAAGGTTGGGTGATCTTTCTAGAAAATTCGAAAAATGAAATACCAAATATTATGGGACTTCAGTTCCTCTCCAGATCCAAGCACCACTGATTTCAAGATTTGGAACATCTCCATAGACTCCATGGATAGCAAATGCCCATTTCTTAAAGTGTGGATCTGCTCTTTGTAAAAATCCATTGCAATTGTTTCTGAAGGAAATAAGAACTTTTCCTTCACCTTCTCCCTTAATGTATTTGACAATCCAGATAGACCATCCTTATGAATCAAAGACATTCCAAAAGTGTTAGAATTCAGCAGCTTAGTCCTTTGATGCTAAGAATTATCTCTTCCAATCATCAATATTGAAAGTTGATGGTGGTAAGGCATCAAATTCACAGACTTACTTCTTTGGTTTTTCTTCCTCTTCTTCTTCAGCCTTTTAAGGTTTCTCCTCCTTCTTTGGTTTCTCTTGTTTTGGTTATTATTATTAAGGTTATTTCTCTTTCTTCTCCTTCTTTTCATGATGTTCATGACCGTGGTGTCCAGCGAATTACAATGCAGGGAATGCCTTCTTTGTATATCTTGTTCTTCCGAATAACTAAATATTATTGATTCAAATACATCTAAGAAAGCTGGAAGTTCTGAAACTTATTTATACCATCTGACAATATTCACTAACTTAACTCTGTCGTCTTCTCCATAGAGGAATTAGAATATTCCTTAAAAGTATGAAGCTAAATTAATGTCAGCTATTGTCAATTAATCACCAACCAAGTATTTACTATTGGCGAAATGAGCTTCCAAAACTTTGAATTTCCAATCCAATTCAGCATGAGCTTAAGTTGCTTAAGTTGGATTGATTGGAAAATGTCCAAGGACTGGCAACAAGAGTTAAATCAATTATGGCTCGATTTCACCTGTTGCAAAGTCTAACCATTATTTGACTTTGGCTTATTGGAATTCATTGGCACCAACCAAAGGAGTACCTCTGACCACATATTAAAGGATGGCGTTGCTTTCAGTCAAAACGCCTTCGGGGGTCTCTAGAACAGGGACTTTGCCCAATGGATTCTTTGCTAAGAATTCTGGGGTCTAGAATGAATGAAGGTATTGAATACTTCTAAATCTTTCCATTCTAAGAGGTGGGAAGCAACATCAACATTGGCGAGTTTAGCAGCAGCAAGGATTTTATTTGCTCTAGGATTGCCAGCGATATAATTAAGTTTTAAAGACATCTTAAATCTTAAATTTATTTATTTCAATAGGAATTAAACCACCTTGATTTCAACATTGTTTTTTTCTCCATTGAAACAATAGAATTCCTTTCAAGCTTATTTCTCACTCTCTCTAACCTAATGTAAGTATTAAATTTATCAAACAATATTCCAAATATCTCCATTTATATTTCATCTAACTATATTTGTATATTTAATACTATCTGAATATCCCTTTTATTTCATTATATCCCATAATTCTAGCCATTCCTACTAATATTTTAGGCTTATTTTTGTAATCAGTTTATGATAACTTAACTTCAGTAATAATTTGGATAAATTTGGTTTCTAAAACAACTATATTCTATCCTTATTAATTCATTTATTATTGTTTTTATATATAACTAATAACAATTAGATCATTTAGACAACACCCTCATATTAATTATTTATATATAGATAGAAATATTTAATAATATAATCTAAAAATAAGAAGTGAATTAAAAATCATTATTGCAATAAACAGCCTGGCATTGAATCTAAATCTATAAAGCTAATTTTGATTTAATTTTTTTAATATTGAATTCTATTTGTTAATCCATAATGAGATAGTAGAAATTTTATTATTGCAAAAACTAAGCAAGTTGATTTGCTTGAATCCATTATTTCTAGAAAGTTTATATAAGAGTCCATAATTCTTTTAAAATTTTAATCATCTAATTATGACTGCTGTTTTTAATAATATTTATTCTCCTGGAACAAATGAACTAAATTTTATCTAATTTTTAACTCCTCAGCTTCAAAAGAAAATTCAAAGCATCTAACCTACTATATCAATTACTCTTATATTTTCATTATTACATTAGATTTAGTTTGAGATTGTATAAATTTAATAAGATTGACAGATATAAACATTATGACTTGAAGAGATGATTGGAAAGAACATTATTCGCTTTTAAACTGAATTTAAATTGATTTTTAAAATATCTTCTTGAGTTGATCTTCCACTTTATTAACACTCACCTAGCTTCTATTTTATACATATTTGCTGGCATTCAACCATATAAAGGCAGCATTAAAGTAGTTATAATCGTCTATTAGGTTATGAAGATTCAAGTATTTATAAGAAATTACTTTAGCAGTCTTTTCAATCAAATTTAGAGATTTATTTGTCAAACATCTAAAATAATTCTCAACGGCAAGATATTTTTGACAAACTTCTTTACATTATTATTTCTCATTCTAGAGAATCATTACAATCATTTTTGAGTCTGATAAATAATACTCCACTAATTTCACCTTCAAATACCTTCCTGTGTTTTATTGATATCCTACATATGTATAATATAAGGAATCCTTGAGACTATTCATAGTATCAAATTTGCAAATCTTAATGCTCAGAAGTTATAGAAGGATGTCTTCCAAAGTAATTGAACCTGATTAGGTTCTTTGGGAACTTGTTTAATCAATTTAAGTCTATTTAATAATAATGATTTAGTACATTTCGTAAAAACAAACGAAATTCTTAGTTATTTTAAATCATAAATTCAGATTGAGCTGCTTTGGATTACTGTACTAAATATAATTAATCCTAAGATTTATCGAATTGAACAAACATTGTCCACTTTTTAACAATTTTGTCCATAATTTAGTACCATTTCATGTTTTCCCTGTATTTTAAATAACTTAATCTCTTATTTCTTTCTTGTTCCCTTCTACAGAAAAACACCACCACAAATACGATGACTATCTAAACGGTTATGTAAGCTCCATTTGGACTTGAGAAATCAAATCTAGATATATGCCAAACCAAAATTCCAATCATTGTTACAGTCTAGAAACACAAAATTGTTCCTTATAAATATATGCCTTTTTAATGAATCAATCAATACATATGTGGCTAATCGCTGCAAAGAATCCGTAATACCATTAATATTTGAAATACATCTATGGTATATTGTCCTAGTTTTTGCTCAAGGCGAAAATGTTATAGATAAATGTCACAGTAATTTGCAAAAAAGGATAAACGAAATTGGAAAATTAAGGATATTTACTCACAAAATATCTTGAAAGTATGACAGGGAGACTACAAATAAGACCGTATAGAGCATAATAGTAATTAGATTCGCTAATGAAGGACAAAACAATAAATGTTCCAACAAACTAAGTATATTATGTATTTTATTTACCAAAATGAGGGTTGTCAATGTCTTATATTCATTTATCATATATGGTTAATAATTTATTCTATACTCTTACTCTATTTCAGGGACAATAAACGTGAGGAACATCTTGTGAAGCATTTTAGTAACAAATAATAAATATTGATAATTGAAAATTAAAAATTTAGATTATTAAAATTAATCTTATCAAATTATTTAATGCAAGATGTTAAGAATACGTAAGAAATCATTAAATATTATTTAAATTTTATTTTAGAAATAATATATTTTTAAGCTATTTAAGCTCTTCTGAATTAATTCTATGAACTAAAAATTATATTTCTAATAAGATGCAATTTTATAGTGGCGAATATTTTAATTAAGGAGAAGTCAAATATAAAAATATCACTTCTAAAATATCAATAAATTATATACATTTCATAATGTAACTCAAATCTATAATTCTTAAATTGATTAATTTATTGTTTAACAATAATTTGCTTACTCTTGACTTTCAGTTTTATTTTTAGTTTTTGTTTTCAATTTGTTTATGAACTCTTAATGCAAAGGGTAAATTTATCTTTTGTTCATTAAAAACTATTTTATTCAAGAAATTACTTTCAAAAATTTAGAAGTGATTAATGAATTAGCAATCGATTCTTATAATTCTATTTATTTGTTTTGCTGTTGCTTATTTACCCTATTGAAATATTTAAGCATTTTCTTATTTTATAAATTATTCGTTTTTCTCTTACTTATTTGTAGAATCCATTATTCGATTTCATTCTGCATCGTAACTGGATTTCGTTTACCATAATCATCCCATATATACATATGATTATCCTCAAACGTTGATTGCGTTTCAGGTTCCTCCATCTTAATAAAATTATCGAATATCTAATCCATTGGAAATAAATATTGAGCAATCCCTAAACTCAATTGAAACCAAACCAAATAATGGATTTCATTTTATAAAAGAATTTACCAAATGCAGTTTCCTATAGAGAATAACAAAATTGCCAACTCTATATATGTATCCACCTATTCATCAGCCAATTAACTGCCTATTGTTGGACCCTTTGAATACCGATAGATTAATAGGTATTTTTCAACCCAATAATCTATGACGATAAAACTTAAAGATATTAAAACCCCTAATGGAATGAGTTGAGCATAAAATAGAGATAGCATTAAAGTTTTTGTTATGGTAGCATACTTTTTTGATAAATCTCCAGGCGAGCCTTCAAAAAGTAAATTAGCTTCTCTCTATGTTAGCGCACAAGTCTATCCCTAATTTTATGACTTTCTGATTTAATATTATCTATAAAAGTAATATGGATCCAATATATTAAATAACCAAGGGAATATTGCATTCATGATCAAGACTAAACAAACATCGGATATTAATCCTCCATCTTTCCAAGTTTAAGTTAATATATCCTGATCATTTAATGCTACATTTACTAATAGTGGAATTATGGCTGTGTTAAGAAATTAAGCCTATTTAATTATTCAATTAATTACTATGCCTAATTTATTAGCAAAACTGATATTGAATTCGGTTTAGGTTGAATGCAACTCCAGCGATACAAACTTTTTGATTAACAATCCCATAATGTTATTTAATATTGAGATTATGAAAGAAGCTATTAATCCAAAAACTGTTATGTACAATTCAATCGAAGTGGATCTACTTTTTTTGTCTGATTGATTTAGTTTATCCTTTAATTATATTTGTTGATACCTGATACACAGAAACACCCAAAATAGATCCAAAACATATGGCTAAGATAAACAAGGACCCTAAATTTGTTAAAATTTAATATTTAAACTAAATTAAAGGGTTAATACCTAAATTCTCCCATATTACATCTCCTGGCTCTGGTGCTCTAATCACATGAGGTGTCTTTCCTTGAAATGTCTTAGTAGATTCTAAAGGATAGAAAAACAGTAATTTTTAAAGAATGTACTAGAATTTGGTTTGAGTATGATATTTCCTAATTTACTTAGCTTGAGTCGATGTGTTATAGGTGATAAATGCTACGCCACTAAATTTAAATAGTTGAGGGTTTTGTTGGAATTAAATAATCTTAGTATTGATTTCATCCAATTGTTATTCTAGATTTAATGTTTATGAGCCCATAGAAAGATTTTATCTATTAAATTTCAAATAGATAAATTTACTATTCAGATAGAATTGATGTTATTCTTAATTCATTTTCTATTTTGAGTTTAGTTAATTTATAGTATTCTTAAATGTCAAAACCTAATACAATTTATACAATATTTAATTTTGAAATGGAAGATCCATTTAATTTGATTTCCGAAAAGTAGTCTGAAATCTCCTATTTGGTTGAGCTTAATGGCAAATTACTTATTTGAATAGAGTAATCAGATATGGAGATATTCTTCTCATCGATTTTTGCAGCTATAATATTCAGGCGTCTTCTGTAATAGATTGAAAAGACAATCATAACCAAAATATTGCAAATGTCTAATCCCAGCAATATAACATCAGGGGTTCTAACATTGCAACTGAGAAAATACCTAGAGCTATTTGTAAGTGAGTAAGTGTTATAATAATTCAATTTGCAGACTGAAGAATTAATTTCACATTCTGATCCCTTATAATTATTTAATGCATTGTACAACCCAGATATTAAGCTAAATAATGATGATCTCATTCTTACAAATTCAAGGATAGTAAAATAGATACAAATATCATGAATTCAAAGAACAATGGTACTCCTGCCCCATTGAAAGCCAGCTCTTCATTTTTGCAACAAAAACTTAGTTGTGATTCAATTATAGGAAATCCACAGCAAGGACAATATTCGATATTGTCGATGTTTTCTATTTCCTTCGAATAACTAAACTTATTGGCTTTCTTCGAAATCATCAAAAATTTATTACTGCATGATTTTTGGCTAGTTAAAAGTTTGGAGGCCTTCTAAAAGGCTCGTAATCATCATTTTATTCCTCCTAAAGATCCAGATCATTAATTATAGATTTTAAAAACATATAATTATATTGTGATGACATCAAAATTACATTATATCAAATTACTTCTTCTAGAATTATAGAGCTATTCATTTTATACCAAAGTAGAGGGATTGTTAAGGTATCATCCTTTTAATAAACGCTGGACTTTGAATATCTTAGTCTTAAAAAATAGAAAGGATAGTTTGCTTGAATTTTTTCAAGTAAATTTTTAACCGAACTTTTAAAAGAAATAAATAATAATTGCTATTTCTCCTAGAATTCAAATGATTTAAATCAAATCTATTACTAGTTCTATTTATAGACAATTAAAAGAAGACTTATTTTTATTCAAATAAAAAATTACTATCCTATACTGTTTATTAAATATTTTGTATAATAAATATTAAGAGCTTCCTTCTTTAAAATATAATAGTAAGTGTCTCCCAGATTAGTTCGACAATCTATATATACGAGTTCAAAAATTTATATAATTAGGATGAGTTTTTCATTTAATAATCTTGATTTATAGATTATTTTATTGTAATATTAAAGAACAGTTCAATATTATAATTAGAAATTAATTTACTTATTGGCTAGGTGATAGCAAATTCTGTGAAAATCAACTTGTAAAGCTCAATTATAATTTCATTAACTATCTTTTATGAATTGGATTATAGATTTAAAAAGATACTAAGGTAAGAGTGAACAGTCTCACTTATTATAATTTATAATTCCGTCAACTATTAATAATAATACATTTTTATCTTATAAATCTTTTCTATTATGATGGTTCAACATTTAAATTGTTGTCAATCAGCCGTACATATTAATGTAGGATGAGATCTGTCCCTAAAGATCAGTCCCCCAATGATTGAATTAATGAATCAACAATAACTATCAATTTTAAATCATCCGAAGCTAGTCCTCCTGAGCATAGCTTATGGATTTTTGAGTTTACATGTATCTCCAATATTAATATAGTGTTTCGTATGATTTAAGATTACATTAATTAAAATATGTAGAGTTTGTAATCTGATCTAAAATATATAAGAGATGCTCTTACTCTACTAATTGATAAGCTCCTACCCTATATAGAACAGAAGCAGATACTATAATTTTGCAAGACGTTGAAGAATAAAGTAGCTGACGATAAGGTTACAGCCTTTTCGATATACATGGAAACTTAAAAAAGTTTTGAAGCAAGTCAAGTAAAAGCGATTAAGTTGAATAGTACATCGGATGAGAAGTTTACACTTAAAGTTCTTACTAAAATACGGTAAGCTTAGACTGAGTTCAAAAATAATACTCAATAATTTGCATCTATTTATAATTCAGTTAAAGAGAATGTCGAATCGGTTTATGTTTCTAGCCAAGAATTATAGACCATGATGAATGAAAAGTAGACATAGAATAAGGTGGAATCAAGATAAGAGGAAATACGAAGGGTTTCGATATATAGCAAATAAAATAGATAAAAAACAGAGTAAGATATATCTGAGGAGAAGGCCAAAAAGTATAAAATTGAGGTTAAGCCTGAATAAAATAAGGAGATCAAATCAGATAACAATAAATTCGTTTAAAAAGTTGATTAAAAATCTGAAATTAAATAGGATAAGAGAGAGAAATCAGATTCAAAATATTCATTCGAAGGATCTAAGAAAGATATAAGTTCAGCTCAAGATTTATTATAAAATTAAAGGGCTATTCATTAAAATTAATCGCAACAGTAAAATAAATTAGAGAAACCACAAGCTTAGCTATCACCAATAAATTATTAACAAGTAAAATCATAAAATATATCACATCAATCATCGTTTAATTATCTCCACACTCAACCTAATTCATACACTCAAGTGCCTTTATCAAAAAACTCTCAAACAAACAATTACACTTTTGTGCAACAGTCATCCTAATCATAAAAGTAAATTTTATATTCCTAAAGTGATCAAAAATCAAATTCTTAAATGGGATCCTATGTTCCAAATTATGATTTGTTGGCTAGAGTAGATCAATTACTTTCTAAGACCAAGAGTAATATTTAAACCCAAAATACGACTCATTGTTTAACAAATAGAATATGAATTCATAATTATATAATTTCAAATAATATCATTATCTATTCGTCATATCACAATTAATACAAGGCTCTCATAGGAGCATGATTAATGAAGAAGTTCAATAAATAGGCAATCGGAGCTTTTGTTTGGGCAATAATTTATTGTAAAGTCCAAGGATACAATAAAATTTTGAAAATGACGATTATTGGGTCGAATAGGATGTGATTGGACAGGTAGGAAATCAGAAATTATCTGGCCCAATTATCAGCAGTATCAATTTAGAGTCCAATTACATTGTAGAAGTAATAGATACTAAAATAATGTTATAATTAAATACAAGCATCCTCCTAAAATGGCGACGGTTAGACAAAATCCAATGATTTTTTCTTGTATCCATCCATTTAATTCAGCTTTGACAATTGCCAAAAAGAATACTGATATTTCTCCAATAAAAATAATCAATAGGATGTGTTGAATTTCATTCAGATACGTGATGGTATATGAACTAACAACAAACATTACCATTAACTTCATATATAATTGCAACACTCTACTTGGTCTTGAGAACTTCGAATCGTAGTATAAGAAGATGCTTAAGAGTTCATGCAATTTCTAGAAGTATTATTAAATGTCTTACTATCATTCCAGTTAGGACTAAATCTGCAGAAGTGTATTTAATACCCATCTCAACATTAGTTTAAAAGATGGGTTCATATTAAACAGCTGCATTGTGGAAATCATCTGATTGCTTTTGTTATTTATTGTAATTTTTATTAAAGATGGTCATATGAGAGAAATCTTCTTCCTTAATTGATTAATCAAACAGTTATTTCCCTTCGTATTTCTCAGTCTCCTTATTCTTGTACCTAACGCTTAACACACTAGATTTCTCTGGAAAAATAGTAGACTATTTAATCTTGGTAAAATCAGCCGATTTATCAAACATCTTCTAATCCACGTCATCCTAATTTCCATGTTCACTCATAATGGGAGAGTTGACTGGTAACACAACTCTAGAAGATCTAAGATCCAAAATTGCTGTGATTATAGTAAATAGAATCATGATCCCTGACATTGTCCCAATCGTTAAGCCAATAACTGTGAGATGCATATTCTCAATAGACACAAATTGGATTTCTCTCAGGTCTACGGGAATATATTCTTCCATCAGGATTATATCGCTAATGTATTTACAAGTACAAGTATGTTACGAAGTCAACACTGATTTAGTACAATTGTCACCTGTGAAATTGGAGACAATTGATGCACATCTAGTGTTATTTTCAGAGTATTCAGTAATGAAGGGATATTTAAATTGGAAATGCTCAAATTACAAAACTACTTGATAATCTGATCCATTTTGAACTATAAATTAGGGACTGATATATTTGAGATTATTAGAGAATTGATTCCACTTAGCATATTCATAAACTTCTTATTTCCAGTAGTAAGGGTTGACAGAGAATGTAATGATTGAAACTAAATAGAGGTAATTTGGATTTATTTAGAACATCTCTACTTCTGTCAAATTTGTGAATAGATCTCTGTTCTCCCACATATAAATATTTCTTCGAGCTGCATAATTACCAGTATCTGTTTTATTGGATGTATCGATTTAAACTTCGAAATTGATTGTGTCATTGTTTAGATTCCAGTACCCACTGAATACTGGAATGGCAACTGCATCCAATTTCTCATCTCCAAACATGCTCACGTAATACTCGTCTTAAGATAGGTATTTTAAGACATTCTTAGTGGTGACTCGAGTGAAGGAGATGTTGAAATATTGAAAATTGCCGATAGATCACTCTCCCATTGGTCTCAGTGTATGAATTAATGATGAGATTCAAGACCTACACCAAACTAATGAGTCTCGTATAACAGATGTGGATCAAATCAAAATGATCTAAAGTCAGAGTTGATTCCTGTATCAATTGTGCTCTAAATGAATTGACACCGTCATCAGAAGAGACCAGATCTGATTCCTCAACTTGTTTGAGTAATCTGTTCTTGTTATTTGTATCAGTCAAATTCATAAACAACTCTTTTAAATAGTCCGTTGAATTTACATTCGTGGTATTAGCATTTATGGCTTCACTAATAGTGTCAGGGTTATCAATTGTCATCCTACCTAAAAATGTATCAAAAACATCATGGACGTCATTTATCACTTAACCAATCACTCCATATAGGGATTACAATTCCAGATACAACTCTTAAGCTGTAACATTTCCTTTGTATTGTCCAGCAATCATGGACTTCTCGTTTATTTGAATCAAGGAAGTGAACTTAATGATATCCTTTCTGATTTCAGTTTAAAACTGGATTAAGTATTACAATTTAAGGTCTATTGTATCTTCGCCTATGAAATTGATTCCTGTGGATTCAATCTATTGAAATATAAACATAGAATGAGTACCAAATAGATCGCTTTCTACAACATGATTTAATATTTGTCCTAGGTTTTGAGCAAGAATTCGTCGCTATAGTACTCCTTTAATTTTGTTAGTGTTTGATTAACAGTAACAGCATAAGCAATTTTATCGTCAAAGGAAAAGGACTCATAGAGGTACTTCAATACGAGGGATGCACTCATGATTTTGGTGATGGAAGTTTCAGTATCTAGAGATACAAGTATTTCATCCAATTTGGACTTGGAGGTTTATATGGTAACATTCTAAGAAATTACGGAGGTCGCTCCCAGACTATCTTTTAATTGACAGACTAGAGTGAATTGTCCCACAGGCAGATTTGTGGAGTAACTGCTCGATTCTATATAATCTGTTAGTTCGTATTATCCATTGATTGACTCAATGTTGATTGATTATCCCTCATAGAACCAATATTTGTATAAAATTGGGGTGTGTGTGTCTGAGACTGAACTTACGATGATGTTCATGCCATTGGTTTCATCGAGTTTGATCTCACCATTCCTGGGGGGGTAATTAATACGAAATATTATTTCGTACTCTGCAGGATCAATATAGTTTTATAAAGAATATACGAAATGAATCCTGCATATTCCTATTTCTTAGGCATTGACTAAATCTGGGTAATAGTAGCTTGCTTGAAAACGGAGTCTGGGGTATAATTGCTAAAACTTCGAGACTTAACCGTCTAAATATATTGCCACTGATATTTTGGAGTCATCCGGGGACACTCCATCGTCTAATTGGATAGAGAAGTCGATGATCTCATCAAAGTTGACCAATCTGGATAGGATTGAGTAGGGGTAGGATATATTCAAAAAAGGAATGATGTTCTAATTAAATTCCACAATAATACTTGTGAGAAGTACAGTGTCACAGTACGGTTAACCACATAATCTCCAGATATCAAGGCTGTGAACTGATAAGATCTCTTTGGAGATAATGTGGATTCTGGAATGACCACCGTGTAATTGAATTTGTCCAATGACAATTGAGATCCGTCTGATTTTTTACAAACTGCATTCAGTGTCAAATCTTGACAATTCCATGTTACTGTCAAATTCTTTAACTACATATTGCTCTAATCTGTCTCCATGTTCCAAACAAACAGATTTATCTGCACTTTTTCCTTCCAAAATACTTGTCTATCTCCTTATTAAATCAATGAAACCCAATTCGACTCAATTAAAATTAATGAATACTGATTCTTAAGCTAATAAAATATAAGTCTGGGAGAGTAAGAGGAGCACACAGATCATTTCAATTAGATAATTATTATATTAAGTGTATTATTGGCTTCTATTGCTATTTTATAGTTTAATTTATTAATCTTTCGAATGGGTTCATGTTAAGGTTCTACAGTGGATCTACAACAGGATCTGAGAATGAGAGAAGTCATGACCAAGTTTTAAGTTCCCATGCCCTACATCGATGAGTATTAAATATTCTAGACTTTGAAATAGGTTGAAATGTAATTTCTCAATAATATTCCCCCTTTAGCATTTAGCATAACAGCATCCCCCATTTCGATCTCATTTATTCAAAAATGGGCGATTCATCAGATAAAATGAAGAATCTAGTCAAAAAATGGAGGATGAAATACCAATAGCATAATCATCCAAATTTATTGTCAATTCACAATGTTTCTATTCTTGATTCTATGAAATTATTTATACCATACACTGACATTATACTCCTAATTGACAAGCCACTCCAACCATTAACAAGGCATAAGAAAGTTATAATGAAATAGCCATTTTCACAGGATGAGATACTGTTCCTATTAGATTGTGTTGTCTCTGGTCTAGCATTTTAATAGCAAAACAAAATATATCCATCTGGATTCGACATCGATGACATTATCACTGTCAAGACTCCATTTAACACTGAAATTTACAAATTAGTAGACAGGTACTAAAAACCTATCCGCTCCAATTTATTTTAGGATTTCATTTAGCTCTACGATGATAAATAAAGTACTTATGATCTCTATTCATAACTTAGCACTCAACGAGTTAAAAAAAACAGCATTCTTTTCACCTGCTCAGATCGAAGCTATTCCCAAAAAAGACAAGGTATTACTTTATTTCTATATATCCAGTATCTTAAACACAATAGATATAAATCAGATGTATTCAACTTTGCACTTATAATGATTTATTTAATATAAGCCAAACATCCAGAAATATTTGATTGGAAGAAATGGACTATCGATGATTTTGCTTTAAGAAAAACCTTAGATGATCTTCAAATGACAAATTTTGATGAAAATTTATTACACATTATAGAAATTATGTTGATAATTGAAGAAGATTAAAGACCTGATTTTTTGGAATTAGATGAGATGGTCAGTAAATTATTTTCAGATCTCTAAATGTAGCGTTTGTAAGAAAAATATTAAATGCAAGATTTTTTTATTATACCAATTGATAAACCATCTGATTATAATAATTAGATTCTTATTGATAATATTTATCAATACAAATAGCAACAATAATAAATGGTGTCCTAAACTATATCTTAACATTAAAGAAACGATTCTTAAAAAGTAAAATAAATCGACTAAAGCTAAGCATCTATTAAACCTTAAAAAAATGAAATTAATAACTCATTTGATAATAATATAGTTGTAACATAAGGGAAATTACATTATTCAAATGGGTTTTATTATGTAGGCTAAATTTGCAACAGAAGAAGACATGGTTTTGGAGTTTACTATAGTTCGGACAACCAGAAGGTTACTGAAGGCACTTGGATTTTCGACATTCCTGAAGGAGATGTGATACTTTATAATCAACCAGAGGAAGAGAAGGAGAGGAGTCACAAAAATATGTCCAGAAAAGATTGGGTCCAGTATAAAGGGCAAATGAAACAAGGTCAAAAACATGGCATTGGAGTTCTCTACTTTTCTGACGGATCTAAATATATGGGCAACTTCTCTTTTGATTAAGCACATGGGAAGGGCCAGTTCGAATATTAGAATAAAGAATAAATTATCGGAACTTGGTAACATGATATATACAATGGTTGATTGAATTTGTAATTAATATGAACTGCATAATTAAATATTGAAATTTATTCATATTTTATCTAATTAAGTTTCTATATTTAAGATAATATACCCAAACTCATAATAAAAAATCATTAAAAGTATTCATAAATCAATAAATAATATAATGTAAAGCAAACAGGGTCATTCATATCTATTGTCTCATAAGAGTTCTAAAAGTGAATGTATTAAAAAAACAGTCAATCACTTAAACTATTCGATTCCATGCATCAACTGTGATTCTCTCATTCCAACTGTTGATGTTGATAAACATACTTAATTGTGTCAAGCCAATACACCACCTCACAGTTCTTAATCCAAAGATTTAACAGCAATGGAAGAAACCGATATTAAGCTCAAAAAATTACGATAATCAATTGTAATTTAATCTAAAACAGAAACAAACACACATAATAAAAAATATCTGATAAGAGCAGAGGAGTTATGTACCTAAATCTTGAAATTGTAGAATTCGGACGACAAAGAATACCGAAAAATATTAGATATTTCAGAGGAAATAAAGATGATAACCGAATCATACAAAGGAGTGTTGCTTGTTCAATTATTTTTAGAAAGATTACACTCTTTAGCATTGGTGAAGCAGAAGAATATGAGATCTCTTAACTCAGAAAAGTTTTAATTGATAAACAATTTATAAAAAAGAAACATTCAAGATATTGATAAATAATCATTTAATTTCTTAATAAATAAGGAAGAGCTGACCAATGCTAAATAACGTCTTGGTTATTAAGCTTAAACTAGCAATAACTATTTGAGATAAAATGAAATATTTCGTAAGACATAAATAACGAAATTTTCAAGGGAAAATTAAAAATAGACTGTATGTGAATTAAAAAGTGAAATTTTAACTAAAATGTCTAGTTCATAATGTGAAGAAGAAGTTCAGGGAGGTGAAGATGTTCAAAATTCTAATAATTATTAGAGACTATTTTATTCGAAATGCTTGAATCTGAAGGCTTAATTATCTAATATTGATCCGGCTTAAAAAGTTCCACTTTGTGTACTTTTTAAAGAAGTTCTAAGTAGAAGGATTCCGATTACCTAATGGAATTAGTTTATATTATCAGCTTTTGATAAACCTTCATAATATCTAGAGTTGTAGAAATAAAATATATTTAATTAAGCATCCGCATTCCAAAATTCAGCTAAATAATTTGCAATCAATAGTAATTTCAAAGAAAGATTACGGAATCTTAAAATAATATGATAATTTAATATACATTTCAATATTTCTCAAATACTAAACTAATATTAATTATTTTTATATATTAAATTATCCTGATACCTAGTTATCTATATATAAAATTTATAGTTTGATATATAATTTGATTAAAGAATTTACTTTAATTTATAAGATATGGTTGGATAGATTTCAAATATTTTTGAAGTTATGAGATCCTATTTAATTTAAGGATTTAATCAAATTCGTATCACATTAAAGACAATATTTATGAATCCTTAAAAGTTATTTGCTTGATATCTTAAAATCAGAAACATATCTTTGATGATTGTCGAAAATGAAAGATAATCAACTTGAAGAAACATATTAAAAAAATATTTGTTGAAAAAAATTTAGATCCTGACTATCAAACATTTCTAAGAACCACTTTTTGCACTTGAATATAAATACGAACAAGGAATTATTACTAGAAAGTTCATAAATGATATTAATCAAAAGATTGATAGACAAAATTTATATTCAAAGAGGAACCTAATATAAAATTACTTAAAAAAATGGAATCTTAAGCATCTTTTAATTTAAACTGCTCTAAAAATATAGGAAAATCTTATAGCAAACATTAACTCATTAATTTATATCTATAATGAAATGTGAAAGCCAACTATAAAAATAATAAAATTGTTATAATTTTAAAGATTTTCTTAAGCAAAAATTAATGACACATGGTATGCTTTAAATTCTATACTAGTCCTTTATTTTGGAGTAGGAGAATTTGCTCTCTAAATGTAAACCATAACAGTTGAAAATTAAAAGTATTATAATTGTTGACCATTTAGATTGCAAAGAATAATTTTCCCTTAAAACAAATATTCAAAAGATCCAAGCAAAACATATAAAAAGGGAGAACAAGAGTTATGTTTTATTAGTGTGCATTGTTGTGAGTAGAACACATTTCTGATAGACAGTAAAGTATTAAGTTGTATTCAGATTAATACAATTTGTGGGGCTTTGGAAGTTCATAGTTTTCATAATTGGGTTTGTAACAGTCCTCAGTAGTGAGTCCAGTTAACATCTCCTAAATCACCTAAAATTTATATAAATCTGTGAGTGCTGGGACTGGTTATGTAGTAGCCTATTCAACTAATAAGAAACTTTATGTTTGGGGGAATTGGCATTAGCTAAATTATGGGGAAGTCTTAAAACTATCAGAAAAGCAAGGTTATTCTGAACAAATTGATTAGCAATATTAAATTAGCTGTCTAGATATAACCTATAATTTTTCAATTATAAAGAATACGGAAAATGAGAGAAGATAAAGTCATTTGCCAAATCATTAAGCTGAAATTTTGGCTTTGAAATGTGTAGGAACAACAACATATTTATTAACTCCCAATTAATTATATTATTTAGGTCTATAATTACAGTTTCCAGTATAATTTGTTGGTATAGCATGTGGTAAAAAACATGGTTTGGGTTGGGATGATTTTGGAAGAGTATGGAGTTGGGGTGAATTTGCAGATGGTAAATTAGGATACATGGACTTCAAGTTGTAAGATTAGAAAGAACCCAAACAAATTGAAAATATAACAAATAACATAGTATCATGTGCTTGCGGGTTAAATTATAGTATAGCATTGGACGCCAAAGGGGATATATATGGATGGGGAAAAGGGCCATTTAAAATGGATTTGTCAATAGCAGTTACACCCACTAAGTTGTGTCAAAAACAAAGACCTTTTATAAAGATAATGGCAGGGGATTCTCACTTTGGAGCTCTAGATTTACAAGGCTAACTTTATGGATGGGGAATCAACCAAAAGAATTGTTTAGGCAATTTAAAAGATAAAACAAGGCATCCCCAACTTTTTGAATTAAAAAATATCAAAGTTATTGATGCAGCTATGGGGTCAACTTCAACAGTATTAATTGTACCCAGTAATGAAAATTATAAAATACCTAATTTGAACATAGATCAATACACTTCACATCAGTAAAAGAGAATTAAAGAGGAAACTGCTTTTATGAAAGAATTCGCTGATCGTAAAAATAGACTCGATTAAATCTAATTTAAATCTCCAACTTAAAACTATTGTGATACTCCAATCTCATTTAAAAGTAGCTCGAATTATGAAGAAGCAGTTTTCCTTTTAAAAAGAATGAAAAGTTAGGCAGACTCTTTAAAAGACAATCTAAGATTTAAAAATACTCCTAGTTCAGTACATTTTACAACAGATATTCCTACTTCATAGACTTAAACCACTTATCAAGATTACGATGATGTAACAGCTCGATTAAAGTAATTGGAAAATGAGAATTATTTATATATACCATTATGTTAAAGCACTACTCCTATTACTAGTTAACCAATTAAATAGAATGATGAGCACGAAGATCTTTCGAATTATGAGAATGATATGCTGAAACTATAATATATACTTATGGTTAAATCCTAAGATGAATCTAAATTATTGGAAAATTTATTAAATGATCCAAAGAAACATTAATCGGAAACTATAAATTAATTTTTCTTGAAATAAAGGATTCTGAAATATAAATAAAATGATAAAGGGGTGAATGATAAAAAGAAATTTCATGATAAATATGATACATTTGATCCTTATTTTTTAGTTAATGTGAAAAGGGATGTTAAACTTTTGAATGAACAAAGAAAAGAGATTTTTTTTGTTAAATAAAAGCAAAGAGAATAATTAAATAAAGAGATTAGTGAGAAAATGCAGCTATAGAAGCATCCTCTCTAGAGCAGAGATGAAATTACTAAATGCATTTAACATAAAGCTCTTGAGAAGGAGTAAAAGTTAAGATTGGTGCAATTAAAAAAGAAAGAAAATTATGTTGGGAAGATGAACTTTTTACAATAACAAATCTTAGAGAAAACCCCTGAATTCAAATATAAGAAAAAACTTGATACTATCAAAACAAAATAGAACTTACAAATATTAAATATGATTCTAATCTATTTAAACACTGAAAACATATGTTAGATGATTTAAGAGACTAGTCAACGTGGCTTGGAACTCAAAAGAATGATGTTCAAAGAACACATGAAGGCAAGAGTCATCCAAAATACTATTAGGAAAAGAAATGTTATTCAAAGAATCAAACAAAAACTAGGGTTAAGACAAAAGAAGATATTACTCTCATTCATATTTAGATTTAAAATCAATTTCAGAATTAAATCCAAATATGGATATCTAAGAAAAATAAATTTGTTCCATCTTAAAAATTAACTCAGGGTTAAAGTAGCCATAAATCTAAAATCCATTACTCTTAAAACTGAAACCTTATAAAAATTTTGTAAGTTGTACAATAATATGTTTTATGTTTAATTAAGTTATTTAAACTATAAATGGGATGAGTATCTGAAATACTGCTGTAAAGGAAATATGCCAGAAAAAGAGAGAGATGAAATCAAATAGTATGAATTACCAAACTTACTTGAGAAATAGAGTCATTTAATTAAGAAATTAACTGTTCCATTAAAATGTAAAAACTGTTTTATAAGTGAGTTAAAATTATAATAAAGGCCTGTTTTAAAGGCTACAGAATTGAAAACAGGTTTATTGAAAAAAGTGAAGACTATTGTTTAAATTGATGAAGATTTTTAAGATGTTGAATTAAGGAATTCTGACAGGGTTCTATTGCCGTATACAAGATATGTTGAAAATATAGCGCTTTCTGTAGCATCTAAGGTTAGATTTGATTATTAAATGATGACATAATTGGATGTTCATGAGAAGGTATTTATGGAAGAGTTGAATGTAAAATTTGAAGTCTTAAAAGAATAATTAGAGAAAATAAGAAGAGATCATTTCCTATCAATGAGAGAAGTAAACTATCAAATATATATTAAAGTTTTATGTCAAATTAAATGAGTATAAGGAAAATCATAAATAATAAATAAATATCGATAGAGGAAAAGCTATGATTAGATTCAAAGTAGATGGTCCAGAATTCAAAATACTCAAATAAAAGGATGATTAAGATCTAAAATTAATTTTATCGAAAAGGGAAATGGCTCGAAAGAGGTATGGACAAAACTCAATAAAATATAAAGATATTATTTTTAATAAAATTAGATAACTTCAATAAGATCAGCACCCATTTCCTAATTTAATAATAAAATTAGCAGAAAACATGTGTGCAGATATCAGGCCCAAATTTAGAGTAAAACTTAACCAACTTGAATGGACAAGATTATTCAGTTAGTACCAATAGGAACTTAAATAACGATATACTACTATAATGAATGAAGCAAGGAAAAATATCTCTATAAAGACGAAGTAAATAAAATCAAAAAAAGTTGTTTAGAGAACAAGAGTTCTTAAAACAGAATCTTGATAAATAATTAATTCTATCATTTATACCAAAATTTATATTATTATAATATATTAATTCTAAAATTTCTCATAAGTATTATATCAGAAATATATTTATTATAAAATGTATGGTTTAATAAATCAAAACATGTTGAATTATTTATCAGAATTTTGACTAATTCTATTAATCTATCCTATTAAGTTTATTAAATCAAAACATATCAGAATTTAAGATTATCTCAATTTATAATTACGATTTTTTTACTTCATTATTATAATTAATTACTGATTTAGATGAAACCATTAGCAACTAGATAATAAATAAAAAATAAGAATTAAGACAGAAGCAAACTCATGGTGACTAAAAAAAGAATTTCAAAGAAAAGTGGACCAAGAATCACCAGAACAATCATAGAAACTATTGCGAATGCTCAAACCACCCAACCATCTGCTGGAACGAGAAGATTACCCAGATAAAATAGAAGAAATAAATTGGCTAGAGTGAATGCTTTAAGAAGAAGAAATTGATTGATTATCAACTTATTTTATAATTATAGTTATTATTTAAAATAAATATTATGCTCCCTAATTTAGCGAAACAGTATTCATTTACACAAGAAGAAATAATTATGCTCAAAAATAGATTTGATAGACTTTGCGATAGAGGGATGATGACAAAATAACAATTTAGAGATTCTTTGGGAATTTTGGGATTAGAACAATTCTTGGCTGAAAGGATATTTAACTAAATTGATGGGAACAAGGATGGAGTCATAATGTTTGAAGATTTTGTTAAATATTTGAGTATGCTACTAAATGGATCTACGATCGATAAAGCATTATGGAGCTTTGGAATGTTATCAAGTAATTTGAGCAAGCTTAATAGATAGATAATAAGAGTATTTTAGAGTTGGAGGACATGGAAAAAATGATTTTTGAGATCTGTTATTTGTGGAATTCAATAACAGGATCGAAGTCAATGCCTAAGAAGGAGTTGGTTTCTGAAATATTTCGAATATTTGATAACGATGATGATGGTATTGTTCAATTTGAAGAGTTTAGAGTTGTTTACTAAGAAGGAGTGGAATTGATTGGATGGTATGAATTTCTAAACAATGAAGATATGAGTACAAATAAAATTAAGGAGGAATGGGAGAATGTAACAAAAAATAAATCAAGAAAAAAAAGAATGACTTTAATTAATCGTTAATTGGATGAGTAGACTCCTTAAGATCTTTTGAATAATCAATTAAAAATATTGTAATCAGAAATATAAGGGTGCAGTGAATTAATCAAATAAGAAAAGGAGAAGGAATAACAGTAAAAGTAAATAAACTTTTTGGCTTCCTTTTATTTTGATGAGAAATCATAAAAAACTCATGGTCCCATTTTTAATGATGGATAAGTTTAAAAGTTATATGGGGATGATGATCCTGATTAGAATGATGAGCCTTATTTAAAATAGTATAATTTGACTTCGACAATCAATAATGATAGATTTTAAAATAGCATCATGAATAGATTAAGAAATTTGTTAAAACTAACTGAGGACATTAAAAAGTTGAACAACCAATAAATTGTGCCTAAACTTCCAGAATAAAGTGTGGTAAAGTAGTTTAAGAAATCATCTCGATCCCCATCTCCCATATCTGTCAATTAGACTATGGATGATATATAGTAATAACAGTAAGAGAATGTTCGTAAGAATTTATCAATTTATTTTGGACATGAAAATTGGAATTTGGTTTTGAATATGATGATTGGGATTCGTAAGGCAATAAAATCATTACATCCTTTGACTGATGATATTTTAATTACTGCAGCACATTTTGAAGTGAAAAATCAATTTGAAATAATACCAAAGAGAACTTAAGTATAAATTTTCTTTATTAAGGGAATTTGATTGGAAGAAATCTTGTTCATTTTATGAATATTCTCCTTTGATTTTTGAAAGAATAAGAAAAATGTATGGGATATCAAATGATGATTTCTTGAGATCAATAGGACCTGAACAATTATTGGGAGACTTGATTTTTGGCAATTTAGCTTCTTTAACAGAGAAGGTTTCAAGTGGAAAAAGTGGTAGTTTTTTTTATTATTCTTTTGATGACAAATACATGTTGAAGACTATATAGAAGGATGAATTTGTGTTCTTCAAAAGTTTAATAAAAAATTATTATTAACATTTATTAGATAACTATCATTCAACGATTATTAAAATCTTTGGACTTTATCAAATTAAAGTCAGCAAAAGTAAAACAAAATACCAAAAAATATATTTTGTTGTAATGCTTAACATATTCTATACTAATGAGGACATCAATTTTAGATATGATTTGAAAGGGTCTCTTTATTAGAGAACATCAAGAGTCAAGGGTTAAGCATCACTGGATCAAAATATCCCCTTGAAAGATCTAGATTGGTTGGAAGATAAACAACAAATCTAATTTGATCAAAAGACATTAGAACTCTTCAAAACTTAGTTAATAAAGGATGTAAATTTCTTTAAACAAAATAAAATTATTGACTATAGTTTCTTGATTGGAATCGTTGATAATTATAGAATGAACAATGATAATGTGTAAACACAATGCAGATTTTATGAGAGGTGGAATGGAGGGTGTATTACGAGGGATCAAAAAAGGTTGTATTATTTCGGTATAATTGATATTTTCACTGAGTATAACAACAAAAAGTAATTGGAACACAAGGTGAAAAGTACTTTTGTTAGCAAAGATGTGTCATGCATTCCTCCTGAGAGTTATGCTGACAGATTTATTAAATTTATTTTGCATTCATTAAAGTGATATAAATTAAATTTAGATATTATTAAAATTAACATAAATGAAAATTCATAACACTTGGTTTGCTTAAGCCACCTATTTAGGAGTTATCGGTGCATTAGTTTTTGCTACAACAAGATTTACAGTCCCAGAATATAGACTCTATTACAGAGTTGCCAAAGTTTAACATCTTTGAGACATTCATTATATCAATTATAATAATCACATAAAATATATTCACTTTTAAGTTTATGCAAGCTCTTGTTATATTTGTTCTGCTTATTTCTTCAATTTATGGGCTTGCACTTCCTTTTTGTAATTATCCAGACTTTCTAATGGAATTAAGAAATATTCATTAAAATCCATTTGATTGATTCTCATCGCCAAATCGAAATCCACTTGAGAAAGTCCATTCAAAGACGGAGAGAATCTTCATATTTCTAATTATTACAATTCTAAAGTAAGTAGCTCTCCTCCTACCAAATGTACACCTGGACAATTCTTAGTGGAAAGAGCGTCAATCTTTGAAACATCCTTAATAAATTGTATTCCAGACAAGTAGTCTTCAGTATAGAAATATCTAAACAATCTCAAATCAGTTACCTTCCACCCTAAAATTCAATTAATTTCAATGAAAATACCTTCAATCATAGGTTTCATAGTTTCATATAATGCCTTAACTTGAATAGGTGTAAGTGGCTTTCCATCTTAATTATATCTGCAGCATTTTTTGAATTATTTTTTGGTTATAATCTCACTAAAAAAAGCAGAATATTTAGGTTTAAAGAGCAACATAATTAATTATAAAATTAGTATTAATTGTGGAAAATTAGATTAATTAAAAATAAATATAAAGACAATATACTACCTGAGAGATTGTGGACTGCTTTTGAATTAAAAATGAATATAATATTAATAATAATATTATTTCAATTATCTTCTTAAACTTAAGGATTAGATTCTAGAAGTTGTTAACTGCCATCTGGCTCTTCCTAAGGTTCTTAATTCTAAAATTAATTTTATTGTTATGGTTCTGGTTCACATAATTCTTATTAATTTTCCTATTCATCATTTTTACTATTTTGCTGATGTTGTTGTTACTGCTAATCAATCAACTCTGTTGGTTCTGGTTCTGGTATCAATTCAGTTTGTATTACTTCTAATTATAAATTAATATTCTCAGTTAAAATTCCAGGAACTTAGATCTCTTAATGTTGCTCTAATACTTATTGATTATCATCAAATTAATTTTGATTGATGGAAGCAATCTGTATGGTATCTTATTAAATTTACTCTTCTTTATCATCAGATTGAACTTTATTGTTTGAGGTTTCATGAGTAGAAATCTGTAAGGCATCATATTAAATTTACTCATCTTAATCTTCAGATTGAATTTCATTGTTTAAATTCTCCTATACTTCAGCATCATCATTTTGCTATTAATTGATGGGATTGTCGTCATTATTTTCTACATTTCTTATTCCTTAATATGAAATCAAAGGATCAGGCCTAAAGGGACTGGAAGATCCAGAATTTATTTATTCCTTCATTCTAGGATTAACTCCTAACATCCATTGTAATTCTTTTTGGTTTATTTCGTTTAATTCATCTATGTATTTCTACCATTCTTCCTTGATTTGATCAATGGAATTAGCTAATTCTTCTGATTAATTGATATTAGAATTAAGATAATTAGTAATTTTTGTCAAAATTCCTTAATACAATGGTTTCTATTTTCTTTCCTAGATCCCGTTATACTACATCAAAAATTTTAATAGTAATTAGTCTTGAAATAACAGTTTTTAAAGATAAGAAACTTTGCTTTAGAGAACTGTTATTACCAGTTTTTCGAAAAGGATTTATAATTAGTTATTGGAGGGATATTTGAGTGTAAGATTAAGGATATTTTAAAATATTATTGCTTGTGTAATCTCTTTTGCTATTTCTTCGGTTTAACAAAGTTAAATAATAAAAGAAATTAATGATAATTTGGAATCACCAAGTGGATAGACTTGATCTCCTTTTGATGTTTGAAAAGCCACTTTAAAGATGTCTTGTTAGATCAAGGCTGAGGGTAATTATGAAATCACGCTAGAATATAGTTGTTTTAGATCAACTGCTTATTTTCCATCTTCTAACACTTCAATTTTTGTATAAAATTCAAACTATATGTTTAATAAGTTATAAACTGAAGTGTTTTGAGTTTAAATGGCAAGATTCATGAGATATTAGGGTGAGGGAACATTAGGTAAAATTGTTCTCAAATGTGGTGTCGTGTCAATTGTTTATAATTCTCTCTTATATAGTTCGATGAATATATCACACACATTGGATATGATAACATTTGAATGGGAGTTAGAAGTTAAAAACTTTTGCAATCTTATAATTAATTCTGCTCTTTCCTTTAGAAAGTGCTTTTCTTCATTTTCCTCTTGATTTGTGTCTAGAATGATCAGCTTCTCAATGATTTCAGTTATATGTCTTAGTGCTGCATGTTTGAACAGATTTGATATGATATTTTGATTTTTTATTATATACTCCCAAAACTATTTTAAATGTAATAGATTATTACATCATGCCCTCTTTTATGGATAATGGCTCCGATTATCTTATTAACATAGCCAGCTGTAGTGATTATTAGTGCATCTTTTTCTAAAACTACAAGGAAATCATCAAGTAAGTGTTGTCTAATTAATTCTTTATTTAATTATTCTTGAGTAGGTACAAGATCAGGCTATGAATCTTCCAAAGGATTCTATATATCTTCTTGGGTGTTTTCACTCTGTTTATCAAATAAATAGTTAATTAGTTTTTCATTTTCAGAACTAAATACCTCACTAATTATAAATTGATATCTAATGATGAAATCGATAAATTACTTAATGTATGTGTTAATATCTTATTCTTGTGGTTCGACTTCATCAATAATGTAATGGATCATTTTTTAATATTCATTTGGATGAGAGATAATGCTAAAAATAGTATTTAAAATTTAACAAATCAGCGAATTTTTCTGAGCTTGACATTTTTAATTCTTGTAAAATGTCTTCTTCGTTTAAGATGGTCTCTAAAGTTAAGTTTTCTTATTTAAGCAGATTATCTAATTTAGATTGGAAACCGAATCCAAAGAATCGAGCAAAACTACTATTATTTCAATAAAATTACTTAAACATGAAATGATTTTATTAATTTATTTAATTAATAATTATGCATAAGCAAAAATAGACTAAATAGTGCTCATAATGTGGTGGGTTAGATCCGTAATTCAATTTAGGAAGTTAAAATTTAAATATTTATTCTAGAATGCGGACATTACTTTTGTCAAAATTGCCTATTAGCTTTTAAAAGAGACATAGCAAATTCTAAAAAATCCTAATTCTCTCTCAAATGTCCTTTGGAAACATGCAAATAAGAGGTGGATTTAAAGAAGCTGTTGAATTATTTGAGTTTGCCTAACCCATGCAAGAAATGCAACAAAGAATAATAATACACATGCAGCTAATGCGTTGTAAAAGAAATTGAAGAAATTGCAAAAATAAACTATTATTCAAAATTATTAAAATTAGATCAATTGATAGAATTGGAATCTTAGAAAGAACTTTGTGAAGACTTATAGAAACATGAATTGATATGTCCAGGTTGTAAGGAGTTCAATTAAATCCCAGTAATTGTGTGTTTATAAGGACATGAAATTTGCAAAGATTGTTACTATAACATCAGAAACAACGAGACATTCAGATAAGTATGTCCACTTTGTGGCCTATAATTGTTATAAAAACCACCAAATAGTCTAAGAGCGTAAACTCTTATCTAGAATTTAGTTATTAAATGTCCCAAGGAGAATTGCAAATAATAAATCAAGTATACTGAATTTGTTTAGAATCATTATAGGAAATGTACATTTCTTTGTAGTTTTAGGTTGTGAAGAAAAGTAGGAATGTCCTGGCTGTCATGAACAAGTGGAGCAATTGTTTCTGGAGATACATCAATCTAATTATTGCAAGGGAAGTGCATGTCCATTGAATTGCAATAGAAAACTTGGAGTAACTTACCTCAATAGTTTAGGATCATCAAAACAATTTCATCATAGAACACTTACTAAACACAATGAGATCCAGCGGAGTGTCGCATTCATTTTTACACAGAATTTAGGTGGTTGAAAAATTCCTATTTTATGGATTTTTTGGAGTTTGCCCCGATTGTGAAGCTTCTTTTGCCTGGTAAGTTGATATCAGAGGAGTATAATCCACATTTTGCTTTTAATGCTTTACATTCACAGGATGATTAAATATAATTTATATATAATTTTATGAAAATTAATTCTGAGTTAATTCAAGGGTCACACCATTTTATTAATCCATTAAATGAACGATAACTAGATTTAAGAGGTATTCCCTACATTTATATGTCCATAGCCAAGAAAATAACAGCAATCGAAAATTTGGGAGCCACTTTGGTATCACCATTCTTAATTATAGGATTTCTTTGACCACATCGATCTAGGTGACAATGATATCAAGAAACTCGGAAATCTCACTTTGTTGAAAAGGTATTTTAGTTGTTCCATAATCTTCAGATTAAAAACTCTAAATTTATCCAATAACAGAATTGTGAAATTGACTGATATTTCAGACTCATTACCCAACATTGAAAACTTAATTCTGATGAACAACAGACTCACAGATATTAATGAAATGTATTAATTAAGAAATTGCAAAAAGTTAAAGCGCTTGATTTTGCATGGTAATCTCATTACTCAACAACCTGATTACCGCTATAAAGTCATAGCCATTTTACCCAATCTCAAGGTTTTGGATTTCAATAAAGTGACATTGGCAGTTAAGTCTCTATCCTTATGTTTTAGGAACGTGAAAAAGCAGTTGAGTCCTTCAAGCCTGACGAATTGACAGATTACATGAATTTGGTTAACTTAAAGGATGCCACCATAGATAAAGATCATATTAAAAAATTACTAGAAAATGCAAAGACTTTTGATTAAATTAATTAGTTGGAGATGTTGCTTAAATAACAATAAGTAAAAAATCTATCAATCCTTAATGATTAATGAATGATTATCAAATATATCTATTAAAATTTATTATTCACAAAGTTTAAAATCCTTGATATAAATAATCTACTAATATTCAACTATCCTAATCTCCTTCTTGTATTTAATTCCTTATATAATCCTTGATTGATCTAATTCGTAAAATTATTTTTAGAGGTATCATCAATATCATGGCTCTTGTGCTCCATATATCCTTTGCCATCTTCAATGCTAAAGGCATCCATAATAAAAAGTAAATCACAAAAAGTAATACTTCAAAAAGTATAAAAATTGCTAATCTTTATAATTTCAAATTGTCCAGTTCTTTATTTAGTCCTTAAATAAACTGATTAGTCAAGTATCTAAAAGCATCTAAATTTTAAATATTTCTTTACTTTTAAAATAGTGATGCTATATCTCCCGATTTTCTTTGGCATGCAAGAAATTGTTAAGATTCAGAATGAAATTAGTGCTGTTATCATTTTCTTTTGTTATGTTTTTAAACGTTGCAAAACCCCTGGCAAGTAATGTGAAATTAGCCTTTGAATTGTTATAGAATTGATCATATATAGTCCTTAAATATCTTGCATTTTCAAAAAATCTTGGAACACCCACATTCAATCCTTATGAAAAACCACTATCCATTGCTAAAGCGCAAGACTATGCATCAATTGACTAATCCTATTCTATTACTACCTGACAAGGATCCTCAATGTATAATGAATTGAATGCGTCAACGAATTTTTGTTATAACAAATCAATATTTAATGAATGAAGCTATTACATATAAGAATTATGAGAATATAGCTCATCCTAATTTTCAACTACAGCATCGTAAGGGTCTTTTTCAAGTATCTTCATATTCCGAGAATAGAATAAGGATCTTTAGCAAATTTCTGCAAATCTATAAAATTGCTCAGTTCTTGCGGTCAAATTGTATTCACTACTAAGAGTGTGGATATTTTAGATAGATGCTCCACTTAAAAAGTAAGTCAGGATGAAATAGCCTTGTATTAGGATTAAGATGAAAATTATGATATAAATAAAATACCTATATTCTTTATTGGCATTTTTGTATTTCTTTTTTGTTCTTTTCGATTTTAGAGTCTTTTGCAATTGTGCATTTTCTTCTTTATCTATGTTTTCATCATTCTCAGACATTAAATCGTCATCCTCTCCGATTTGGAGATTTGTAAGGAAGTTCTCACTTTTATGATACAAATATCGAATGGTTTTATCTGGAATATCTAAGAATAGACTTACTATCTCACTTTGAGAACGAGATACAGATATGAGAGCAATTATTAATAGAAAGAGTCCAATATTAATAGTAGATATAGAAACAACCAATAACACTACAAAGATCCCAATCTTTTCCATTGTCTTTTAAATTAAATTATCTATCAAATTATTTGATGATTCCTTCAAATACAACTATATACTATTAAGCCAATTCCTAATAACAAAATTGACATCTGAATCCTCGAGATTTATTATGCTTAACTTCTTATCTCTTATGGCCAAAGATTTACTAAGAATCTATTAAATAGCCTAATTTAAATCATAATATTCGAATTGACCATGTGTGTCAACTTAGATTTAGACATTTTTGTTAGAAAATTCAAAATCATAATTTGACTATGTCAAACTACTTGCTTTAGCTACAATTTCTTGATTCAATATGTTTACATTATTAATGGAATCATTCATATTAGACCTCTAGTCCAATTCATAAATTTTAGCCTAATCATCTGTTAGGTTGAATACATTCTTATTTAACAACTATAAGTTAAAAATTGAGCTCAAAATAATACCTAATTCGCTATTTCTTAAGTTTCCATCCTTCACCAATAAGATTGTATTAAAAATCTCATCTGTTTAGTTGATAGTAATGAAATAATCAATAAAAGAGAGTATAAGAATTATCAGGATTATTATATTGCTAATCCATTTAACCTTTACAATAACCCTAGGTGTTACATTTGATGTAATAATACTCTCTAAGTTTTTTCTAGAACGAAAAATATTGTTTTCAACCTATTCTTGATCATTTATGGGATTTAAATCTTGTTATATTTGGAATACACTTTCTTTCTCTTCATCATCAGATATATTATTATCTTTATCATCAATTTCCTAAATTTAATTTTAGAAGAGTCGCAGAACCCTAATGTTTTCAGCATAGTTAATGACTGGTTTATCATGATCTGATAGTCTTATTGTTCTGCGTCGATTAGATTCTTAATGAGTAGTTTCATTATTAATTTGATTTGAAGACCCTAAAGAAGATTAGTCAACTTAATCCCATAGAATGCTTTGAGATAACTTTGAATTATTATCATCAACAAATTCACCCAAATACAATTTCTAATTTATTATATATTTAAATTAAAGATTCTATGAAACTTACTTTAATGGTAATAAGAGTTCCTTTGAATTCTAAATATACTATTCACACAATTCCAACTTAATATAAAATCCCATAACTTCATTTGTGGTAATATTAACTATCTCTCTCATAGTGCAAGTGAAGTCTTGTTGTTTTTCAATGGTATTTTGATTAGATAATGAAAATTAATTAAGAAAATTTTCTTGGTCATACTTGATTTTTCCTCCAAATTTTGTCATATAGGTTGTTAGATTTTCAATGAATTCAGGGAATAATAGATCAAATCTGATTTTCTTATTAATTACATGTTTGTTTTCTATTCCTAATAACTGAATTGCAGTTGCTGAGATGGAGTCAATAATGTATTCTTGATCTACTATTATGTAACAGCTGGGCTTGAAAGCCTTGACAGTAATAAATTAAGCTGCCAAATTCACATTTTCATCAATTGTATGTAATATTCTCAAGACAATGTAACAAGGCAAAATATAATTTTGTTTATCTTTTAGAAATATAAATCTATCTTTATTAATATTCTTTATATCACTCGTAAGGAGAAATCTTTCAATATATTAATCATGAAACTTCTAAAACAAGTTGGGCATAAATAAATTAATTTTCCTATTGATAATTTCCTATTTAGTATACCCTATAAGGTGACAACAGGATTAATTAAGAGTAATAACCAAGGCAAATTTTTCCATCGATGTTGATACTATTACTGTTGCCTATTATTCAAATCCTATTTCATCACCTGCAATAAACTAAATGATTTGCTTCTTTCTTTATTGAACTTATTATTAGTATAGTTCTGACTTTTTTAATAGTTGCTCTCCATAATCTTCATCTTATAAGACATCATTTATAAATTATCCATACAATCTCATCGCTTTAGATATATTAGAAGAAGCCTTCTATATTTTAACCCATAATTAATCTATCAAATTAAATAATTTGTTGATCTTCTGACCAATTTAGTATACTTTAGCAAGATCTGGGAAGTCTTCTTGTAAAATTGACCAAAATTCCATTTGTGATAATGTTGTTTATTCTATATACTACACTAGTTATCTATAATTGTTTTGAAACGATATTTCTGAAGCAACGTCAACCTTCCCAAAGTTTTCATTCTAAAAGGAATCTAATTATTCTTATATAATAAACTTCTTTCTTAGGATTATAAACTCTTCATCAAAAGATGGACTTATCTACTCAGCCTAAGTAAGTTCATTAAATGCCTGTTACAATTATCTCATATAATCAGACAATAGGAAAGAGTACCTAACCCTTAATGTCACTGATTCTGGGAATCGTTTAATTTGATTATAATAAATTTAACCTAAGACAAATATTAAATCCGTTTCTCTCTCTGTGAGTGTTGAATCCCTTAATAAGGAATTAGACAATCTGATGTTTGGCTAATTCTTAATTTTAAGGTAACAGTCTTCTCTAACACAAGTAACTCTGTGAATTTCCAAATAACCGTCTACTATAATTTAGGCATCGCTGTCTGTCTTAATAAAATGCAGTAATTTTAGGAGATAATTTGTTTGATTGATTATATCTTAAACATCGCTTACCTTCGAGTGATTGATCAGTAATAAATCAAAATTCAGCTTCTCCATTCTGAATACAATTAATATCAGCAAGGGCAATCCTGTGATAAAGGCATAGATGATGCCATTAAATATTACCTTCTCCAAAAACATTGAGCAACAAAGTAGTAAGGTTCCCCAAACGTTTAGGGTTACTGTAATAGACCAAAACTTCTATATAATCTTTTGATTATAGGGTAATTCAGTGTGAAATTTCTAAAAAATTATGAAACTCCCACCGATAAGTAAGATGAACAAAAAGTATTGGTTATTGTTCCGATCAACTAATTTTTGAAAAGAAGTTTGGATTAGTTGATATGTAAATAGCACGATTAATGGTCTTCCACTAGTCTTTGAGTTTGGATTTGTGGGAATGTACCTCGATTCGTAATAAATCATTGCAAAACAGATGCAATAACAATAGAATAAAATAGAGAATACAATTGCTACTATACCATGGAGAATATGTGTATCAACCCAGCAATTTTATTCTGAAAATTAATTGTGAACATAAACTCCATTTTCATCAAAGCCGCAATCGATTATCGATATAAATACATCAATAATTGGCAAATAAAGGATTGATAAGAATAAATTGATCAATATCTTTAAACCTTTTTTTATCCAATTATTTTCTTGTTTCCTTTTATTTAGCCTTAGTCCTACAAAAAAGCTTAACATCGTTGATAAAGTAAACATTCCTATACAAAGGTAGAGTAATATAATAAGTGAAGAGTACGAATTTGTGTAGGGGGAGAGGAGGAAACACCTAAAATTACTAATTAAATTTATACGAGAGAAAATAGCTGATCGCATCAGATATAGGCTGATTTTTCCAAATATTCTAAATCTTTGAATTGAACATTAAATACGTGAGCTAAAAATATTAGATAATAATCCCGAGACAGTTGATGGTTAAGGGTTATTGATCCTCATGGAGTAATTGAGAGGTCACTATGTAAATTAAATTCTTGGCCCTATCAACATACAATTGGAATCCGTTCCTGTCAGATACTCTTTTACTAAAATTCGATTGTAAATCCATTTTAATATTGAATATTTAAAATTGTCATTATTTATAATATCTGCTCTTATTTATATTGAATATCATTTAGGTTTAAATTTAATATAGAGTTTGTTTGAAATAAATTATCGTTTTTGTGTTAATATTGATTCTTGGTAAGAACCACAATTCTAATCAATTATTTATCTAATTTTAGTCAATTATTTATAACTTAAAATTAACTCGAATAAAATTAAAATATTTTATTAATAAAATTAATGCATTTCGTCTCGAACAAAAATTTACTTCCTATCTAATTTGTTATATTCTAATCCAACTCTATTTCAATCTACCCACATAACTCTTCAATTTTGCCAAGATATTCTATACCCCCTAGTTTGTCTGATTTAATTGATAATTACTTTATGTTATCTGTCTTATTTATACATAAGATTGACTCTACTGATACTATTTAATATACCATAATACCTTCATGTCACTATGAATTTAATCTCATAATTAAAAATGATCTTCATTTTATTAGAAATCAAATTAAATTGGCAAGTCAGAATATAAAATGGTTTAAAAGAAAAAGAATAAAGAGATAACTAAATTGATGTCATTATATATGTAATTTGATTTGATATTTTAATATATTAACACCAATTAAAATCAAATATATATGTCTAATTATAATTACATTTCACTATCGAATAGGGCTTAATATAAGTTACAATTGTAATTAATTAGTTTACTCTATTTGCACCATTCTAATAACTGTTATGGATCTTTTTTATTCAGAACCATCAAAAGATTTTGATCTTGCTTAACTTTAAGATTTCTAATTATGAGTATGAGAGTCTTCTTTTGTAATTCCTGTTTCATTATGGGAATTAAGTGAGTTTTACAATAGATATTGGTCAAGTGATAGAATAAGTTATTTTATGAAACTTCCTTAAAGTTTAAAATGACGGAAATAGATTTTTCTCTATTATCATGAGTAACTAGATGATTTAAAACATTTTAATTAAATTTTTGGAAAATGTTGTTGGCAATGTGAGCTTAATGATAATTAGGCAGATTAAAGACCGATAAAAGTTTAAAAGTACAATTAAAACTAGATCATATTTGATAAACAATTACCTTTTTTAATAAAGTTATATGATATCTGAATAATATGTTGCTTAGTTTTTGTTTGTATTCCATACATTTTATTGAAAATACATTTTAAAGCATTTTTAAATGCTAACCCTTACACAAATTTCAATAATTTCATCCTTTTGATTTTAAGGAATAAGTTGATGGTTTGCAATAAGCTCTAGGAATTATTTGATTTTATTCTTAAAATTTTTTGTTGGAGTAGACAATAAATTTGCAGCAATCTTAGCAGATTTTATTAAAAGAGTTTCATCTTTGATGGTTTGAAACAATTTAATCATTTCATCATAATTCTAGTTTTTTATGGCATTCATTATCTTTTCCTCATTATCTTAGGATTCATTTTCTTATTCAATAATTTCTCCTTTCAAATTGGCAATAGCCATCTATAATTATACTCCAATATTTTCCAATATTTTATATTATTCATTGGTGCTATTGATTTACTTACGAAGTTGAATTTTCTTATTGTGCTACTCCATACACACATTAATGTTCTCTTCCAAGTATTTAGTCATATCATGGGAGGTTTTGTGAATTTGACTATTGATTTGACTCACAATATAAGGGAGTTGGTGCAAAGGTGTTTGTAGGATTCTTTCAGGAAAGGGATGCGAAATCATATATAAATAAAAATAAAGTATAATTTATTTTCAAATTATTGTTAATCCCTTTTGAATAAATTTAGGTTTTCTATATTGTGAATACTCTAGACTTTAAAAAGGGATAAATTTACAGAAACTTAGGTAGATACTAATATGTAAGTAATCACAATAATTGATAACTTTATATTTATTTAAATTTATTTTGAAAGTTAGATTTCATTATTCATTTTTATCATATTGACAGTTAAGGCTTTAGCCGTATAAATGTTGGGTATCTCTTTAATAATAGTCAATAAGCATAAATTTAATATAATTCTTTGACATTTTTATTTTGTTTTATTTATTACACATTCTACTGAGTGATTTAAAACTGTATTCTTTTCAAAAAATAGTTGATTTACATTGAAAATATTAAAGTGAGTTGTTATGTATTTATTTTTTCATTATTTATTCTATCTAAATAGTTACTACTAATGTCACATAAAGAAGTTGAAAACAAACCAATACATGGTAATCCTCCAGACGAGTAATTGGCTAACGGACCTATAGAAAACCGTTAATGCCGTGACTTGATCTGTTTCCTTTTATTTGTTGGAGCAACTGCCGCATTTGTCGTAATAATATCGATGGGATTCAATCAAGGGAAACCAGAAAGACTAAGTTATGCGTAATATCAATATTCTAATGTTAGATATGACCCTAATGGCAGAGCGTGTGGACATGATGATGGAGTGTTTAATGCTCCTTACATCTATTTGGTTGCGCCTTTGGTAGGGTATCTAAATAGATCGGTTTGCGTTTCTCAATGTCCCAATTGGCAAGAAGGAGCAAAATAACCAACTCGGTAATACAAAAATTTGAATTTTAGTTTAGAATGTGTTGTAAATAATGTTATAACAAACTGCTCAGAAAGGTATTCATACGATGGAGTGAATGATATAAGAGACTTCGATGTAAACTTCTTGCTCAATTCAGACAATTATGCTGATGAGCCATCAGTTGATAAATTATTTAACTACTCTACATTTATTTACAATTCAACTAGTGTTTTGGATAGATTGTGTATACCAGCAGGGGATAAATATGTTGAAAAGATCTATGGAAATATGGATGATATTGCCTCTGTTTAAGTGTAATCTTAATATATATTTAAAGATTTTAATAGTGGGTGGCTGATATAAGATTGACATATAAAATTCTCTTTGCATCAGTTGGAATAGCATTTGCAATTGGACTGTTTTACATGTTGGTCATGAGATATTGTGCAGGTACCTTGACTTGGACAGCCATTTTTTTGTATTTTGTTTGTATTGTACTTTTCATCATTTATCTAAACGATAAAGCTAATGCTTAGTAATTAATTTGTATTTACAATTTTAATAGCAAGACTCGAGCAGCCCTCAATACAGCTTAAGGCATATCGGACACTGATAATCAAGACTTGTAGACCTATTATGGATTGAGGGGTTCCATGATTGGAATGTGTATAATAGGAGGGTTGTCCTTATTAGGATTGCTGTGTTACTTTAATCGAATCAGAATGGCAATTGCAGTTATAAAGACAGCTGCATTATTTGTGATGGAAGTGCCTTCAGTTATGTTGGTTCCACCAATATTCTCCATTTTGGTTATGGGATATTGGGGATTGTGGATAATTTCTTTTTTTTATATCTATTCAATGGGAGACGTTAAAGGAAGCAGCGATACTCCCTTGGCTACAGTTGAATGGAATGATAACATCCGGTATTACTTGATCTACCATCTATTTTATGGATTATGGTCTAATGCTCTTCTATAGGCGTTCTCCTAATTTATTTTGGCATCCTCTGCCTGTCTTTGGTATTAGATTATACTATATTTAGGTTTTATTAACATAGTGACGGATAGTTAATTCATTTTTATGTTTTGGAGTCCTTTAAAAGGTCGATTATTTATCACTTTGGCTCATTAATTTTCGGGGCATTATTATTGGCCATAGTTCAATTCATTCGGTTTTGGTTGGAATATATCAATTATTAAATGAAACAATTTTAAGGTGATCCCAAACAACCCGTTAAATGCTTTATTGACTGTTTGAGATGTTATGCATCTTGTTTTGAGAGATTTGTGTCTTTTATTAATAAAAATGCCTTTATTTAGATCGCTTTAACAGGGGATAACTTTATTACTGCAGCCAAGAATGGATTTTACTTAGCTTGGAATAATGCAGGCTAATTTGCTGTAACATCAGGAATAGGAAGCGTATTTTGCACTCTATGCAAATTATTTATTGCGTTTTCCACAACTTTTCTGTGCTACATGATTATAACAACATCTGATACTTATAAAGAGAAACTCAATTCTCCTATTGTGCCTACATTATTATTCTTTGTTATTTCTTATGTAATTGGAGATCTTTTCATGTCAGTTTATGGAATGGCTATTGATGCAATTTTATAGTGTTCAATTACTGAATTAGAACTGGTTAAAGCAAAACCTGGTTTATTATAGAAAAAGAGAGCCCCTTAACCTATCTAAGACTTTTTGGAAGAACATAAAAAATCATGATAAAATTAAATTTTATTTTTTATAATCATTATTATATATCTTAAAATGATTTTGAATTTAATATACTCTTTATATAATTTGCTATTATATAGAATTCATTAATAATCTTTAATCATATTTCTATATCATTTTGATAATTATTATTAATTGATATTATGATTCAAATTAATTAACTAAATAATGATAATAATTATATTATTACTAAAGTATGAAATATTTCAAATAAGAAATTAAAAAAAACCTAATCTATATAATGTAAATCACAATGTTAGAATATGATAAATTAAATTCATTTGAGCTTTATTTTTTTTGGGAGAAGATGCCTATGAAAATATCAAACATTCAAATACACAAAAAATCCATTTTTTATTTTATCGTATTTATAATGTAGAGAACTATCTGTTTTTTGATTCTCACTAATTTCAACACTGTCAAAATCAAAATAATGTTATTATTCATCATTCAAGTTTTCTTCACAAATGGATTTCTAATAGTTAGGATTGAGAGATTAGCAATAATTGATGCTAGTTTATTAAGTGAGACTTGAATTCTTACGAATATCGTCTCGCTGAATTGTATTCCTAGTAGAACCTACAGGAGGAGGAGCCAAAAGATTATTAGAACTGAATAATAAATAGAACGTACCCATTTTAGACAAGTCCTGATAGTTATTTCTCTATAGACCTTTTCATCTCATTCGAGTTAAGTGGTATGTTGTTTCGACTTAAATTTTAATTTGTATCAGTCTTATAATGTGTTGATGATTTTATTTCAGTCCAATCAAAATTGCCATCAATCACAGTATTTGTGGAATCCGCAGCTCTTTTAAATTCCTACAATATCATTTTATAATTAGGCTCCTGCTTGAATTGCAATTTCCTTATATAGCTATTAAATCTTAACAATGTTGTTACTCATATATTCTTTAAAGCTCCCCTGTCTAATCCTTAAATAAACTGCTTTCAAGGGCTAACTTCATATCCCCAACTTTCTTTGTCCTTTCATCATCAGTAACATTAATCATATTCTACCATGGTAGCTGTCTTTATTAATACATAAAGTAATACCCACGTAAGAAGTATAACAGTATGTACATTAAGGACTCAAGGTCATCTTTTCTACCCAACTCATGTCCTAAATGAGCAGCAATAGAAGCATATCTTGTGGTTCCTAAAAAGGATTTCTATTCCTTAAAAGATCTATATATTTAGTTCTCTATCTTACATATGTTTCCCATTTGAATCTCTATATATTTTGCTTATGCCAAAGTCAATTAAGTACAATTTAGCTAAGTCTCTTCCTATTCCAAGGATCATATTCTCTGGTTTGAGATCTCTGTGAATCACTCCTTTTTAATGAGATCTCTCTAGTATCTGCACAGCTTGAATCCCAAGGGTCAATACTGTTTTTAGTGAAAATTTCTTTAATTGTTTAAAATGATAAGCTAAGTCCTTACCCAACAATTAAATTACCAAAATATTATAACCTTAATCTTCACCAGACCAAAGATATTTAGGAAACCCCTCTGCTCCATCCAATTTTTTTAGAATCTGCACTTCTCTCTCAAGTGAACGTACTTCCTCATTTTCCTCCTTCTCAACTTTAATTGCCACTTCATATTTTGACAACAAGTCTATTCCCAAAAAGACCACTCCGAATGAACCTGATGAAAGCTTTTTAACTATCTAATATTGATTATTGAAAATCTTTTAGCTTTGAGATGTCTTCTAATGCATACTTAATTTTCTTTAAATAAAACAATTATTATTTATTTTTATCTATGTCAATACTCATACGTTTAAAGCATAATAACAGCTATTAGTCAATTTGCTAGTTGGCTTTGAGGATATATAAAATTCAATTGATTTCATGAAAAATTACATTTTGTAAATAAACTCATAATGCAGTTTTTATGTTTATATGTTTTTATCAGACTAATTTAATAGAATGTAAATATTAATAAATTATTATAATTTTATTAAACTTAAGAATATTAACGAAATTCAATTAATAAGTTGAAAATTCATTTAAGTTCATAGAGTTTCTATGTCAAAATTTAAGACCACTAAATTTATTAAATTATTTTTTTAAATCTCATTTACATTTTTATTTTCAGATTATAGAAACACATATAAAGATGATGGATTATAATTTGTATTAAAATAAATATAGGATAGCTATTAAGTTATTCAGAGAAATATAATAGGTAGAAATGATTTTTGTATTTAGTTTCTATTATGATTTGCCAATTATTTAGATATTAAATTAATAGTTTATTTTATGTACTATTGTTTACTATGAATCTTATTATAAAAAGTGGTGTTTTATCATTTATTTAATTAAAAATTCTCCAAATCATATAATGATAATATTGAGAACTTTAAAACTACATTTGTGTAATAGATATTCAATTCCATTTATATTTTTATATGAATTAATACAAGATGATTCAAAATATCTCCAAATATTAATCAATCTATAATAGTAATTAAATAAATAGCAAAGTTATTAACTATATATTTTCAAAATAATTTTATTAATATTGATTATGAATAATTACAGACACATTGATGGAGATAGTGGATTGATGACTTCATAATTTCATCTTGGAGATTCACCTAAGGCCATTATCGATTATAGCCAAAGCGAAAGAATTGAAACTCTAGTTTAGAAAGGCATCACGAAATCAGAAATTAAAAAAAGTAGAACAGGTGAATCTTAGAGTCTGATAGAACATTCTAATATGCAATTAAATGGCCATTTGTTACCTCAAATAACTTTGACTTGCCAATCCCCAGCAGTTTTTGATTAAATAGCACTTGAACTTAAATAATAGTAATTGAAATTTACTAATTTTATCAAGTAACTACACTTGTATCATGAGAGAAGCGAATCAAATGATGTTTCTTCAAACTAAGTGTGATTCATTTTGCCAAAAGATTATAAAAAACGTGTGTGCCCAAACCTACATAGCAAGTTAGAGCAACAATAGCCTTGTTTTAGTAAAGTATTCTAAATAGAAACTGAAAATAGATGCTTTATCAGGGGTATGCTCAATCATTAAATTAGAATTATAAATAAAATGAAGATGTATTGTTGTCTGTTTGCACTGTGGTAAAACGGTATAATCAAATACATAAGGATTTTGAACCTGTAGATGATATGAGTCATATCAATCCTTTTGCCATCACAGCTATTTCGATGAACCGTATATATGTTTACTTGGATGACAATCAAGAGTTTAAATCAAAGTTGGATTCCCTTTTGTAGAACATTAATTCAATAGCCAAACCAAAAAAATAATAATTGTAGAAATACTTGCAAGAAAGTTCGTAATTGGTTCTTGATACATTTTAGTAGTTTAAACAAAAAACGCTGAAATATGATTAGCAATATTATTTAATGGCAATAGAGAAAGTGGTGTTTGAATCAGTTTATGATAAGCTATTTCCCTTTTATATTGATTTCAATGAAAAGAATGAGAATCAATTTAACATCAAAAAGTATTGATAAATGAAATTAGAGATAACAAATAATTGCCAAGTTCAGTGAACATGACACAATGGAATTCTTGGAAATAAAAAATAAATATCGATTAAATCAATAATATTGGAATGGAATAGCTGAATTAAACAAGGTGGACAGATCTACAAATCCTAGGGATAAGCTTAGATCAATCTAACAAATGTTGTGTCTAATAAAATGTATATACAAATAAATTTAATATGGTTAGCAATCATATACGAAAACAGCAATTGTGAATTATCAACAATGGACGATGAGCTACCAGTCATGATCTACATAATCTTATATAGTGAGTTTTAGAATAAATTCGCATCGATTCATTATGTGGATGACTTCTGTAATACTGATCCCACAATAGAAACTGAGAAAAGAACAGTAACTACTCTCAGAGTGTCTTTGGAGTATATTGCTAATGAATGGAATGTTTGATAATTATATCATTAATTTTATAAAATTATAATGTCTGAAAAAAAAATAAGAAAGAAGTACCATGACAAAATAGACTTCAAATTGGATCTGCCTGATACAAACAATAAAAAGGAGAAAGCAAGATAAAGTGCTAAAAACACCAGATAGAGAAAGAAGGCATACATTGAAAGTCTAGAGTAAAAGGTTTAAAAATAAATAAAAGTGTGAGGTGGCTTAATTGACAGCTCAATTGAATTAAAATAAGAAAGTAGAATCCAAGCCCAGTCTAATGTAACTGATGGAGCAGTTTTTGATAGATAGAAAATAATAATTCGATATGTTGGAAAAAGCATATTAAGAAGAAAACGAAGCTAGTATAAAAGTTATTACCAATTCATTAAGATTTAAATATGGTATAGCTGGTCAAGGTCGTTTGATGGCCATAAATAAAGTATTTGAATTGCTTATAGATTTATTATTGCCTATGCATATGAGATACCTCTTTTGGGTGGCTTCTGAAGGTGATATACATTTTAAATATTGTAGATGTCGATATTTTCAAGAGAGAGAGACAGTCAGGTGAATTTTATTCGTTTGATATGAGTGATAGCTAAATAAATTGCTTAAATTCATTTGGATTGGATGACGATCAAATTCTAAAAATATAAAATATGCAATAGACAATATAAGAATAGAGATCACATTACGACAACTTAATAATTGAGATATATAAAATACAACAATCAATAATCAAAGAAAGTGAAAAGTGTCAAACCATAGTGGATGAAATATGGGATGTTTTGGAACCGAAATAGGCGGCAGGGTTACTAATTACATTAGATAAGGCAAGTTTATTTTATAAAATTAGAGTCGAATAGAATAATTCAGAGAGAAGAAAGTGTATCCTGATTGTGTGATTTTAACGCTTTAAAAGAGGGCGAAAGAGGAGATCTAAAGATAATAACAATACTCTTATTTTGACATGAAAAAAGAATAAAAACAGGAGGAACTTGGATTGAATAATTATTTTTAAGCAGATTTTAATAATTGATTTATTATTATTATAAATTGATTTATTTATTTAATTGAAATGTTGATTATACAATCATTTGATTTGTATCTAATTAAGACTATTGCAGTCTTAAATATTTGGTATTGCACTTATTGAAGGAATCTACTTTTATGAAGGTTAGATGGAAGTCTTATCACTTTTACATTTGGTCCTCATTATTCTAGACTCGACTATCTACGTTCCAAATCTTGATGCATATATTCTCTCCTCTGCATCTACGATATCATTAATAGCATACAGTAATTTACTTTCAAGATCACACTTTTTTTACTTAATTTTATTATAATAAATCTTACTTTATGGAATTTTGGTTCCAATTGGATGAAACTTTTAATTCTTTATAAAAGTTGATATTGTGGATTTTCAGCAGCTTTGTGTCTAGATAGAAGTACAAAATAGAATTCTATCTAGTATTTATAAGATACTTATGGCTGCATCATATTCGATTATGAATTGTCCGAAATTGCTTTGTATACAGAAAACATGAGATGTTTTTTGCGTTGTTTCCAATAAAATATTTTCGATTCTGACTCTTTCTTCGATCCAAGTCTTATCATTACTGAAGCCCTTCCTTACAAACATTAGGAAATATTGTTTATTTTTGTCATACAACATAAAACCGCGGAAGACTTTCATGTATTATTCATCCAATAATTATTTGCTTGAAAAACTCTACAAATCATTGTTTTCACTCGATAGTGTTGTAGAAGTTAACATTTTTTGGTTTAGTTATTCCTATATATTGGGCTTTGAGCTTGACAATTTGGAAATGAAGCTATTATTCAACTTTAATTGCTCTTCCTTTGTCTTTATTAAATTTTCTATTTTAAACTTTTCCATAGCTTCGAGTTCTTTTATTTTGAGCTGATTTTAAAAACTTAAAGATTACATTTTTGTAGTTAGGGACCTCACATAAGTACGCATAGATCATAAGTAGAAGCTCCGCTTAAAATATGTCGTCTACAAATTCATGCGATACCAATATCAGTAATCGATCTAAGCATATTAATTAAATAATACTTGTAAAATAATCATATTTGCCTCTCACTTTTCCTAACAATGATTGAATGGAGAAGACCTTCTCTTCCATTACATTTTATTCTCCAATCTAATGCTGAATCTCTTTTATGGTTTATTACCACAAAGGAGTTTATTCGATATCCCTTCTTAATATCAAACAAATTTGGTTGAGCTCAAAATTAAAGATGGCAAATGCTCTGAAACAATGCATGACTTTATGATATAATTTATTTCTTTTTTTTTTTAATCAAGAAGATAAAATACTTTAATATCAATTTCAGATCAATATTATAATTTAAATCTATTCTTAATGTATTCATAGCTGAAAAACATATTTGTTTCAATTCTTATAATTAATATTTTATATAAAAATGATGTGCTTTTAATATAATGGAGGCAAAACTAGATGTCACCATGGAACAGTTGAACATTTGGTTGATGGAAAATGGGTTAAACAAGATAAAAAGAACAAATAGATAAAATAGGTTATTCGAGAGATTGATGAAGATTAAAATTAACAATAATTTAAAATTCAAAACTAAGGACAATAATAATAAAAACCAATATAACCAGATTAGCAAGAAAAGCCAGAGGATTTGCAGTAAAATAATCAACCATAACTTAATAAAGATTCATCATGACCATTCCTATGGATTATATATAATAGATGCATTATATTATATTAATAATATTACAAATTATCTTTATAGATTTGGTTGGAAAACACATTTAATTTCTAAAACTCTTGTTATTCTAACTAATATTTAGATACTAAAGAGATCTTATTAATTTTTATAAAAGTAATTTATTGTTAATTAAATGAGAGGGTTATATGTACTTTGGAAATGATATTTATGATACAAAATTATTAATGGTAAATTGTTCAATTAAAGATAAGGAAAATCAATAAAATTAAGAAATATTTATGAAAATTAAATTAATGTGAGAGAAATAAAAAGAAGATGGATAACTATAAACAAAAATAATTAAACATAATGATAAGTATGGATCATTTAAATGTAATATAATAACATATAATATACAAAATCATCCTATATTTAATTGTTTAGAATTTTTAGAGCATAAAAATTAGTTTAAATTTATATTTATCATTAAAATTTCAGTGAGTATTAGAGAAAATCAAATGAATGATTTTTCTTTAAAATTCGTAAGATTGCAAAATTATTAAAGGAGTTTAATACAAAAAAAGATTAAACTTGATACGTATGTATATATGTATTTGATTAATATATAATTATTATACTAAAACATTTGAAGGTAAATTTTAATTATTTATATTACTAAAGTCTTAGTTCATGAACGGAGAAGATTTCAGAAGCAAATTAAGGGAATTCCATTTAAGAAGTAAAGAGTAAAGTTCACAGGAGTCTAGGGTAATTCTGGAGGATGAAAAAAAGATGAACAATGCTTGTTGCGTAAAACTTTATTTAGAAGATCACACTATAGGTATGGTTTATATTAGATGTGTCTTTTAGGTAATTTGACTAGAATGAACCTATTAAAGTAAAAGGAAGTGACATTTTCTGGATATAGACAGATTCATCCACTTTAACATACTATAGAAATCAAGGTTCAGACAAATGGATCAATCAAACCTTATGATGCTATATAAAAAACATTTTAAGATTTGAGTGATGAATTCAAAAATTTGGAAGAAGAATGGGCAAGAAAAGTTGCTGAAAAAGAGAAACATTAAATGAAATTAGAAATATGAATAATATTATAAATAATATACATGTAATAATAGAATGTAATTTAAGATGGGCAATCTGTTGATGAAAACATTTCAAAACTCTATCAATTATTGGAGTTTAAAGGGAAGGGAGCTTACGGAGTTATTTGGAAAGCAATGGATCGATAGACCAAGAAAATAGTTGCTCTGAAAAAGGTTAATAAAAATAGGTATCATGAAGGTTTTTGATGCTTTTTCAAATGATACTGACGCATAGAGAACCTATCGAGAAGTTATTTATCTATAATAATTGACGTAGCATGAGAACATTGTTAAATTGCTACAAATTCATAGAGCGATGAATATGAAGGACTTGTATATGATATTTGAATACGTGGAATCAGATCTCCACAAGGTATTAAAAGGAGTTATCTTAGGTCATAAGAGCGAACCTACTCGAAGGATAACATCTGATATACATCCTCTACTAAATATTGAAATGCCTCAAGTACATTCATTCTGGAGGTTTGATCCATCGAGATTTGAAGCCATCCAACATTTTAATAGATTCTGATTGTAGAATTAAGTTGGCTGATTTTGGATTGGCAAGATTGGCAACAGACATAGATGAATTTACTGTGATGACAGATTACGTTGCTACGAGGTGGTACCGTTCTCCCGAGATTCTTTTAGGGTCTCCTCTTTACAATAATTCAGTAGACATGTGGAGTGTAGGTTGTATATTAGGAGAAATGGTCCTAAGTAAATCTATCTTCACTGGTTAATCAACCTTGAATCAACTGGAGAAAATCGTAGAGGTTCTAGGCAAGCCTTCCTAAGAGGATTTAGTATAGATAAATGCCCCCATTGCGGAGAAAATATTTAGAGAGATATAGATGCCCAGAAGAAAGTCATTATTTACTTATATCAAATCTACGGATATTATCATCGATTTCATTAGCAAATGTTTAACTTGGAATCCAAATAAAAGAATGACAGTTGATTAAGCACTCTAACACCCTTTATTGAATGATTTCAGAGGCACTGAAAGAGAGAATAATTATCCATCCAAAATTACTATTGAGCTATCTGAGAATGTTAAATTGGATAAAAAGAAATATAGGGAAATCTTATACAAATTGGATGTAAATTATTAAAAATAGTAATATATCAAATAATTAAGTAATGAAGAACAAATTCCATCAGCTATCAAAAGCAAAAAGCTTTCAAATTAAATTCAATAAACTTATCAAAAATATCTAAATAATGGAATCGACTCCAAATATTAAAGAGTCTCAAAGTCTACATCTAAGCCTAATCAATTTCATTAGAATTTTTAATCTTAAATGGATATTTAAAGTTAAATTCTTTTAACCTAATCTATCTAACAACAAAATCAATAAATCATGAAATAAAAGATGCTATAAAATAGAATTAAGACACTCCCTGAAAACTATGTTGACATCATTATCCCAACTGAGCAAAAAAGTCCAAATAGAGAACGCTATTTTTCTTAGATTAAAATTACCAATACTCAACCTCAAATCCCTCAATCCTCTACTCCCATCAGAAGCAAATCAATGAAGAATAGACTATATAATGAATCTGCTGATCATTGTGTGCAGCCAAAAGAAAATGACTCCAAAAAAAAGTTACTTACTGCATATTTAAATCAAAAACCCAAAAGACCTGTTCTCTATAATTTTAAAAAGACGATTATTCGGAATAAACTCAACACGGATCAACTACTCAATAAAAAACATCTTGGCCACTTAAATAATATGGATACTTCAAATCTGGTCTCAATTGCTAAATGATATATACATTTTTGGAAATTAATTATGCATATAATTATTAAAAACTTACTGCTTTATTAAGTGTTTATATTATAAACTATTTAAAATTAATTTGATTTCATGGATATCCGAAACCCCACTAATAAAAAACCCTAGTTAGCAATACTGCATACTAAAAATCTAAGCAAACAATTTTCAATGAAATCAGAGAAAAGAATTAAAACAACTACATCGGATTCTAATAGATCTGTAGATACAAAAAAAATCTTAACTGATTTCTATGACTCATGTAAGCGAAGAAAAAGTATTTAACATAAACTAATTAGTTACTTCCTAATTTATACACGAAAGAAATAAATCCTAATAGCATTAAAATGAATCACTCTTTTAGTCTATTGATAGTTGGCGTTCTTTTCGACAGCAGGCATCTACTTCTCATGTCTCTCCTCCAAATAAATTCTTTCTATTTAACACATGTGAAAAAGTGCTTTGTTAGAAAAGTAATGGGTCTAAAAGAATTTAAACCCAGTATGCTGAAAAGCTTTTCTTATAGCAATTGAATTCAAATAACAAGCAGGATTTATTATTGAAAATTGAACAGTATATCCGAGATTATTTTACTGATGAATGTAGAGAGATGGCTAATTTATTTGACACTTTTATGAGGGAACTTAATTCATAAATTTCGGATTAAAAATTCTAATTAACATTGCATGAAAAGTAACTTGAAATTCAAAAGTTAGATGAGATTATCAAAATGAATACTAATCACACTTGGGCGCATCAGGACATGGAAAGATAATTAAAGTAATTATAATCTTAACATTGCGAATAATTGAATTTGATTGCAAAGTATGAAAACGAAAACAAAGACTTGTAGTTAAGGAATAATCAATTGAAGTAGCAATTAGATATAAAACAAAAAGAGATAGTTTTGAAAAATAAAAAAATAAAAGAATTAGGTTATGAAGTATTATAATTGTAAAGAAAATTAGAATATGTTGAAAATAAAGTCTAGAAGGATCATCGATAATCAATTTAATAAATAAGGTATTCAATGTTTTAGAGTTAATAAATTGGTTCAAATTCAAATTTAAGCTAAACTGGCAATAATAATAATAATTAGCCTAATAAATTTACTCCTCTTATTGAGGAATTAGTTGAGGATTCTTCTCCTTCTTTAACCGAATAAGAAGATGAAGAAGAGAAAGAACTTAATCAAATTGAATTTAATACTGAAAGAATAGTGGAAACAAGAGAGAAAGAATCATAGGTTGAGTACGATATCATAAAAAACTATACAAAAGAATAAGACACTTAAACTTGCTTAAAATTAGCAGAGAGAAAATTTGATGATTTGACATAAGATCTTTGCGAGCAAGCTCTTAATTTCATAGACTTTTTAAATGTTCATTAAGATAAAGTAGAAATTGATATGAATTAAGTAAATGCTAATTTAAGTAATATTAATCTGGAAAAGGTTTCAGATGAAGAAATTGTGAAATATTTTGATCAATAAGCACTCTTATAATCTAATTTATAATTATCTACAGCTTCTTAAAATCATTCATAATTAGTTAGGCAACCTTCAGTTAGAGGAAATATGAAAAGGACTTCTATGATACTTGATAGACCATCAATCTAGAGCTAATAATAATTGCCGAATTAAATAAAGATGAAATCTATGATTACGTTTATAAAAATGTAAGGCAGTAAGATGAAACAATTAGAAACATAGTTAAAAGAAGGAATATAAGAAATCGAAGGATTAAAATAGGTTAATAATAATTTGGAAGTACATAATAAAGAAATGAAAGAATAAAATTCTAAATTGCTAGATTAAATTACTAATCTGCATGTTAAAGTTAATGATCTAGAAAATTAGATTATGTCTGATGCAATGGATTTAAACTAGGTATTGTCTTAACAGGAAAAAAGACCTCCAAATATTAAATAAAACACTTTTGTTTAGAGAAAGACCAAAAAAGCAGCTCCTCATTTAGGATAAAAAGTATATTTAATTTATAAGTTAGATTACAATTAGTTATGATTTTCAGAAGAATCAATCAAAATTGCTTATTGATAAAATTAAATCAAAAAGCATGGGAAAGTTCTCAAATTATTTACCATTAAAACTTGTTTTAAAAATGATAACTACGTTTTATTTTGAAAAAATCTCAAACCAAAAAGAAAATAAATAGTTGAGAGATTAAGATATGGCATCATATATTTATAACTATTATTTGTAATAGTTTGGATATACGAAAGTCACAGAATAAAGATTCATGATACTTGTTTTGTCGGTTAAAAAGTATATTTCAATAGTTAGAGTTAATTTGTTTGCTAAATTTATGAATCTATTAGAAGAAAAGAGTAATTACAGAGTAGAAGAACTCTAAAGATATTTGGAAGCACTAGAATATGTTTCAAATATTTAGAATTTGGGTATAGCAATAAAAGACAATGAATAAGAGCAGAAACACTATATTCCATATGTTAGAGCTTTAGCATATTTGGGTCAGCTATAAAATTTTAATTTTACTTAAGAGGAACTTAACTATTTGAAATTGGAATTGGAAAATCAAAAGGAAACTGACCCAAAAAATATGAATAAAGCTGGAATAATAGATTTTGACCTATTAATGATTAGAGTGTTGACAATTTTCAGGAACAATGTCGAAAAAACAAAACTTTATGTTATTAATGCTTTTGCAGCATGTGATCTCGATGGAAATGGGATGTGTAACATTGATGAATGGTTGCTTTTGATTAGACACATAGAGCCTGAGAAATTTGATGAGGATAAATTTATTGATATATTCGAAGAGTTTGCAGATTTAGTAGAAGAGGATGAGAAAAATCTATCTTTTGACAGATTTTCAATTTTGTGCATGGAACATGAGTTGTTTAGTGATGCACAATAGAATAAATTCTTAAGAGTCAAAAGTATGACATAATTATAATAAATAGGTAACTAAGAAGCTGATTAAAAATTGGAATAGATTAAATAAAATTGGGGTTAGATGTATATGGAACAATTAAAGAGACTTAATGAAATAAAAATGGAAGAGAACGAAAAGTAGAAATGGCAAAAGATTCTGGGGGTGCTTGATAAAAAATTATCAGATCAACATAGTAGTAAAAAACCTTTATTGATTGCCTATAAGATATTTTTGGAAGAATCCAAATGACACTCACGTACTGTATATATATATAAATTTGAATCATTCTCAAACATATTGAGTAAAATTTATTAATATTCCAGTTATTATAATCAGATCAAAAGTAAATAATCAATATGGATGCTTAAAGACCAATGACTACTCCTTCTAAATCTATTTTCTCTGATTATTTAAAAAGATAGAGTCAAAGCTAAAGCAGATCACATTTCAGAACTTTGGGAGAATCTAAGAATGAAGAAGCCAATAAAATATTATCAGATTTCATTGAACAAAGCAAGCAAAGACAATGTAAGAGCAATAAAAATTTTAGAAACTAGTTAATTCTTAAATTCTCGATAGAGAACTTCTTAAGAAATGCTATAAAGTATTGTGTCTCATTAATCATCTACAAATAAATTTTATGTGCCATTTCAATCTGACTTTGCTAAAAGAAAAAATAATTCCTTAAGTAGTTTTGAAAAAGTTGGATCCTCTTCTAGAATTGGCAATAGGAGACAGCAAATTCAATAGACCGAGCAATTCTTCCAATCCTAAATCACGCCTTCAAATAGACAGGAATATCTAGACAAAATGGAAGATTTCATTACAGAAATCTTAACGGAAGAATTCAAGGAAATATCTTCTTTGTTTACTACTTTTATGAAATAGTATTAACTCTACATTGATGATTATTAATTATAGTTGTCTATTAAAGAAAAGCAACTTGAATTAGAGAACCTTACAGAATTTGAGAGAATGAATAGCAAATATTCTAAAACAAGTCAATAATATGAAAACTAAATTAAGTCACTCAATTATAATGTAGAACAATATAACATTGATATTCATAAATTGAAATCTGAGATCTAAGATCAAGGACGTAAATATAAAGAACTTCGCTAGAGATTCGAGTTAAAACAAAGAGAAATAGACATTAAAAATAAAAAGATTAAATCATTAGAATGTGATATTCAATCTTAGTAAAAGAAGATCTAATATTATGAAAATAAGTTGCAATAAACATTTGGAAAAGATTAAATGACAGATATCAAGCAATCCTATCAAGACACCTTCTAAAGGAAGAACAGTACCTCTAATTTAAACATATAAACCTATAGTTAACAGACTCCAAGTAATAACCTGATTCCCTTGAGAACGAGTGTAAAAAAGGTAAGTATTGTTAGTATCTTAAACTCTCCAATAAACCAACCTCCGGATTTATTGAAAAAGAAATCAACAACCCAGAAGTCTGATTCAAGCATTGAATAATTAGAAGAAGAAGTTGAAGAGTAAGATAAATTGAATTAAATTGAATTGAATTATGATAGAATTATTGAGTATAGAACATCAGAAGCCTAAGTAGAGTACGATTTATAAGAAATGTATTGTAAATCAATTGAAGTCTAAACTGAATTGACTATGATAGGATAAAACTACGATTCATTAAAATAAGAAAACATTGAAAATGCTTTAAAATACACTGAATTTATCAAAGAAGTTAATAATAAAGGAGAAAATTAATAGGATTAAAATTTTGACAAAATGTTTGATTAATTGTTGAAGGATGCAGAAGATGTGAATGCCTAAAATGGCGTATAGATTGTATCGAATACTCAAACTCAGGTTCAAAGCAGCAAAAGGCTATCGATGTATGGAACATCAAAAGATTCCATTAACTTAGATGATAATTCATAATTGCAATAAAAAAATAAACAGAAGAAGGAATAGTAAATAAAGCAATTATATTCATTTTTCAATTACTCTAAAAGTAGATTAGTTGAATTAACTGACGATAATGATTAAAAGAAAATAACTATAGTTTCACTGTAATTTTAAAACGAAAACCTATCTAACCAAATTAAACAGTTATAAGAAGAAATTCACAAATTGAAACTATAAGCTATAGATGATCGAATTTTAATTTAAGATTTAAAAACGAAACAAGAACATGCAACCGTTGTCCAACACACTAATGCAGAATAAAATCTGATCACTTCTTAACCATTATCATAATAAAATGAACATAAATAGTAAAAACAGTAATAATAACCCAAAAAAGGAGTCAAAAATAGAATACCTTAATTAGGTTAGAAGGTAATAGATATTTCATTTTTTAGGTAACTATTTCCTATGACTTTTAAAAAAATTAGTCCAAATAATTAATAGACAAGATCAAGACCAAAAATATGACAAAGTTCACTAATTTTCTACCTCTGAAAGCAGTATTAAAATATATTACCACATTATATTTTGACAAAATTCATAATTAAAAAGAATAAAAATAATTAAAAGATTAGGATATGTCAGCATTTATATACAATTACTATATGTAACAATTTGGTTACACTAAAGTTACAGAACAGCGTTTCATGATTTTAGTTCTCTCTATTAAGAAGAATGTAAAATTAGTAAGAGCCAATGTCTTTGCTAAGTTTATGGGGTTATTTGAGGAAAATTAAAATTATAGTGCAAATGAGTAACAAAGATATTTAGAGGCTTTGGAGTATGTAACCAATTAATAGAATTTGGGGATTACCATAAAAGACAATGAATCAGAATCTAGATATTTCATTCCTTATGTTAGAGCATTGTCCTATTTATCATAACTTTAATAATATAACTTTTCTCAAGAAGAGTTCAATTATCTAAAATCAGAGTTTGAGGAGCTGAAAGAAAATGATCCAAAAGGGCAGAATAAATTGGGAATTATAGACTTCGATTTAATGATGATAAGAGTATTGTAAATATTTAGGAATAATGTTGAGAAAACTAAAGCATATGTCATAAATGCATTTGCTGCAAGTGATTTGGATGGAAATGGAATGTGTAACATTGATGAATGGCTATTATTGAATAGACACATTGAAGGAGAGAAATATGATGAGGACAAATTGATTGATGCATTTGAAGAAAATGCTGATTTAATAGTAGAAGAAGAGAAAAATTTATCCTTTGAAACCTTTTCAATCTTATGCATGAGTTTAGAATTATTTAGTGATGCTGCTTAAAATAAATTCCTAAAAGTACGAAGTATGTTATATAAGTAATTTTAGACAACTAAGATGTATTAGTTAGATTTTAATAAGTATAGACTGTCTGGACTGAAGAGTATACAAAATGCTTATAAAAATTGAGTGCATCTGAAATAGAAGAACAGGAAAAACAAAAATGGGGAACCATATTGAATGTTCTTAATGACAAAATATTATCCAATCCAGAATAAGTAAAACCACTCTTAATTGCTCATAAAATTTTTATCGAAGAGATCAAATGAATATCGAATTTTTATTTTATAATTAAATAATGTTTAATAAACCACAGTCAAATTATTTAACCTTAGATTTCAAAAAGGTTAAAATTAAAGATGTGCAGACTTCCTAGCCCCAGACTCATCGAATTAATACATCAAGAACTATCTTGAGAAAGCTCAGAATGGATGGGTACTATTCTATAATTTAGTTTTAGATGCTAAACAGATAGAGATAAGAATTCGTATCAGGAGGTCACTAATTACGCTCAAGAGAAGTTGATTTACAAATAAGAGTTTGAGGATGAAAGAAAGAAAAAGCTCGAATAATTGAGATGTGAAGTGGAAGAATTAAAGTTGGATTACGTATAAAAATAAAAGGAACTTATTCAAAGTAGGAAATAAGTAAACAATGCTCTCAAGGGTCTAGTCAATTCACACACAAAATATAAAGATTATCAAATTGGGGATGTTAAACTCTATCAATAATATTATCGTTGTAAGACAGATACTCCCTTTCATCTAAAAAATACCATTTATGATGCTTAGAAATATTAAAACTATTACGGTAAATTGTAAAAAGCCAATTTAAAACTTAATCATCAAGTTCAATTTGCTATGATTCAATATCGTAAACAACTAGAAGAATCTCAGTAAAGAATTCCAAACTTTTTAAAATCTATCCAATAAGTTTTGTGAATGATTATTTTACACACTAAATATGTTTTGAATATGTGTTTAAACTATTTAATGAATATAAATGGTGTTTATTTTGTCATTAGTTACTAATATTCTGGTGCAAAATTAAACTATTTAGGTTGAATATTTTTATTATTAAATTTCTTACACCACATGAGTGGGATACAATATCTTCAAAAAATTTAATTAATTTATGAAATATATTAAAAAACTAATCCTAACATTTGAGAGTAAGAGTTTAGAACAACAATATTAGTTGGAAAAAAAAAACTAAATCTAGCTACCTATTTTCATATTTACAATTACACTCTCTTTTATTTCAAACTTTGTTGTTCTTGGATTCCATTTTTTCAATTCAAAGATTGAGACATGGTACTTGAATATTGCATTTAGCATTACAACTTTACTCCTATTCATATTTATTGTAATTATGAAAAAACATTAGTATCTATAAGATGCAATTACTCTATCAAATCTCATTTTGGGTTTTTTAGAATTCAATGTAGACCCTGCAACATCCAATTATATTGAATTTTACTCTTATGGAAATACATTTATGCAGTTATAAGCAGTTTTATATATCGTGTCTAATTTTAATCACGCAACCCTTCAAGTCATTTTTCATTTTGTTTTGCGCATAGCCATAACAATACTTTTATCAAAACGGACAGATTACCTATTAATCTTTATAGGCTTAACAAGTAGTGTTATAATACTGGTGACAATATTCTACAAAGAAAAGAGCTCAAGAAAATTGTTTATATAAAATTTGAAGGAAAATAATTGGGAAAATAACATTTCATTTATTATCCAAAAACCGTATTTTAGAATTAATTATTAATAAGAATAGTTACTATTTAATTTAATAAAAGATAATAAAATTGAATAATTTCCAGGTTACGATAATTTTTATTGTGATGGATGTAATGTAAGAAAGCTATTAAGATGCTATTTTATCGATAAAAACTTAACATTAGAAGAATATTTGAGAAATTAGAAAAATCATATTTCTTAAAAACTTATTTTAACTTTTAAAAAACGAAAATTTATACTAAAATTATGTACTTTGGATATTCAATAAATTCAATACTTGTTTATTCTTGATGAAATCAGCATTTAATTTAAAAAAGAAGAAGACAAAAAAGTAAAATAAAATGATTTGATTGAATTTCTAAGATCAAATAAAGCATTTAGTTATTAGCATTTTTTCAATTGGGGAGCACAATCGCTATTATTTTTAAACTCTAAGATTATCAAAAAAATAAATTTATAAGAGTTAATGATTTAGCTCCTCCATATATTTAAATAGCATGTATTTCATTAAATCTAAGTTAAAATTATTACTTATGATTAGAACACTTCTATTTATACATTCTATTATTAAATTAAAATATTTATGATGTAGCTTTTTGAAGTACTATCAATGATTCAAAGAAATAATAATCTATAAAACTAAATCATTCTCAAAAGAAAGGGATGTGATATTTTAATTAAAATTACTAATTTAGATCTTGAAACTTTCGAGTAAATGTTTGAAAAAAATTTCTTTTTAAAAAATCTTTAAACCTTATTGCTCCATGAAATTGAGATATATGAAGGAATATAATTGCATTTTCGAAACTATCCGATAAAATCATTTGCATTTGATATTTGACTTTATGTTTATTCTTTTTATTAAAAAAATTGAATTTAAATTATTCAGCAATCCATTTAAATCTGAATCTTTGAATTTCTTAAAGTTTTTTTTTTAAATCATAATAAAACAAATAATCTTATAGAAATTTATACACCATACTTTTTTATAGCATAAATTAAAAATTATTAATTACTTAGCTAAATAATAATCACAAGACGAACAATTACACAAAAGTGTTTACAGTTATTATTTAAATCTAAAAAGTACGCATTATTCACATTTGATTCTAAATAATTATCTATTACTAAAATTCAATCTATATAATGCTATGAATTTAATGATTAAATAATCAAAATGTACTGGTAAGTACAAGCGATTAAATAGGTAGCTGTTGGAAAGTGAAATGGTCTTAAATAAAAAAATGTGAATTTTTTTAAAGTCCATTTTAACCAATTACTAAAGATTAAGAATTTCATTAATTAGTCTAAGAGTTGAAAAAACTTAATTTGAAAAAGGTCTAATATCATTATGCAACTGGGTAGCTTCTTAATACTTAATTAACAAAATTTGACAAACCTGTTTTATGCAAGTTGAGTAAAAACCTATTTGAGCAACAGATTAATTATTTTTTTTCAATTGGTTCAATTTTATACTCACCACTTTTCAATAAGAAAACTTAGTATTAATTATTGATGTTACTTCATTAAGCCAAAAATTGGAATGCTTAGATTGAAGTTAAAACATCATAAAATTAAGCTACTTTAATTACAAGAATGTAGCCATAATTCTTATTTTGTTTCGGCCTATTATAAAAATTATATTACAAGCCTTAATTTATAATTATTCAAAGATTAAATTGAAAATAATCAATAATAATTAAATTATTTTTGAAGAGAAATCGATTTTTCGTTAACTTACAAATGATATTAATATTTAAGGTAATATATTCTGTTTATTTCTGGCCACGTCAGCAAAATTATATATTAGTACATATTCATTCATTTTTGTTAGAATATTAAGTTTAACTAAAACTTAAATAAATGAATTATATTGATTAAGATGATTGTAATATCCCTTTTGATTACGAGGATGATTTAATTTTCCCTCCCTATTATGAAAATGCAGAAACACCCGAACATAGCAAATCTACTGATTTAGAATAAAAGATCAAAAACGATAGAAAAGAAAGGATTTTGAAAAAAAGAATAGAAAAAAAACAAAAGACCAATTCTGATTCTAGCAACAATCTCTCAAAAGAAGAGATAAGGAAACTAAGAAATAGAAATTCTGCCTAACAGTCAAGAGATAGAAAAAAATAATAGTTTGATTCTTTGATGTTAGAGAACCAAAATTATTAAATCTTACTAAAACAATAGGAAGAGTAAATTTAATTATTAATTGAAGAAAACAATTAGTAAAGATTAAAAATACAATACTTGGAAGAAATAAAGTATTTAAATAAAAATATAAATTAGTTAAAGTTACAAATGTATGAATTGTGCATCGGAAGTAAACCATGAGATGATAAGAGTAAATGTCATTTCTAAATAAAAGATGATGAACTATGGATTATTATCTTTGTTGACAATCACTTGTATTTTGTCAATTGTCAATAATGAATACGAATTCTCACCAAAGCCAATATCACTTCATCAGATTTCAGAATAAAAATATGAATTTTTAGCTCCTAAATAAAAATAATAGTTTTCAAATCCAACATCATTAACACTCTACAACCATTTAACCATGCCTGAACATTAATATAATAATCAAACTCTATTTTATAATTGCACAGGCAATTAAAAGGAATGTCAATCATTTTTAAATATCATCAAGGCTGAGAATTCTAATAATTTATATTTTGTAAATGATGCTTAAGAACACTTCCCTGCTGAACAAGATCATTATTTCGAGAAAGGAGAAAATGTTTATTTAATCAAAATCAAACAAGATGATGAAGACAACTTTTAGATATTTAGGGCAAGATGCTAAATAACCGAAAGTAATAAGTTGTTTTTCGAAAGGGACGATTAAGATTCTTATAACAATAGTTTGTAATACTGATATTTACTCTTTCCATTTTTTTATTTCTATTAATTTTTTAATTTATGAAAATTAATTAAGAATGCAACCTTAACCATTTTAAATATTTTCAATAAGAAGTATCAGAATGAATTGACTAAATCAATAACTTAATCAGCATTAAGATTATTGTTTAATTCAGCTTTTGCCAAGGCGACAAAATTTTATCTAACTCTAATTATAAAGGTCTCTGAATAACTATCACTTTGTATAACTTCTCCTCTTGTATACAGAAAGAAGAGAGCATATAAGGCAAAAACACCACAGTCCTAGAATTAATAAATAGTTTACTGAAACTCCAGTTTGCCTTGGAGTATTTTTTTATATTTCCCATTTAAAATTTTTTGTGCATTTATATTTTATAATTCTTTCAATTCCAGCCATAATATCTGATTTGTATCCGTTTAGAGAATCCTAATATATAATTTTGCCCTCTTTAAAATAGACTAATACGCTTATCCAATGAGAATTTCCTAAGTTAATTGGAAAATATGCATAATCATAATTAGCAATTGAACTTCCTTTTTAATAATCATTATTCAAAGTTTATTGAAAAAGGAGAGTTTCTAATTAAGAAATTTTGAAAATTCCCTCATCTACTTATTTAATTTCATTAATGCTTATGATTTCGAACATAAATTTTTTCTATTTAGTCTTCGCTTTATAAACTTCTTCCTTAGCTTATTGAATTGGTTAGTTCCTTTCTAAATTCGCTGAATTGGAAATGATATTTGATTAGCAAGTCTTCTTATCCACTATCTATTATTTGATTTTATTAATTTTTTCAAAGTCAATCAAATCGTTGGATAATTGGTTGGTTAGTTTTGGCATAAACTCAGCGAAGAAATAGCAATCAACTAAAAATATCTAATGATCTTGAATAATTTACATTTCTTCTATTGGAAAAATATTTATTAAAAACGTTTTAGAAAAATATCAAATGTGAACTTGTCAAAAATTCTTGATTCTCAAGGATTTTTATGAAATTTTAATCAATTGTTACTCCGTTTTTTCTATTACCAATTTATTTTAACATATAAATCTATTAATAATATTTTAAAGAATAATTATTAATTAAAAGCAATTCAATCTACATATATGAAATAAATAGTAAATAACAAATATGGTAATATTAGAGAGTGATCATAAAAGATAATAAAACAAGGAAATTTGTTAATTTTATTTTTTCTTTTAATAAAAATTAAATTTGTTACAAATACAAGTTGTCTTATTTCATCATCATCATTTTTCATTTTCAAATGCTGTATATACTTGAAGAATTGATTTCCTTTGTACTATTATAATTATACTATTTCGCTTAGATTTTGAACCCAAAACAATTAGGTTTGATTTTAAAAAATAACACTTTCCAAATCTACATTTATATACTGAATTTATATATGGATAGATCTATTGATAGGGAATCCATCGATGTCTGACCTTTTTACACCCTTAAATTAAACTATCATTTACAATAATAGCATTTTATTTATATGATAAACATTTTTTAATTTTAATAGCAGAGGAAAATAAGGATAAATTTATTTTTAGTTTACATATTTTTCTTCAAGAAGATTTACAGATATTTAATATTATTAATTAATCCAATTAGTACCTAATTATAAATCATGTCTTTTTTTGCTGCTACTTAAAGACTTAATTTGAATAATGATAGATAAATAAAGTTATTCTTAATTATTTCTATGAAAGCCGTTATAATACATTCCACAATCTTAATTGGCTACTTTATAAATTTGTGATTACTCTTGGGTTAAAAATAACTTAATATTTAATTTAACTGATTTTATTACATAAGTTTCTTTTATTTAAAAAAGAAAATTTAAGATTTATAAATAGGAAGATTACATTATTGAGTTTATTGAAATTATCATTAATTTTAATTTTAAAATCTTCAGTAGATAATCTCTATAAAGTAGCAATTGTTTTAACGAAGCAACTAAATTTTTAAAAGAATTAATAATTATAAGTGCCAACAAACAAGGTTTTAATAGAATTAAAATAGCTTTGGATTTAGATCAATATATTTATAAAGGGCTCTTTTTCTAATGAGATATAAATTAATAAAACAAAATATTTAGTATTAAATTTGATTTTGTTTAGTAATAAAATTAATTGTCAATCAATCTTAAAAAATTTAGAATAAAAATAGAAATCATTGTTTAAACAGCTTTTGTAATATTTTATTGTATTAAGAAACTGGATACGCATTTTGCCCTCATAAATCATTTATAATCAGCCATTATTAAGGAGTGTGAGAATTAGAGATCATCCCAAATACATTATAGTAAATATATTCAAATGAGTAAAACTTCCTTTGCTGAGCTGCTGTAATCCGACAGAAGCCAAGAGAGCTAATCAGAATCATCAGAGTTTAAAGTTGAATTACGGAAACAAAGGGGTAGTTAAACAGCCAATGCCGACGCTAAACGTTACCATAAAATACCATTAAAAACACAAATTTTATTGTTTTAGATGGTCTTTTCATAAGGAAAACGAATAAAACAGGTAATGACCTTCAATACTATATTTAGGTTGCGAAATAATTAGGAATGAATTACTCAAGTGCAAAGTCTTTGATACATTATTACAAAAACAACAAGAGACCAACTCCCACTGCTATTTCTAGCATAATAAGCTTAAACAAAGCCTGTGGTATTAGGAAAACGAAATAAGGAAATAATAATTTTTTCGTTGATATACGAATAAAAAAAAAAAGGATAAGGAAATACAATTATTATGTATTTTTAACCGAAGAACATAATTAAATAACCAATTGAATTAGAAGGAAAATGATTTATAATTATATCAAGTTTAATTTGCTCTTTAATCAAACCTTTATATACTTTTGTTAGATAAAATTATTTTTGAAGGTATTAACCAAGCAATCCTCCGAAAATATAATGTTTAGAGAGATAATTCGTTTTTGACAATTAATTCTAGCATAAGAATTTTGCATCAATAACGCTTTTTAATAAATGAAAAACATCACAATCATAATTATAAAAATTAATTATCATTATATATTATTGTAATTTAAATAATAATTGGATATTCGAATCGCTAAACATTTTACCTTTAAAGTTAAATTGCTATTCTAGATGTAATATAGAAATGCATTTGAGTGTAATATTTTTTAGATCATGATGAAGTATTAAAAAAGATTAATCTGAATAATTTTAAAGAAAACCAATGGGAATTCCAATAGATCACCATAGTTTTGTATTATTTATTCATTTCTATCAAAGAGTATGGCTTTTGATGGTAATTTTAGATTAAATTTGAAAGATAGGTATACCTTTTTAATTAAAATTTATGATAAAAAATTATTCAAATTTCATAATTTTCAATTCTAATACCTGTTTCGAATCATTTGATAAAGTATTGATCATAATTTACGATAAAAAACTTAATAATTAAATATATGTTTTTATTTTTTATTATACCGATTGTTTTTACAAGTGATAATTATCAAATTCCATCCTATTACGGATCAAAAGAATTGGATTTTCTTTTGAGAAAAAGCATAATAAATGGCAATTTAAGTTCTTTTTATTGGCATCCAAGTGTTTCTAAGAATGATAATACTTCTACATTTTACTTGGGTTATAAAAATGCAATATTCGAAATTGATAAAGGTACTACTAGTTCCAATATTAGACAATAGAAGCAAAATAATAGCAGGCTCCTCCTCAGGGAAGTCAGGGTTTAGAGATGGTGACGCTGCAAGTTCTCTATTTAATAATATCAAAAGTGTAATTTACTTTTCTAAAAATGAAACATTAGCAAAGTAAGAATATACTAAATAAACAATAATTTTGGCTAACAATAATACAGAATGTTTAAATGTTGATTCTACAAATTTTACTCAATGTTTAGATACCTAAAGTGATCCAGTAGATCCTTATAGAATAAAGGATGTATATAAAGAATAATCTGTACCATAAGAGGAGTTCAAAGAATTTCTTTATATAGTGGATTCTGGAAATCATTGTATTAGACAAATAGATTTATAGAAGAAAATAACAAAGACAATTGCAGGCATTTGTGGATAGAGGTATTATACATAAATTATCATTAGTGGCTTTAAAGACGGTTTGTTGGGAATGAACTTATTTAACACACCAGATTAAATGGGAATTGATGTTTTAGGCAACATTTTTGTTAATGATTTTAATAATCACTTTATTCGGATGATAACATTAGATGGATATGTGAATACGTTAATAAGTGGAAGTTGCAGATAGGATGTGAGATATTAGGACATCTAATTTGATAAATTGAATTTAAAGAGGGTCATTTGTTTAAAGACCTGGATTAAAACATCAGGCTAACCTTCAGATCACCTAGTAGTGTAAAATTATAATATATGTACTTAACATATTATAGATTGTTAATGATTAATTATCAAAACATAAAATTTAGTAAAAATTATGACTCTCCATAATAACAATAATAATCAACTAAACTTCCTTTGATAATTGATCTGCACAAAAAAAAAGAGCATTAAATCAAAAATAATAAAGTCTAATCTAAATCTATGCATCACGGTGAAAGGAAAAACAATTTTATTCTAAACAGCATTATAACAGATGTAAATGAAATGATTAAATAATATCATGTTTCTGTGTTTAAGGAAGACTAAGGAGATAAATCTGTGAGAGATTAGAAAAAAACCAAATAATTATGGTTATAGGAAAATGAAAACAAAGATAATAAGTTAATAACTTAATATCAATTGCTTGAGCTAAGATTAAAATAACATTAAATAAAGAAAGATAAGTCAACAATTTCTATATAGGGAAATAGACTATAAACTATTAGTACAATTACATATGACACAATTAGCAAAGAATGACAATCAAATATATCAATATATTATAGAAATTATTGTTTCACTTATTAATCGAATGAATTATCTCTTAATATACGGTGATATTATCAAAAATGAATCATATTCATAGTCGTCAATTCTCCAGATTTTTTATGATCTTTTGAACTAAAGATTTACAAAACAAATTAATTTTTTATAGAAAATATACCTCCAACACATTTTTATCAATTAAAAATGATTTTTGAGATTTTTAAAAAACTAAACATATCTTATATATTAAGGTATGAAATCCATCCTTTATGACATTCAAATGCATTTTTAATACATATAAAAATTTTTAGAAAATAAGTATGGATTATATGGAACATTCATGATCAAATTTATAAAAAATATTCTTGGTATAGTTTATAAGATGTCATAAAAACGAATCAATGAAGCACTCATAATCAAGAGGATTTAATGCTGTGCTGTTATAATCAACGTATGGGTTTGGAGAACCGATTTTTGATTCCTAAAAATCTAATTCTTTTGAACATTTATAGTCACCTAACAATTTATTAGTTTGGGTGTCACTTTTATCTAAAATTACAGAAGGAAATACTTTCTTATCTTAATTCCTCGTTTATGGCATGGAGCATCTACCCAACCTATTTAAATTTTACTTCGATGTCAACACTTTGATTGTAAACAAACTTATTATATTATCTATCATACATGATTTAAATTCTGCATTTAATCGATAAGATATGATGAAGTTTCTTATAATAGTTTCATATCTTCTTTTAATTTGTTATTAGTTTCCTTTATATCTAAGGCGCATTCTTTAAACAAGTTTTATTCCTCTTTGATATTTATGGCTACAAAATACTATGATTATAATACTTGGTTCTTCTTATATCTGAGGTGCCTGAATGTCTTCTTGATTCCTTCTTTTAATAAATTGTAACATGGATCTACAATACTTGTAACAATATTACTTCATTCCTTTTTTGAAGCATTTGTGCTTAAAAATTTACCCTTCATTTGATCGAACTTTCTTGAAATTATATAGGTTTAACTATCTAGAAGATGTATATTATTTGCCATATACCTCACAAAGCTAGAGTAATTACTGTGTTTAAAGAAATTTTATAACACTTATTTTTCCATTTGCTACTGATTGTAAACTATGAAAGCAGTGCCTTGTGCAGTCCAACTAACAATATTACTATTTTTAGGTTCCTTAATAAATTCTAAGACTTTATTACTTCGAGCATTTGATAGGTTTTCAAAATGAAAGTAGGTATTGGAGTTCTAGTACTCATAATTCTAAATATAATATTATTATTTTGCAAAAGAAATAATCCAATATTTAAATTAAAGTGACTTGAATATTTGTTCTTCACTAAAGGAAGTGAGAATCAAATTAATAATTCAAATCAAAACTTTTGTTATTTATTATTAATTACCCACTCCAAATAATTCACCAAATAAAGAAAAACTATATTTTTTATACAAAATAAAGATTTACAACAAATTAATACAGATTAATTAAGTAATTATAGTGTTGCTTAGAGTAATGCTTTGTTAATTGATCATATATTTTATCATTAAAAAATAGAGAATCATTTGTTAATTATTGATTGATTGATGAATAAGTTGATTTAACTAAAAATTATATTTTATTAACTTAATTAATCATGATAAAATAATTTATATTCGCTAAATAAAAAATAAAATAGTTCTAATTCAAAGTATAGAAATTGTTAATCATTGCTCTAAAACTTTAAGATTGTAATTTGATTCCTCAAGAGTATGATAAATTTAATAAACTTAATTAATACAAATTTTTTTATTATGTAATTACAATAATCAATGTTGATAATATTTTAAGTTTCATAAATACAATTGATGAATGTTTTAGTCATTTATTAAAATTAAAATTGATTAGAGACGTATATCTAAATATTTAGATATAGATTATAATTGGACAAATAATTATTGTACTAATTAGTTAATTAAAAAAATCAAAATAAATTGATATTTTGTAGAATTCATTAATAAATACATAAATTTGCTAAATAATGTATATTTCATACAATTTTAGAAAACTTGTCACATGAACAAACTAGAAATCCTTTTTTCTAAAATTATTTGTTATTTAGGATAAGTTCTCTTCAATTATAATTTAATTTAAATTCTTTAATTCAATAGTAATAAGATAACCAAAATTATAAAATTTATCAATTGAATTTTGCAAAATTTATTGATATGGCTATACTTATCAAAGTATTGCATTGATAGAACCATAAAGGATTTATTTCCATAATTTACTATAAATTGTCTAGACCTTTAGAAATCATATTTAAAGATGTCAAATTCAATAAAAAAATACAATATATATATAAACATATGTAAACAGATCTCTAACTTAACTAGCATGATAATTGATATATTATATTATAAAATCAATCAACATATCTTTAGCATTCTTACATTCTCTCTAACTAACTTTTCATATTATAAAAAGCTATTAAGTTTCCTAAAAACTAATCGTCTAATTTTTCACCTGATCGAATGTTATATAGATTCTTGAAGATATTGTCACTGATTTAATAAAGCCAATCTGAATTGGTTCTATTGGTAGCATTTTAATCAAATGATTAGAAATTGTTTTCAATTTTAATATGATCCTACATATCAGACTTTTAATCTGAAAACTATTAGAAATGATTATTGAATTAATCATCATCTCTTTTTGCATCTGTTTTTATTTTCTTTTTTGATTTTTTTCCATTGGATTCTTATTTTATACTATCATAAATAGGGAAATTTTTCTTCAGCTTTTCAAAAAATTAGGATAATTTCCTATTAGCTAAATTTACAAATTCTTCAACCTTAGTCTCATCAACAGACCAACTAGATTCATCATTTCTTTTAAAAACAACTGCTGAAAGACATCCTTTTACTGTTCTTGTAGCCATGCCTGTAAAATTCTTACCATTTTGTCTTCTTAAGAAAGGGAGATAAGGTTCTGTTACATTAATGAGGTTGTTCAAAGTAGCGTTACCATTTTGAAGTTGAATTGCTTTAATTAAATGGCCAGTCAATGACATCTAGTATAATTCTTCTTTGTCAATCATATCCTACCATTTGTTCACATCAAATGCTCTTGCTTGCTACCATTATTACACAATAAATATTACTAATTTGATTGCTTCCGAATGATGTTTCCGTTCTTCTGGCCGAGGTTAGTTTAATCTAATATTGATGATTTAACTCAATAACAAAGGTTTACTTTGTTTAAAATACTTATTCTAATTGTCACATAGATCACTCTACTTTATAATATTTTTAATATACTTCCACTTTAGTTTTTTAATCCATTGCCTTGTTTTTATATAAAATTACCCCCTTTAATAAATTAAATAACGGGGATCGCATTCCTCCTTTAACTTAAATAGTCACCCCGTAATCATTTATTTTTAACACAGATCATATAATTTGATGTAAAGAAATGAAAGATGAGATGAGAAAGACTTTCCATTCTATTCAAATCTTTAAATCATTTTTTGGAATTAAAAAATACAAAATAATCAAACTTTTTCTAACATTCATATAACCAATCTCATTGTAAGTGAAGATTTGATTGGATCAGCATATAAGCTTAAAATATTTATTAATTACATTTAATTAATTAAGTAAAATCATCCAAAAACTCAATTTAATCTTAAATGAAATCTAGTTAATCTGACAGCATTGAAGAAGAATCAGGTAATTGGAATCTTTCTAGTCCTCAAGGGCCTTAAATTTCTTTAAGAAATACGTTTGCAAACTATCAACCTGATTCCTCAGTTCACTCGTATGAATCTGAGAGAATTTAAGATAAATCAGAAGAATAAAAATAGTAATTCACTATTGAATTTAACCCAGATGCTTAACCTATTTTTAAGAGAACCATGATAAGAACAAATCCTTTGCAAAAATTGCATCAGATAGCTGCGAAAAACAGATTGGTCAAATAATTCAAATAAAATCTCTTCATGAATTCATATATATTGTCAAAAGACTATTAGTAACAATTGATTTTATTTAAATAGAGACAAAATATTGTAGTTTGAATAATTTTCGTAAAATAAAAATTTGGATTACTTAATTAGTAAAACTTAAAGTTCAATTTTACCTGTTTTTGAGGCTTATAGTAACTTAATGAAAGGATGGGATGTAATAATGATTCTCTAACAATTAATACAATTGTGGTTTCTACCATTTATAATAAGTTTTTACGGATTTGATTCGAATATTTATGTAATAAGAGAATTTTTGATCTTGATGACATTACTAGACATTATTGTTTCAATGAACAGAGAGATATTCTATAAGGGAAGTTACATTGGAAATCGACAATAAATTTTTAGACAGTATACAAAAAATGGATTAGTTGGAGATATAATTTAATTAATTACTTGGTTTTGTTTCTTGTTTATTTACTAAAATATAGAATATAAAGCCTACTTAATTTTACTAGGAATTTTAATGGTAGTTTGTTGTATCAAATCACTATTAAGAAAAACTGAATATTACATTGATAGTTATTACAATAAAGGGAATCTTAGTAACTTTTTGGATCTCTTTATATTAATCCTACAGATTTATTTTGTAGCACATTATATGGCATGTCTTTGGCATTTTGTTGGGTAAATGGGTATATAAGTCGAAAAGGCAACTTGGCTTAGTGAATACGGGTTTCTCGATGAATCTATCACTACCAAATACAACTATTCCTTTTATTGGGCCACTATGACAATGGCTACTGTGGGATATGGAGATATTACTGGAAGAAATAATTATGAAATACTGGTATCTAACATCATGATGATCCTTTCAAGTTGCATATTTGCATATTCAATGAACTCTATCGGGAACATATTAAAAAGCATAAATGATTCAAAGTTGAATTACAGGTATCATTAAACAATAATTCTTTAGGAGGACTATATCATCAATTAATAATTC